AGTGATGTAGGAGAATACAGGAAGAGGACAACAGAAGAGAGCTGTAGCCTTCTTTCCCAAAAAAAGAGTATCGGTGTCATGCACATATTCACTGTCCCGCCTCGTTATTCCCTCCGTCTCAACCGCATAGAAACTAATCAGAAAGGAGCGTCATGCCTTTTGTGTTGAATGGTATTCACGTCATGAATCCTAATAATCACGGTTTCATCATCGCCCCTTCCGTGCCCGTCGACCTCGTGCCATTCTTCACCGTCGAACGCATCTTCATCCACATCCGCCAACCTCCTTTTTCACACTCTCATACGCTTTGCATACGGCTTCGGTCTACAGAACCGGAGTCGAAGACCAGCCTTTTCATTCAATCTTCACATTCTTGTTCCAAAAATTGCATACCCACGCCTCTCTTTCTCTTCATTTCCCATCGTTCCTGGGTCGTCATTTGCATTTATTCTCATTCCACATAGCATTGCAAGAGCGAGCCATATTGTGTTTTGTTTAATTTTTTTCCCATTGCATCGTTGTCATTTCCCTCCCCAAACATCCCCATCACAACATCTTCACTTCGCATCTCATATCAAGTGGTGTGTTTCCACACCTCTTCGATATTCTTCTCTTGCTGCGCGCCCGCGAGCGCTGCGCCTTTGCATATCTCCAACTCCTGACGATCGTTACACAGCACAGCTGTTTACCCCCCAAAGCACATTAACCCCCTTCCCCCTCCCCTCTTCCCTCCAAGAAAAAGCCTTTAATGTGTCTGGACTGTTGCACTTATACTTGGCACAAAGACCAGTAGTAGGTGGGATGGCCGCACACAAAAAAAGCAAAAAAAGCTCCAAAACCGACAAAAAGAACCTGGGCAACGGAGACCTAAGATTGACACTTGACCCACTCCTCCCCTCCCCCTCTGATCCCTCTGTTTCCCTCCCCTACCCCCCTTATCTTTGTGTACCTAGCTCTAAACATGGCCCTGATCTTGTCTGCCACCGTGTGGAAAGTGATGGAGCTTTCTGTTGATTTTCTGTGTGGATTCGAGATTGCCACATGGCCCACGAATGAAATCCAATTCTGTGGTTTATCTTATGCTTGTCTGTAGCTGTCATAGTTAAGGGGGATTGTAGATTAGTCCTCGCCTCATTGTGACCCTGGGAAGTCGTCTGGAAGACTTTCGCGAGGGTTGCACAACTATAGCTCTGACCGTTGGCGGTCATAGGGGTGCTTCGTTGATTTGAACATGAAACTTCATTTCTACATATCCAGTATCGACCACATCCGCCGTGTGGTTTATTCGATGTCACTGAATCATGGAAATCTCTACAACTACCCACATTGAGTTCCAGTAATCCAGTCACTGAGTGGTTTCTCTCACTCGCTGTGGGCGTGGCTTCGGCTATTTACAGTTGGATGGTTCAAGGATATATATTGCTACCCATCAGGATTATCCGTGGGATGCGCCGTAGAGATCATCTTTCCGCCCGTTATCTGGCAGTCGACCGAGACAAGTGACCAACCTAACTCCACTCCATAAAACACACCATTAAACTCGGGTAATTGAGCTAGCTCTAGCATGTCATCTCCAACATACCCAAGCTACCTTGAGCTTCCCCATATTTCGGAAATAGGTAAACAATCCATGTGGGGCAAAGACCTCCCAACTATGGGTTTGCCGAGTCATGCACCAATCAAAGCTGTGTATTGCCCAGAAACTCCAGTACCTAAACGGAGCAACCGTGGATCACGGCGCTCCTTTCGTGTCTATAGAAAGGGGAGACAAATCCATTCAATAGCCAACCTGTAGTAAGAGGGTCTATTTCCGACCGTATTGATTCAATGGGTCTCACTATTAGAGACAGATATCCAGTATTCAAATTTGTGTCAAGTAGCACATATAATCTCCGAAGACAAGTTTCGCTCATTCGCAAAGAAAAAAAAAACCAGTAAGTAACCCAATTGTCCACGCTATGCATCGCAACCAAACAGATAAAATAACAGTGTACCTTGGAAAGGTAGGTTAGAAAAAAACAGATAGGGCCCGGGGGATGTTTCCCCCAGCATGTACACCTGCAGTATTCCTGCGAGGTAGGTGCGTAAAAGTAATATGACACGTGTAACACTCCCGGAGGTCGATAAGGTCGAACCATAGGAGGTGCATGAGGATGGGAAGAAAGTCGAGATAGTGGGAGAGGGCGGGTGATCAGTCGGAAAGACAAATACAAGTGGGAAAGGAGGCGTAGAGAGCGGAAAGGAATCAAACAAAACGCCGAACAATTCCAGAGTCGAGAGGATAGGTTGCAAGCAAAAAATGCGCCCCCACAGAAAAAAGAAAGCAGGACACGGCTGGAGAGACGCCGAGGAAACCCAAGAACTCCAGATAATGATACAAGGGGATGTTGGAGCGGGAGGCACAAAGTAGGGGGTGGCAGGATAGGGAAGGAAGGGGATCCACATCTTCCCTGGCGTGAGAAAATCCGGGGCAGAATAGGCAAAGAGACCAAAGGGACACGAAAGGAAGGGAAGGAATCCTCCCGGATTGTAGCAAGCAAGCAGGCCAGTTGGCAATGGGTAACTGGGCAACCTCCCCTAGCCAGAAGGAAAGGACGGGGGGCCCAGACCACCGCCTGGAGTGCTGGTCAGGGGGGAAGAGATGATCGCGGGTAAAGCGGTACGTCGAGATGGGCATAGCGGCATAGCGAGCATAGCGGTGACGAGAGGCACGGCTGGCGCCCACTCATCCCTTCTTCTCGGATGCTTTGGACACTAAACCGTCCCAGTAGTGTTCAAAGCAAACCGACCCAAGGAAAAAAGGGGGAAAGTTGTCCGGGACCGAGGGACTCTGGTTGATTCGCCATTTGGCAGTAAAAATGCAGTTCCACCGCTATGCTGGCTAGTCAGTGGCTCGTTTACGAATCCCAGCTGTCCGCTGCCATACTTCATTTTTCCTCGCAGCTGTCATTTGAATGTTCAGTGCATGTCGTACGGCCGAGGAGAAGGTACACCGTAAAGCCGCGCGGATAAATCGAGGTAGACTGCGTTCAGGATCCTTCCCCAACCTGCTTGCTTGCCGTTTTTTTTTCTTTTGGATTCCCTTGGTGCTCTGCCTGTCAGATCCACATCACGCTACCACCCCCAGGATTGGGGCCGCCAGAATGTTACTTCCAGCGCTGTTTGTCCCAGTCCGACGGCCTGGTCTCATCGTAGATTTGGCCGCCTTTATTATGGATGATAACGGGTGGTTTGCGGACGGGATTGGCAGCTGACCGGGGTAGGTGTCTGCATTAGCTGGGCTGAATCTAGAGATCGAGTGGACTGGGGCTGCAAGGATAAATTGGTGCTGGATCGACATACCTCGGACTTCTGTGGCAATGACCTGGTCACTGGTACTACTATCGCCGCTGGCCAGGGTAGAATTGGAGTCGTTGGTGACTTTGTGTGGCATGGTGGTGGAGATGGATTGGGAAAGAGTAGCAGCAGGAAGCGCCAAGAGGAATTGAACGAGAGGAGCTGGGGAGTTGACAATTGACGAGGTCGGCCGCGAGATTGGATGGGCGTATGGGCTGATGCAGTCTCGAAGGGCAGGCAGTGTTGAACTGTGCGCTAGCGAGATCTATAAAGATGAGATGTAGAAACGAAGTCAAAGGACAACGAGGTGTAGGAAGAGAAATTAGATAGAGTATAGATGAATAGAGGTTAAGATAGTACAAGTATAGTGAAGCCTGAAAAGAAGAGACACAGCAGCAGGGCTTCTTTTTGTATACCCCAGGCCATTCCCAATTGAGCACTGCATCTGATCTACAACTCCGGGGAACCGTGAACCGCATCGTCGCCAGGGAGCTCTGCGGCGTTCGAAAAGGGAATGGGAATGGATCAGCCCCCTGACGTATCAAGAGTATTCGATGGGTAATGACGGTAACGAGCGTACGTGGACGAGTATCTGGTGCCTGGTAATACCGGCAGAGTTGCCGATTGATTGGCCATAATGCCAGGTCCAAAGCAGGGCAGCCAGTCCGAAGCGATGTAACAATACGAAGTGGGCTCGTCGTACGCAGTGGGCCCAATAATGATGAGTCAGCCATTCCTTCCCAAGAATAGCAGTGGGCGAGCTGCTACCAAGCTGCTGCCGCTTTGCTGCTTTGGTCACTTTGGTTGCTGTTTGGCTGGCTGCTGGTGCAAATTAGCTGCCAATGGTTCTGCCCATCGAGCCTGGCCTCGCGAGCAGGAGGATCATTCCTCAGCCTCACCGCTGCCCCGTGTCACCAATCATTAAGTTCCTCGCTCTTCTGACCAGGGATGCCTGCCTGGCGTAAACGGCACCAAAAGTGATGTCAATAATCATGATCCAGGGGCCCAGGGGGGGAAGCTTCACCGACTGACGCCCTCTGACCCTCCACACGCCCGGTCCACTCTGGTCCAGATGTTCTCTGTCCTGGCTCCGAGGCCATTCAGGGCCCCAGTTACGGGTGATCATTGCGATTAGAGCGCGAATTCGCGCCAATCGCAGCCGCCCTCGACCCGGAAGATCGCCGATCGTTTAGTTCCGTGCTTTCGGATTTCTCTAAGACACAGGCGTTTGGCGAAAGGGAAAAAGTTGGGTGGTACGAGGTCATATGACTCCTGCAAAGCGAGGACTTGTTGCTGGGTTGCTTTTTTATTCGTTTCCTAACTATATCGGTGGCCGTGCATTCAGAGCGCATAGCGCCAGGAGAGTCCAGGCGATGTACGTCACTCCCCCAGACCGAAATCCCCCTGCGGAGTCGAAGCTCCTGTGAAGTCATTGGGCCATGGAGCCATTGAGCTCTTGCGTGAGCTCATCATCTGTTGGTGGATGAAGCAATTGCAATCCCCTTTCATTCCAATTCCCTCTCCAAGGCCCCACCCAGGCAAATAACACTCATTCCTTCAGTCAACGAGCAGCCAGACAGGCCGCAATGAGGCTGCGAGACGTGTATCATATCCTTCACAGATCACTTCCAGAATTCTAGACCTGCTTCCGCTTTCTCGTTCTCTCAATGCCTCTGATCGCCACTGCTGCCGCTTCTTTCCCGCTTCATCCGTTCCTCCCATCCATTCATACTGCGCCGAATGCCCAGCGTCCGGCGCCCTGTCGCTGCTGGGGCTTGTTGGCGGACCTTGTCCATCGTAGTGGTGTAAAACGTCACAGACCGGACGCCGCCGGTGGATCTCTCCTGTTTCACTCCGCTTGTCCCGGCCCCGGCCCCTACGTCTACCATGCTGCTGCCACTCCCTTGCGGTGGTTGCGATGTCAGCATCCGGGTAGGTTTCATGGCGTCAGGCCGGGAGGGAGCCGCCATCCACGTGTAATTGCTGGGCTCAGCAGGCTCAAGGACCGGCCGGGACGGATGAAGGGGTCGTGGCTGGAGACGATGGGAAGAGAGCGAGGGTGGCACTATAGTGGCGCCTGGCCGAGAGTTGATCTGGGGTGTCAGGTGGTTTCTCGGGCCCGACTGAGTTGGCGGACGGATGGCTGGGGCGGATTCTGACTTTTGGGCGGAGGACGCTGGTCCGCCAAAGAAATTTGAGATGCTGGCTTGGGTTAGGCCATCTTTATGGCCGACGTTGCTAGGCGCCCTTGATTTACCTGTCGGGCCGGCCGTGCCTGAGGATGTTGTGCACGGTGTCATTGTATCTTGGTCGATAGCTGGGTTCACCGCGATGTAGTTTCGAGCGGACGTAAAGCCTGCTGAAGACATTGTCGTAGCAACTGTGAAATTGGACGAATTTCCAGTGCTATAACTCCCCACTGTCATGTAAGTTGTAGATGATGGCCCATTGGTGTCCGGCCGTCTTCGTTTTGGATATGGTTCTTGAATTGGATCACGGGGGCCTTGCTTGCCATTCCATTCATCGTTGTCGTTGCGTACTTCTTCGCCTTCACTGGTCCACTTGTCATCCAATAGAGATGGTAGAGATGCAAGGTCTTTACACAGGTCCTCAGGCGACGGCCGTGACCGGTGAAGAATATCAGCCATCCCATACACGACCTTCTCGTGGAATTGAGGACCTTTCGGTCGAAAGCGTGTCTTGACCAGCTTGGGTGGAAGGAACGGCGTTAACGTCGTAGACCCATCTTCTCCTTCGCCTATTCTAGGCTGTTTCACTGGGAGACTCAAGTACAGAAGTGCTTGTGCTCGAGTCATTGCAACGTACAAGAGACGTCTCTCTTCATCGACCACTTCAGCTCGTGAGTGTGGAATACTTCCATTGTAAACGGCGGGAATGAACACAACGGGCCATTCCAAGCCTTTGGCGGCATGAATCGTCGATATTGTCACACTCCCCGAGCCTTCCTCGCCCTCGTCCTGTGTCTGCGCCTCGGTGGCCAAGGCAACATTGGCCAAAAACCGGGACAGAGCCTCTTCCCCCGGATGTGATTGCTGCTGATCAACACCTTCGATCTTGGGTAAGTCTTCTTCGAGAATTGCCTCATTCTCGGAGGCTGCAGCGTCGGTAGCTTGACCCATCAGTTCTTTAACATTTGCCCAGCGACCGTCTTCGTCCAGCGGGTAGGTCTTGAGCAGATACTCTTGAAACGACAGACAGTCGGTGATGTACTCTAGAAGAACACAAGGGGCGGATGCATCTTGACAATCCTGCAGTTTTTGTTTGGATGCTTCGATCAGTTTTACTAATGAGCAAAGCCCTAGCTCCGCCGCTTTCTGTAACTTTTTCTCAGTTGATCGGCGGCCCTGTATCACGTCTTTGATGAATGTCCATAGAGTGACCTGAGCCTTCTCTGCACCGCTAGTCAATTGTTTGATAGTCTCGTCACCAATTCGTCGCGGGGGAACATTGATGATACCAAGCAAGGCGTCTGAATGGTCTGTGTGGCAAACAACTCGGAGATAGTTCAGAAGAGTTTTCACCTCGGTACGATCGAAGAACTTCCGCCCTCCTACCATCTTGTATGGAATTCCTGCTCGGCCAAACGCTGTCTCGATGCGGGTCGATAGCGAAGCGGACCGAAGAAGAACCGCAAAATCGGACATCCGCAGCAGGCCACCCGTCATGGCCACACTTCGTTTGATTTCAAGGACCATCCAAAGCGCTTCTGCATTGGGATTGGGCAGTTTTCTCAGCACAGGAAGGGTTCCAAACGTATGTGTCGCCTCGAGTTTCTTCGCTGGTCGTGTCGTGTCTTGTTCGATGACGTCTTGTGCAGAGTTCAAGATTGACCCCGAAGAGCGATAGTTAGATTCCAACAGGACTACTGATGTGTTCGAATATCGTTTTTGCATCCGCCTGAGGTTCTGGATTTCAGCAGACCGAAACCCGTAGATGCTTTGATCGGGGTCACCGACAATAGTGATGCGTCGATTCTTGGCGGCGAACAGGTTCATCAGATCGTATTGGATGATATTGGTATCTTGGAACTCGTCCACAAGGACTGTTTGCACATTCGAAACACACTCTGGGTGTTCTCTGAGGAGATCGCCGCAGCGCAGAAGCAGGTCGTCATAGTCAAGAAGATTCGCCGCTGCAAGCGCTTCATCGTATGCGCGATAGATTTCCACAAGCTCCAGCTCCTCTGCTTTCACCCGCTCAGCCAGATCGTTCGGAGAAAGCCCTTGGGCCTTGTGTTTGGAGATTCGCCCTTGTGCTGCTCTCATATCCATGCTGGAATTCAGACGCTTGATTATTCTCTGACCAAAGATTAGTGGATATGTACCTCTCAAGAAATTTACCCATATCAAACTCACCCGAAGAATTGCCCTTGTGTCATCGGAATCCGCAATCCCAAATCCTTTGCGCAGCCCAATCAAATATCCATACTTCACCAGATATCGCCGACAAATTGAATGAAAAGTACCTAAAATCAACCGCGACTGTAATTTCTCACCGATAAGCTTGCTGAGTCGCTCACGCATCTCCCGACTCGCTTTGATCGTGAACGTGCAGCAGATGACATCTTGTGGTTGATAGCCATGGTGAGAAAGCAGGTACGCGACGCGTGCAGTCAACGTTTTGGTTTTGCCTGAGCCCGGAGGCGCAAGAACCTGGAGGATCGGGGCAGAGGAGGTAACTGCCTCGCGTTGGGCGTGATTTAGACCATCGAGGATGGGATCCATGACATGTCGTGTGTTTTGGGGGATCAAAACCTCGAATGGGACTGACCAGTCGGGACTTGTGGATGGATCGCCCAAAGCGGCAGGTGAGACGCGCTGCGAACGCGGTGTCATGTGACATTGCCTGCGAGGGCCCAGAAAAGATGCCTGGTGGGCAAATAGGGTCATAGGGTTATCCACAAGGGATATATAGCCCAAAATATGGTGATTTGAATTTTGAGTGGTATAACAATATTATCATAAAGTGATTGGCTGGGGAAGGGGACTGTAGCTGGTCCCGAGTAGTGGGGTTGAGGCATGTATACACCTAGCCGTAGGCATGGTTTGAGCCAGCAAGCGTATGGAAGTTGCAAGAACTGGAACCGCTCTAATCGCGTGTCACAAGCTCGAGACTAATTTCCGTTGGCTAGAAGTTTGGAGTGCTTCTAAAATTTCTAGGAGAAGGAAACAAACGACGATGACCAGTATAAGCAAAGTTTAGATGTACTGTGCTTTTGTTGGCTCTGACCACCAAAGTCGATGTAATGTCATAGCTATTGACAGAAGTTTGACATCCAACGTCATTAACTAAAGAAGAGACAGGACTATACTACTCCTGCCGTACAGCATGGTAGTGAGAGGATGGTCCAATGGCTCCTGGAAAAAGATCCGACTCTGGACGATGTAACAACTATCGGGGAAACAGCTCTGCTTGAAGCGGTCCGGGAGCACCGAAAGACCACTGGCAGCCTACTTTTGAACGGGGGCGCCAAACTTGATGTGGAGTTGAAGGAAGGCCAGGGAAGACACGGCAAACCGCTTTGCACTTGGCCATCATTGATACCGACATGGAAATGGCCGAATTGCTCTTAAAGTATGCGCCCAATGTCTATCATCGGAGTAGGATAGGCTGCAGTCCGCTCGCCGAAGCTGCTTGCCTTGGCCGAGACGGTCTGGTCAAGCTACCACTGGATCATGGCGCTGATGCAAACAGGCCTTGGCTCACAGCCTTTGCCTAAATCCCCCTCTGATAAAAGACACTATGACATTGTGCAGGCTGTTATCGAGCGAGCGGCGAATCTCGAAAAGAACAATTCTTTTAAAAAGATCCCTTTCACATCGCTTGTGCCGCAGGGCATCAGTTGACTGTGAAGCTTTTATTGGAGGTGGGGGCTAAACCTGATGGCTCCGACAAACTTGGAAGAACGCCGCTGTTCGCTGCTGTGTGCGCCGAGCGTAAAGATATTGTTCATTTCCTGTTGTGCGATGCCACCGTCGATGCTTGCCAAATGGATATCTGGGGTAATACCGCCGCCACCGGGTCTCAAAAACCACAGTGTTCTAAAATAAGTCGCCTTTTTCTTTATGTGATTTGCCAGGTCTTCATTGCAGAGTTTGTCTTCAACGTATAGAGAATCTAGAGGACTTGAAGTGTCAGGGTTTTATCATGTGTATTTTCTGTCTGCCTATGTTGAAGGAAAGCTGTCTGACATGTGAACATGGGCTGGATAATAAACCATCTGGTTGTACAGTCATGTACAGAAGAGTGCGGTTGAGACGGATTGCATTATTGTATATGTGAGTGAGTATCGGGTCTGTTAGGCAGGACATAATATCCGTATCTCTTTGATCAGTGATCCCAGTCTCAATCCTTTCTATTACTCGTGCTAGGTGCTCGTTTTGAACTCCGCGGCATCGCTTCTCTTGTTCCTCGTATCTTGACTATAACAGTAGCCACTAGTGGCAAGGCAACCCATTGGGCTTCGTAAGCACCTTTTCATGCTAAATTAACACGAATGGCCTATCGCTTCGGAGAACCAAAGAGCCTAACTCCCGACTTTAGGGAGTTGATTTGCCAGGCATGCGGCCCGATATCGGACACCGAGAGAACACGGACCTTATATGCAATTTTGATGGCCAGGAAATCAAGGAACGGAAATTGAATAGGCAGAAAACCGATTCTTTCAACTTGGAGTCCTCGTTCTCGTAAAGAATGTAGGGTTTGTGGGGATCAAAATCAACATACCTGAGTGAAGCGCCCAGATTGGCAGCTGACAAGTCTGCGGAAAGACATCCGGAAAGTTGATTTGGATGATACTTGTATCGTACGTATGGAATGTGACTTGAGGCGCAGATAGCGGTTAACTATTGCGAATTATTGTAAGTTAAGGCCTCTGTCGGTGTCCGCTTTCGCTCGTCGACGCCGGCGAAACTCGTCGTCACCACACTATATGACTCAACATCGGGACACATTGCCCCATGTCCATGATGGTCGAGGCATGGACGCACGCTACTGACAGGCGAAGCGCGAGCCGAGAGTTACAGTAGCAGTCCAAAAATCCGAATCTAACGTCCAAGGAGGAGGTCCAGCTCAATACGCATCGACTGCCTCTCTTTCCCAAGATCTTTCTAAATGTCTTTCCATACATCTTTCTAGATGGCTTTGGAAATACATATCTGTCCATTTACTTTCCTAGTATGGCTGCCGGGATGATTTAGAAATTTCTTCGAGGGTTCAAATTATGGAATCCCTCTGTACTTATACATGATACACTCCGAATACGCGCCTGAATTTCCCGAAATGATCCGCTTCGACAGTGTCACAATCCCGCATGGATGGATCGAGAACGAGTTCGACCTGTAGGCAACCACAGACAGTTACCGAGACAGCGGATCTGCTGCCTAAAAAGGTCACTAGAACGAAGCGAGCCACGGGTCCAGATATACCTTGTAGCTATGTTTGAGAACAATGGATGTATATTCATGTAGATTGAAATTCAGCTCGCTCAGCGTATGTCAAAAGAAATATGTGTGACTGCCATGCAAGAAAAACGAGCAAAAAAAGACAAGGCTAAGTCGTATCAGGGTATGTACAATACAATTTAATATGCAAAACACTGTCATCCAGCACCCCTAGGTATCACACAAAGCACCCCGCAAATGTCCCCAATTGAAAAACTCTCAAAAGAGGTCCCATTTTCCCAGGAACACAATCATGGGTATCAATCTGAGCTGAAGATACCCAAGGGAATGTTCATGGACACTTCGTAGTTAGGCACGTTGACAATCTCGGTGATGTGCAAGTCCCCAGCAACACTGGCCAGGATATACGCCTCGCTCTCGGTAAGGCCCTTTGTGTGAACGAGCCATTGGATGAGGTTGCGAGTGGCGCTCTTCGCGGCCTCGAACAGGTCTGGAGAGACACCGAGAGCACCGTAGGTTCCGAGGTCAGGAAGTGGGTTGGGTATTTGAGCTCGAGGGGGGGTCTGATACTGAGGAGCGGTGATCCAGGGCTGGTTCTTGATGAGCTCGAATCGGAGGGTTGCTTTGATGGGGGTTTCAATGGCGGTGCCGCAGACTTCGCCCTGGCCCTGGGCGGCGTGGCCGTCACCACAGCTGAAGAGGGCACCGGCAGCCTGAACGGGGAGGTAGACGGTCGAGCCGACGCTGAGCTCGCGGCAGTCCATGTTACCACCGGCGTGAGTGGGAGGCACGGTGGAGAGTTCGTCGTCGGTGGCCGGTGCAAGACCCATGCAGCCTAGGAATGGTCGGAGTGGGATACGCATGTCCTTGAATTGAGCGTAGCCATTCTCACGGTCAAGGGACCAAATCTTGATCTCGGGTTCTGGGAAATCTTCTGCCAACAGGCCGAAGCCGGGGATAATGGCGGACCAGCCCCAGTCTGCGACTTCGAGGGCCAGGACCTCGACTTTGAGGACGTCCCCAGGCTCTGCATCTTGCACATAGATAGGACCGAAGACTGGATTGGCGATGCCGAGATCCAGTTTCTTGATCGCCGAGGCGTCCGAAGTGGTGTTGAGCTGACCGTTGCTGCTATCGATGGCATCAAACGTGACCGTCTGACCGGAGGAGACGGTCACTTTGGGCGCGATCTTTCGAGACCATTTCACATGGCCGCAGTCTCGTCCTACATGGAAGTTGTTCCAACTTGCTGGTGCCATGTTGGGCGTGGTCGATTTAGTGTGAGTCAGTGTAGCAGTCATTGGGAGGTGGCGGCAACCCGCAATGTCGATGGTTATCGAACGGTGAAGCGATATCGGACTGGACTAGAGGAGAAAAAAAGCGACCGAAGGGCGTATTTAAAGAAAATGGAACGAGCGTAGGGAACCGGAGGCCCGATCCAGGTACCACAAGACGAGATCCTCTTCAAGGGTGACCGTTAGGGAAGGTGGATAGAGTCGGATCTCACAGCCTGAAATGCTTGTTCTTGGAGGGAGCTCCACCCTGGGAGCCGAATTCGTCGCCTGCCTAAAAGGGTTTGACAGGGTTCCAGGGGACTGGGCCATCAAGGCCACTTCGTTGGAGCCTCCGGGGTTCATCCAGCCGGTAGCCTCCCAAGGAAATGCAAATGCAGAGACGCTCTGCAGGCGCTGGTTGGGCGGATGGAAAGGGCGGTCCACCCTGACGGAGCGACGCGATCTTCTTATCCGCCTGCTACATTGGTTCCGATACTGGCATCGTCATCACTGTCACCGTGGAGATAACCTTGTCGAGCGGGGTGCAAGAGAGAGTTCCCGACGAAGAAAGAGGGGCGAACCGGGCGGATTTTGTGGGTTGTGAACGGGATGCACTTCCTCAAGGCAGAACTTTTCCAAGTAGTATACACAAGTACCACTGTGTATCTGAATGTCTACAGCTGTCTAACAAGAAGAGTCACTGACTCAGAGCAGGTCAGATCGAACAGACGGAAATCCCGACGTCTAGCCGAGGAGGAAAGGTCTGAACGAATGAGAAAGGCAACCTTATAGGGTGCATCAGAGATCCAAGGTTATGATACGAAACGCAACGCCACCGGAGCAGTCCTTGAAAGGCAGGCCGTTTGGCCTTTTTGGGTCCCGCTCTGGTGGGGTTGGAACGCCAAGATTGGAAACCTACAACCCTCTTTTTTTTCCTTTTCTTTTATTATTTGCATTATTTGCATTAGTTGCATTAGTTGCATGGCCTAATCGATTCGGTTTAGTTACCTGGGTTTGTGTATTTGATAGACCCTCCATATACTACTCGTCTCCATCAAAAATCGGGCTCTGAGATAAAGTTACTCAAACTTAATCGTAGGCAAGAGAAAATTCAAAGTTGTTATGCATACTTGTCTTGTCGACTCTCTATTTTCCACAGTTACATCAGAAAATCCGTCCTAAAAATACTGGAAACGGCCCTCACAGTTGCACACAACCACCTTCTTTTTCGGGGCAAGGCAGACCCTTGCAGTGGGACTGGGTGGACTTGGCCGATATGCAAAACACCACGTAGTAGTGGGCCGATCGCCTCTCGGAGAGGCTGGATTTAGTCTATGCGGATGGAGGAGGCGCTTCAAGATGCGCTTCAGAAGTACTGTATACTACAACAAGTAGCTATACCACTTGTTAGCTCAACGGGCATCGCAATCCCAAGAAAAGCAATATGATACCCCATGTCAAGAGGCTGGAAAATACTTCAAGAAATATCGTCCAATAAGATTCCCTGCTTTTTAATACTCACCTTCTCTATTCTCCATCACCTTTGTCTAGCTATCTGATCATCGCCAGGTTCGTCCATAGTTCCCGCCTCTTACAGTTCCCAGTCGCATCATCACGGGTCCTATCCCCTGGCCCCTCCCAGAGTTTCTGCTCTTTCACTTCCCATTCAGCCGACATCACGAATGTTGTCCATCCAGCATCGCAACAACACACGAGGCATTGTCACTCTTGGGACGACTAGCAGTGCTACTGGTTATCTCCTGGGCAATATCGTTGGCGCGCATCCCCCGCATCGACAGTTTCATCACGTGCTGGATCAAGGCCGTATCGTCGATACGGTCGCTCACCCCGTCCGATACGATAACGAGCAAGTATCGTCGATTCGACTGCAGCGTGCGCACTGAGATGTAGGGATCGTTGGACAAGAAATCCCCACGAACTGGCGCCGATGACGACGAGGCGCGCCGTGCTTGAGTCGTTGGAATTTCATCCTCCACGGTGTTCACCGGGTTCTTGTACTGCAAGTCGCCCAGTGCCCGGGACATATTCAGGGATCCTGCTCCATCGGTTTTCCTCGTGAGTATCAAAGCTCTTCAGTCATAACTTTGTGCTTCACCGGGGCCGCCCACTACTGGTCCCCGCTCCCTCACGGGCTCTCGGGCCCTCTCCTTTTTGGGCTGGGCTAGCTAGGGCCTATCTGCAACTCACCGAGCCGAGTGATCCCGTTCCGTTTTTCCACCGTACCTCCAGCCTCTTTGATACGTGCTCGCTCGCTAGGCACTTCGGGCTTATGCGCTTCTGTGAGGCGACGCTATAGTTTGCCAGTCAGTCACTGTTCTGTTTTCCTCGGCTGTGTGACAAAGGCCCATACAACGTGATATGGATATTCGGTCTTGGGATCCCGTTCGGCCAAGATGACATGCGAGTCGCCCAGATTGGAGACTACCAGCTCTCCAGTCGTCAAATTGACCAAGCACACCGCCACTGTTGATCCAGATACGGCGGGCTCGACGGACTCGCGCATAAAATTGTCCAGTAGCACGCCATCTTCATCGGCCAGTGCGGCCTTCATTGCGGCTGCATAGTCGCCTTGTTGAAGCTCAGGTCGTTGGGCAAATACCTTATGCAGATTCTTACTGGCATGGTCTGCGACAAGTCCGGATCCACTGTCCGGGGATCAGCATGTTTCCATTCGGCTTTCGTTGAATGGAATTTCTTACTGTCCATCATATATCGCAAAGAACGCAAGATTGTCATCCGTCTTTGCGGGGAAGTGTTCCGGTAAGATTATCGTGTGTCTATCTTCCTGGAATTTTCTGCTTCCTTGAGCCTACACCTTATGGTAAGTCTAATAATTATCAGAGGAGCACGAGGGGGCTGCTACTTGACCTGCTCCAACATCGAAAAGAACAAGTGCGTCCGATGTAGACATGAGTGTATTGCGGAGCGTTTGGTCTCTCAGAGCTCTATGCGCGAGGACCATGTTGGAATATGATCGAGCACCTTTCGATTGCAGCTTCATTTGCCTAGTGGCGCATTTGCCCCAGGTGCTGATGGCGTGTGCTGGTGATTGCGGACTGACATCATTTGAGAACCCTTTCAAATGTTGTAGCTTATTATAATAAGCTAAAATGATTCATAGCTCTGCGGATTTTCAATATCTTCTTGAGTCCGTCTATTCTAGCTACTGAGAAACGTATCTCTAGGTACCAACATACACTCAAAGTGACATCTAGATTGGCAATGAAAGAAAATTACACCCTCTTCAAATATAATCCGATGAAGAATATTTTCAAACTAGGAATTCATCAAGATTTCCCGTGTATGAGAGTCAACAGCGTCTTAACTACATACGGCAGTTGTATCTAGATCTCGATTTCAAACCCGCACGGACCACCCGTCCATCGGGCGATTTTGCAAGTCGAGACACGATGATCGCTCTTACAACAGTCACTACTCCTGCCTCTTAAACAACGCAAATCCCTACGAAATGGGCTGGCCAGGTGTGGGGGCTCTCGCTGCAACCGCGGGATATTTCTTCTCTCGCAGTCAACCTAACGCTGACAGCAAGACCCCGGATTCAACCTCCTCCGCCCCGCCGGACTCCAGGTCCGAGCCGCCTGCACCTTCCACCGATGAACGTTCTCCGGAGAGACATGACGCAGGTGTCCCGACATCTCCGCCCCTAGACTATGAGGAGGGTAGCTCTCAAATTACCCCCAAGGCATCCGCATCAAGTCCGCCGCCACCGATCCTCGCCGTCCCTACGCTAAGTCTGAACGGTGACTCAGGTGACAACGATAACGCTACTGGCGTCGCAAGAGACTCATCAGGCCAGGCCAACGTGAACGGCTCGGGACAAAAGTCATCACTGACAACCTGCAACGATGCTCCCGCTCAGACTAGGGTGCAACCCCCGTCTCTCGCGGCGACTTCGTCGCGACAGCGGCCGACGCCCCCCAACACGACCAGCTCGCCTTCCCTAACAATGCCACCTCCCCCAATCCCACGCCCCCGACCAAATCCACAACCAAACAGAGCACCCCCAACCCTCCAACCGCCTCGATCAAGCGCTAGCTCCCTTCGCACACCCCCTCCGCCGCCGCAAGCCTCCGCGTCCCGCCCAGTGCCAGCAGCAGCGGCACCGGGCTCAGCAGCAGCACCCTCGCCCCAACCGCAGTCAAGAAACAACCATCCCGCAAAGTGATCCTCGAGCCAGGATACTCGCCCCTGGACTGGGCCGCGCGCGCCGCAAACCCAAACAACCAACTCCGCGGCGTGGGCCTACCCCCGGGTCTCCTGCGGGTGACGCCCTCAATGCTGAAGACGCAGCATGGGCGCAAGGGCCGGGATGCGTGGACGTCGTATCAGGGCAAGGTTTACAATATCTTGCCGTATGCGCCGTATCATCCCGGTGGGAAGGGGGAGTTGCTGCGGGGCGCGGGGAAGGACTCGGCGCAGTTGTTCGCGGAGATTCATCCGTGGGTGAATTGGGATGGGATTTTGGGGGAGTGTTTGGTTGGGATTTTGGTTTCAGAGAATGACGTTCAGGCGGAGAATGGATTGGATGCGATGGATTGAGATTTGATTGCAGGTAGGGTGCGAAGCAGGCAGGATCTAGCGGGCTTGGTATTCTTTTGGACTGCACTTGTGGACTTTTTGGGTCATGTGTGTATGGCGAGTGAGATGGATGGAGCCGGGGATTGTAAGATACATTTTACACATATACTAGACGCGAGATACCCCCCATTATAATAGATGCGCAGTCTTACTACGCGCAGCGAATGAAACAGAAAGATTGCAAATTGCATCATTCCAATGATTTGGGGGTATATCATTTGAGAATAAGTGACAGAAGCCGAGTTCTGGCCACATCAACACACATCATAACATAGAGTATATACTTCAACTTCACAGCTCATCCTTGTCAACGCCCTCGATAGCAACCAGCTCAGTCTCGAAGATCAGAGTCGCGCCACCGGGAATGGGGCCAACGCCACGGTCGCCGTAGCCGTACTCGGGGGGAATGGTCAGCGTGCGCTTCTCGCCGATGCACATGTCGAGGAGACCCTGGTCCCATCTACAGCAGGAAAGAAGAGTTAGCCAATTGCCCAAACAAGAAAAAGAAAAAGCAAAAGCCTCGAAACCACCAGCGGGGAGAAAAATGTAAATGAAAAAAGTGTATAGGCGATTCTTCGCGACACAAATATCCATATCCATTCCATCTTCCAATTCAAAAGAAGGGCCTTAACTCACCCCTTAATAACACGACCAGTTCCCAGCTTGAAGGTCAGCGGGACATTGCGCTTGAAGCTGGAGTCAAACTCGTTGCCATCAGACTGGAGAGTACCCCGGTAGTGCATGGAGACGTTATCGCCGTTCTGGGTCTTGCGCGTGCACTCGACCTTGTGGGTGACTTCGATGCCCAGCTCGGCGGCGCAGGCGAGCGAAGCAAGGGACAGGAAGAGGGTGGTGAGACGCATTGTGGTGGTTAAGTTTTTGGAGGATGAAGATGTTGCGCAGATAGAGGAGGAGGTGGAGGGAGTCTGTGGTATGAGATCAATTGAGTGAATGGAGGTGAGGATGGTGAGGGGGTTGGAATGGGAGGGGAGGGGAGAAGAAGAAGAAGGCAACGTGGTAAAAGGTGGAGTGCGGAGGCGAGAGCTTGGCTTGGGAGTTCCGCATTGGTGGGGCCTTTCAGTCCAGGTACATACTTTGATACTGCAGAATTGGCAGTGCAAGTAGAGGGAGGACGAAAATCGCGGTTTCTTTTGCAACGTGGCTTGTATTACCTATTCTATTTATCCTCTGAAATAACGGGAATATGAGAAAAGAAAGGATCTCTGGTTAAATTAGTGACTATTGATTGTCAGTCAGTCAACGCAGATCCCCCGAGTCTTTGCCTCCATCTTCAATTCCACCGCCGTCTCGAGGTTTAAGCTGCCTTTGCAGCGGTAGCCGAGACAAAATTCTCCGTATGGATCCCCTCGCCTGCATCAGCCTTCAGGTCATCCTCTCCCATAGATCCATCCCACCCATGCGACACAAGGTAAGCCCGGAACTTCTCGTCGCGCAGACGCAGATCCTCTCCAGTGAGATCCGGCACGAAGAACCAAGTGACCAGAATGCCGACTACACCACAGATCGCAGCAATGATAAAAGTCCACTTCTTCCCAAGATTGTTGGAAATTGGCTGAAACGCCTGCGTGCCAATAGCTGCCCCGGCTTTTCCAACCGCGGCTGAGAGGCCGTAGCATGTTCCACGCACGCCGGTGGCATAGGACTCCGAGGACATTAGACCCAACATATTTCCGGGACCAAAGTTGCCGGAGCTCTGCATCAGACCGTAGAAGATAATGAAGAGAGGAAGGATCTTGGTGATGCGATCAAAGGCGCATCCAATGATGAGGCCGAAAACGAGGTATCCGCTGAATCCGATCATCATGATGTTTTTACGACCAACACGGTCACAGAGGATAGCACCGAGAAAGACACCAGGGAGGGCAATTGCTCCAAGGAGGAGCTGCCATTCGCCTGTTTCACGGATTGTGCCGTTCTTGACCACAGACGAGATAATTGTGCCCGAGAAGACACCATTGGGGAAGGTGACGAAGTCTATAGATAGTACATCAATGACGAGTCCACTGGCAAAATCAGTATTCATGTATAGAGACATACCATAGAGGAACCAAGCACCGCATGTCCCAATCAATGTCTTCCAATAATACCGTATGACAAGCTTGTACGGAACATGTTGTTTGATCGCGCCACGACGGTAAAGTTTGGAGTTGAGCATGCGGATTCGGAAGTAGAAAACGGAGAGTGGCCAGATACATCCAATTCCGAAGCATACTCGCCACACAGTGCTGAGGTGCGACTGGTGACAAGCTGCGAGGACGATCAAGAAGATGGATACTGCGAACGGGCCGCCAAATGACAGGGGGAAGTTGGTGACCATAATGAAAGCTGGGCCTCGATGCTTCGGCATCAGGTCATTGGCGGCCTCGGAGGCAGATGTCGACGATGCGGGATACTCGCCACCAGTGCCTATAAGTACGGTTAGGCTTGAAGAATATTGGCGACAAAATGATTAATTAGTACAGCCGTACCAAAGCCAACAATTCCACGAGCTACGGTCATCATCCAGAACATGCCGTTAATGGTAACACCATGTGCGGCGGTGGCCAGGATGCCTCCGACGACGATCATCAGGGTGGTGAAAACAATAGCCATCTTTCGGCCAAAATAGTCGCAGGTCAGACTAGATTCGAAAAGTAAGTAATGCGCGACTGCTTGAGCTGGTTAAGCAGTGAGGAAGCTTACCCAACAACAACCTGGCCGATGATTTCACCCACAAGGAGTGCATTAGATACGCGAGTGCTAACAAGCGTGGTATACTCCTTGGGGTATTCACTCTTGAGCAGGACGTTGGTCATAGTCCTGTAGTGACGAGCGCATGAGCGGGGGATCATAGAAGAAGAGGAGAACCATTACTCACATGAGGTTGTTTTGGTATCCATCACTGATCAGAGCGAAGCCGCTTGCAAACTATATGATTCCCTCGTTGGCCCATTTATAAATACAAGTTCCTCGACAGCAATCTTCAAAGAGGAGAAACGGGTTCACTCACGATCGTAAACAGGTCTGAGAGACTCTGTCGCTTCGTCGAGACCTCGTGTGAGTGGTCATCCACAACATCAACCTTAGCGTGAACCTCAGCCTTGGAGACATCGCGCTCCTCGGGGGTGGCTGGCGCGTCTTCGATGGCCATTTCGCAGTCAAAAGGGGGCACTTCACTGGAAAAACTTTCTTACTCGAGAGGAAGTCTCACTTGAGAGGAAGCAAGATTTATGTATAGAGAGAGATAAGAAGAAGAAGTGCAGAACAACAAACTCTCCGTTGGGAAGGTGTACAGGAGAGGGAAGTAAGGGCGCACGGGACTCTGTGATGAACCAGCCCTACTCCCGCCCGACGGTACCAACGGATTTTAGTTCGGCGCCGCCATGGCGTTCCCCTAAAACTTGGCTTTCCTATAGTGTGTGTTTGAGCGTTCGAGGGAACTATATCGCCGATTTAGCTTCACATTCCAGTTTCAACTGCATGTCCATCACATGGTTGATGTAGGCGTAGTAATTGGCTTTGTGGGGTGAATGGGTCCATGATAAGTACCCACCGAGTAGTATAAGCTCCGAGTAGTGTAAGCTCGGTAGCTGCGAAGCTTTTTAGAGAAGGCGTGAGCATGTAAGCGCAATCTCATCTTTTGAGAAATTTGATTAGATCTCATTGGAAGCTAATTACATCGATTCGTGACATGAGTTCGAGGGGTCTCGACCCCAACAATAGAAGCAGAAGACAAAACGCCGGTGACCACCTCCCATAAATCAAAACTAACGCCGAATATGTGTGCGCCTGCGCTGGTAGAAACTAGACGCTAGAAACTAGACGCTGGAAGCCAGATTGCCCCGAGGGTATCAAATGCATGTACAGATGACCAGGGATAACTTCAGACAGAATAAGTCGAGAATCCCGCACTTTTTGGACTGGTAAAAATGAAACAGTGAAATGAAAGGAGATCATCAGAGATGAGCGACGAACAGGAAGAAAGGAGATTGTCATAAAGCTAGGCCCATTTGCCCAGCAAGGCCATCAGGGCAGCGCCCATGCACAGTAGGATGAAAGCAGCCAGTACCTCACGGATTGGAGCCTTGCGCATGGCATTACTGAACATAAACTCGTGCGCCATCAGCTCCACCAGCGCGGTGTAGATGAGAATCCCGGCGGAGATGGAGTCGAACACTCCGTTGACAATGAGCGTGGTCCGTCCCGTCGGGGGGTAGCTGTTTCGGACACTCAGCCCGATAGCAATGGCGATTGGGGTGGAAATTCCAAATGCCAATCCCAGGAAATAAGGCGTAAGCCGCTTAGATTTGGGCCAGGGGATAAGAGCCAGCCGGGAGCCTAGACCGAGGCCCTCAAAAGTCTGGTGGAAGACCAAAACAATGTACAGGGTGGTGAACTCAGCACCAGAGACAGCCAGCGTGAGACCAATGAAGACGGAATGGAAGATGATGCCGAACTCCAGGATGAAGATGGAGGTCAATTGGGCCGCATAATCCTCGCTCACTGCGGCATCTTTCTCCGAATCATCGGCATCGTGGTGCTCGCGGGAGTGGCCTAGGTGGTCTTCACCGGGCATGTGGTGACTCTTGCTGGGATTTAATTCTTCCACCATGGGCTCGGCTGTGTCGATGTGAGAGTGGACGTGTCCTTCCTCGTCGTGAGAGTGACCGTGGCCAGAGCCAAAGTGGGAGAATCGCATGACCATCAGCTCGACAAAGAATAGAACGACAATGGTCATCAGGATGATACCCTCAACCCAACTGTATTCAGTGATGGGACCAGTCAAGCAAGAGTTGGTGAGGGCTTCCTCCGCTGGAGCAAGAAGGTGGATAAAAGCAGTTGCGATAATGACACCTGAGCCAAAGTACTTTGCGATGAAGAATGCCCATCCGGGCACACCTCCACCTTTCCCACCAAACTGTCGAGCAAAGACAGGGAAGATAGCACCGAACATGGATCCAACCATAATGACGAAGATGGAGGAGATGCGCAGGCCCAAGCGGCCATCAAACTCATTACCAGACGCACAAGGGTCGGCGGCGCGCTTCAGGAGCGCATTCACAGAGTCTACCTCCATGGTGAACGTAAGTAACGATGTGTTTGCGTATCAAAGACTCGAAGAGGGAAGTGATGCAGTAGTGGATAGACCGATCTGAGGATTCACAGCAGTTGTAGTTCGATTGCAACTACAACTGCTGGGCGGCAAAAGGGTCAAATCAAGACGAGTGAGTCGGAAACACTTGTGGTGAATAGGAGAGGCGAGAAGATTATCTGGACAAGTTGACCGTGGAGGGGTTTTCCAAGACAGGCTGTCAATCTTGTGTGGGTGGTTCACAGTAATGGCCGACACCCCCAAGGTCCTCGAGTATTGGCGAGACGGTCCAATGGCTGGCAGAGAGTCAACCAGGTTGGCCTGTCAAGATCAAACCCTAACGCAGCGCTACTCGGTCAATTATCCGCGATACGCACGCAATTAGTTGATTTGAGTCTCTTGGCAATGCGCGCTGTCCGTTCTAGCATGAACCGGTGAGGCAGAGACTTGTCGGCTATATGACGCAGAGAGGCGGGATGGTGGATAAGCTGGTTTTCCGAAAACGTGTAGTACCAGGATGCACTACCAAGGGAGGAAGGTGTGCAATCGCCGCTCCACCGTCCTCAAGAACGACACAAAGAGGAATAATAGGGATGGCAAGAGTCTCACAATGGACAGAGGATGGTTTGAAATCATCATTGACACCCCCCCATCAAACTCTGCGGAAATCGTAGCCGGACTTTCCAGCAGCGGGGGATGGGGACCTTGTTGGCCTCGAAGACGTCAAAAGATAGAACTTTGCTGACAGTACTGAGTACTTGTGGTCACACTATGGTCATAGTGACAGATGAAGTACCCGGTACTTCCGGAGTGTTCTAGCCCGCGGACCAAATGAGGACCTTGGGGACGGTCAGGCTTTTCCGATTGCGGTGGTGGGCCCCCAGTCACGTGGACCGCAATTGAGCACTTACAAGAAAGCCAAGGGCCATGGCGGGAGGACCAGCGGACCAGAGAATCATCAAGATGGGTTTCAGATGCTCGATCGAAGATGGCTATCGACACAGATGAGAAAGAAGAAGGTTGACCTAGAAAGAATTCTTTGAGCACCCTACAAGGGTGGTGCTGACAGAAGCGTGATCCTTCACCAATCACAGGATCTGCCGGGCGGGGAGCTTCCCGGCACAGACTTGATGAGCTCTCAGCTACTACCAATCTCTTTGACGGAAGCTTTCGCCTGCTTTCAACACATCTACCATGGCTCCTATCCGTCGCTATCTGCGCATCAGCAAATACTCGGTGCTCGAGTGTCGCATATATCTGGACAACCCATCCGACTCGCGATGGCTCTTGAATCCACGCGATCCGGTTCTACCTCGCGTCTTCGCCGCGATTCGACCGCTAGTCCTGCCCAAGTTACGAGAAGAGAATGAACGGCTTTGGTCACGCAAGAAGGGGAAACCTGTGAAGGATGTTATTGCTGAAGGTAGCGAAACCCTTGTTGCTGGAATCTCCACGGCCAAGATTAACGTCTTATCCCTACTACTTCAGATGAATTCGAAGTAGCAATCTTCCTCCGCGAGTCGCGTACCCGTCACGCCCTGTTGACCAGAAACAAGACTTTTCACGAACCGGATAGCAAGAAGAACAAGAAGCTGAAGCCAGAGCCCGGGGAGGAGTTGACGGAGGATTCGGCTGTTCCAGCCCAGTCTACCAGGGCAGAGGTCATTCTTGATAGTGACGACAGCGAGGCCGAAGTCGATCTGCGCAATATTCCCGAAGCAGCCGAAGATGCCAATAGCGTGGAAGCCATCACGTTGTCAGACATTGGAATGAAGGCTCAGGCCGGGGAGGAGCCAGCGGGAGATGAGAAGAAGCTCCGCTTTAGCACCCATTATGAGAGTTTCAACATCACAGGATGGGTGCTCTGTTTGCTCATTACTCGCAAAGTAGATCGGGCACTAAGTCGTACAGCTACAACAGAACCGAAACAGCCTCTAATGGAGGAATGGATCTCCACCCAGGCCCAGACAGGTCTCGGCGAGGACTGAAGGGTAGAGCAATAGCCACGCCTGTTCTGTTGTCCAACAGCAGACTTGAAACACTCATGCTACAGTACAACATGCTATGTACTGCCCCTCTACCGTGTGGCTGAGGATAAGCTGCAAGGTTCAAGCCTCGTCTCCGCCTTGGATGGCGGCTAACCGCAGTGGCGTGACCTTTCGCAGGGTGCTCCCTGTGATACATACCCAAATTGCAGAGTTGCAGACCTGCAGACCTGCCAGGCCTCACGGAAATGACGAGCACCTTGTCGATTATTACATAGCACGAAAATGGTTGCTCATAGCTGCATATGGCCCAGCAAAAAGATCACGAATACATCTCCGCCCTGCAGACAAGACCCATGTTGCCTATGCCCGATTCAGCTGCTGTAGTGTACAGCGTGCCTTGAGGACATGGTCATCTCACGAGAACGGAAGGCCACGGATTCAATGATCGGAACCCCAGGGATCCGTTACGCAGGTGGCGGTCCCCCAAGTTCGAGCGTACCTTGGGTCTTGCACCGCCAGGTTCTTGGAACCGTCAAGATTAGAATTTCGGCAAGGCATAGCGAGGGTATTTGAGTTGCCTATGTACGTCGTTGCTGGCCTCAGGGCGCATGGTGATCATCGGGAGACGCCATTTCCGAATTGTGCCTGATGAGACCATGTCTCGGTTGAGTTCATGATAAATCTTGGAGTCCACCGTCTGGCCGGTCACGAGACAGTAGCTCTTGATTCTGGTGGACTATCATGACCGCTCTCCCAATCGCTTTCCAAAGGCCCTCCAGTCCCACCCAGCGTCAGCTCTTCAGCGCACAGCAGGACTCTGGTCGACCTTCAAGTAGCTTTGCTCTGGCGGGGCCTCGGTTCGCCGTTTGTTTCCAGTAACCCGCGTCGAACGCGAATTGCCAGGTGGATCCACGTCTTGAAACAGCCCGTCTCCTCCACCACTTCCCGTGACCTTCCCGTGCAAGACTGATATTTTTTTTGGTTGATCTACTAGAGACTAGGGTTGACTAGCTAAGGAATTGAGGATAGATTGGTTTAATTATTGGCTTGATTTTCTCCGAACTCCCGTCTCCGTACTTGCCGACCGAACCTGTTGGGAAAACGGGAATTCACCCTGGTCAGTCGGATAGAGATTATGATAGTAACATGAGCTAGCGAATAATAGACTATCTTTCGCAATTGCGTAATATCTATCCAGTCGTCTTGAGGAGAGTACTACAGAGGTGTCCTATCGAGTCAATTGTATTGCATCTATCCTATTTGGAACACAACTTATCGTATTACCACCTATCTATCGATCAAACTGTCAAACGGACGCCAAACCCCAGTAATCACAGATTTCTATATTTGTCCAGGGAAATCCTGAATTGAAGGGTAAGCATGAACCTTGGAACCAGCTCAACAAACCTCCCAATCGAGCAAAGTGAACCCAAGCAAACCCCGTTTGCCACGTGCTGGCGGGGCCAGACTCAAACGGGCAAGTCGCTGTTGATCCTCGATCCTGAATCCTCATAGAAACATTGGTTACGCTCGATAGAGTACAGTGTACTCCGTACAAATGCTAGTGTATTCTGTAGAGTAGTAGTGTATCAGATAGTCGAGCAGGAATTTAGAGAAAAGTCTATAATCCCTGCTCCCAAGTGGCTACTGCAGTGAAAATCTCCGGACTGCCTTAATCACCCTCCATTTCCCCGAGGCATCCACTGTATTTCCAACGGCGCCGAACGGCGGTGCATCTCCATTTTTCAGTGGAGTCTTGCACCGCCCTATTCTCCATCGAACTCGTTTATTGAAGTTTGTGGCCCGTTTAGCGTAGCGAGAATTCCACTTGCCCTTTGTTCAAACCTCGGGGAGCAAATCTTTCTTTCTTTGTTACTCTTTCCCCCTTTCGCGTCCCCAATGTCCCACATCGAACGGAGTGTTTTTCGCCACTCGTTTGTTTCCAGGACCTCTCTAGGCTCCACAACTCCTCTGTACAGTCCAGTAGTAGGCAAGTTGTACAGGGAGATTTGCGGTTCGGGACCCGCTAGAGCCGCGAACTTTACCCGCTTACCAGGGACAGGCACACTGGCTGCTGGGCATATCCACCAGAAACAGGAACAGGAATAGGCACAGGCACAGGCCCACAGATGTACGGAGTATGGAGAAACCACGGAGTATATTTGGCACCCTTGACGAATTCCACCACTGTGGTCTGCCCTTTTTGCGTCCCCAAATCCCGGTCGCTCGGACAAGGCCGATGCCCACCATATTACCGTATAGGGCTGTGGTCATGCGCACATTGTGGGTTGGGCCCGTCAACCACTGACCAGGGCATTTTGCCTTTTTGCCTCGTTTTGTTCAGGATTACGTGGTATTGGATCAAGGATGAGTTGAGAAGGCCTGCATATGGTAGTAATCTTGGGGTAAATGTCCAGGGACGCAGGAGACTATGTAACTCAACTAGCCCGAAAAACAGGGTAAACGTATGCTTATTTCGGGAGCTGTGGAGGTCCAACTTCCGGGGCATGCCGGAGAATAATTATTTGGAGAGACGGCTCTCCAATTTGGAGACTCGCTGCAGTAGTGTCTGAAACTACGGAGTTTATACTCCGACTACTACACCTTGCAAGATGCATACGGCCATACGCATCATCTCCGTTTGTATGCGTCGCTACGTACAACAAGAATTAGTATCACCGCAATCCGGAGTAGATATCCATCGCTTCAATCAGCGATCGGATGCCGAGCACGCAATTGACGCCACACGGCCAGCGCAGCGCAACCAGCCTCGGAATAGTTTAGTTTGTATAGCGTAGTCAAGTAGATCTTTCTTGAAACAACAACAACAACCCCCTGGTCCAGTGATGTGCACGATCAACCCTGGGGAGCAGGGGTATTTTGGGCCGGCGATGAACGAGTGGCATTGCATGTCTGTACACCTGCATGATGCATGATGCATGTCCATTTGATGAAGAAGAGGGGCAAGGGCCATCCATGTACATGCAAGCTTGTCCTGTAGTACCCGCTGTATGTTTAAATGAGGGTATGCAATGGACGATGTAGTTTATCCGCCTTTGTCCTTCTTTGGCCGAGTACGGAGTACATTAGCAAATGGTGATTCAAATTAAGGAGCCGAGGACAGAAGATGATGAGAGCACGGAAAATTACAGGCTATCTACACTAACAATGAATAAATACATACTGTAGTAGGTGTGTTGATAATGTAGGTGTGGGATGGGATGACAGCCAGCTTAGAAACCGTGGCATCATCAGCGACAGCCTTGGGACGGGAATGATTCGGCTGTGTTCTCCGTTAGCGGGCGACTACTTCAAATTGGGTTCCGCATTACTGTACTGCATTTAGGGCTTGCTCTCGACTAAAGTGTAAAACAAAATGTAATCATTATTATTGTGCTTACGATTCTATTTGATTACAAGATATCATTCCTCTTTTCTATTCGTAACCAACTGATAAGAAACTCGAAACTCCCCGACAGACACGAGAACGACAGCCTTCGCTTCGACCAGGCTCAAGAATAGCATCACCGCTAGATCGCTGACTATTCTTTGAGTACATAATCGTCCAAATTCTATTTGCTGACCCTGTTGAATGAATACCACGGGTATCAACCACGGTCGGTGATGGGTCCGGCGTCGAGAGTGAGACTGTCAACCCTGGCCTTATTATTTAGATTTTTTTTTAGCATCTTTCATTGGAAGTGCATTTACTTTGAAGTTGTAAGGCAGACAACAAGAAATTCGCCTCCCCCTGAGACAAAGTCGGCTGTAACCTCCAACCTACAGTCCTATTCCCCACCACCCCCGGACGCAGACCGTTGTTATCTGAGCCATGGAGACCAAGCAAAAAAAAATAAAAGAATGTTGACAAATCTGCTGTTGACGTGTCAGGTAATCAAAGGGAAACGCCTATCAGTTTCTTTTATTTTTCTATTTGCTCTGGCTCATCCATCTCCCCGAGAGTCAACCTAGAGTGCGCCGACGAATCATGGCTGAGAGCCGAGTCCCTGCGCCACAGGCAGCTTTATCCTGATCCTCACATCGCTATGGATGCCTGAACCTTGGCGGACATGGGAGAAACCTGGTAGGATGGGTAATACGAATCGGCGAAAATCCGGGTTTAACTCGACTCTGTATGGAGATTTTCTAATTTGCCTGTCAATAATTTTTTTTTTTGCTTTGATTCCTTTTTTTTTGCTTCTTTGTGTCCCAGCGATCGACACACTAGCACGTGTCGCTTATCGTGACTGGTTGGATCCTCTCTTTATTTTTTCCCCCTTTCCTTTTCGGCCGTAGTTAGTTAGTCAGTTTGTGGGTGTTGAGTCATTGATTATTGCTGCCCACAAGGAAGCTTAAGCACAAAGTACGGCGTACATTGCTTCGTATGCTTTGTGGACAAACGCTTAGACCTGTTCCTTGGAGTCTCCTTCCCTACTCGCGACAGATTGTTCAAATATGTATTATCCCTTTAGCTGGGGTATGCATGGAGTAGCTGAACAGGAAAAAAAAAAAGTTACTAATAAAGAAAAAAAAATCAGACTTGGTACCTCCGTTCACCGCATCGAAGAACCGTCCTGATGGAGCCTTGGTGGGGCCACGGGAGATTGCCCATTCCCAGTTGTCACCTCGCGTGGTTTCATGATAATTTGGCTGATGAACGCCGTCGTGACACTACAGAGGGGAATCATTGGTAAACGGAGATGACTACATGTAAGGTGTACATGTAGAAAGGAGTATTAGGCATCGCAGAGAGTTGATGGGAAGATTTAGCTCCGAGGGGTGTCAGGTAGCATCTGGTTTGATGTCTGGTTTTTCGATGATTATTCAAGAATCAATGATCAAATTATGCCCCAGCGGTGATCCAATATACATACGTATATATGATACATAGTTAATTTTCTTCCTTTTTACTTTTTACTCTCCCCCTTTCCTGCGCTCCCGTCCCTACCCACTAGTGGTTCACCAGAGACAGTCAACGCCACGCGGGAATTCGGGGTGGGGAGCTTCTAGAAAAACTAGAGAATTTCCATTGGATTTCCCATTGGGGCTGCATTATTCATCGAGTCCCCGACACTAACTTAACTAAGTCAATCGTAATAATTTCTACGTCAGATCAGGTGGATACTCAGCCTCCTGTTCATGGCAGGGATGTTTGATGGAGGGGGGGAGTGGGCAGGTGGAAAGTTAGTAGCAGGCTGCACTAATGTAATTTAGTCCTACTGGAGTCTTACTTCCGTACGCCGTAATAATGATGTTTTCCAGGCTGGGAAAATCACTTCTGGCTATAAGAACACTTGTGCTCCTCGGCCGATACTTTTTTCTTCTTTTTCTCCATCATCCGTCCGTGACTTACGTGAAGTACTAATCGACATTTTCTACCTACCATTCCGATTCACTCTGCTATACTATTAGCCAACCTACGCTATTCTACCTACCACCACACCAACCAACCATCCACACCACCATCCTATCACACCAAGATGCCTTCCATCGGTAACTCCAACTTCCCTCCCTGCCCAGGACCTCCTCCCAAGGGCCCTCTGCCTCCTCTGCCGAAATAAATCCGCCCATTCCCAATGACCGTGACGACCTGGCGTATATCCCGGCCTAGCCGGGGCTACGCTCACGACCTGGGAGGGCTTCCCCTTCGGCATGGATATGAAATGACCTCGCGCAATCGATCTGGTTCCGGCTTCCTGATGAATTTCCCTATTCTCAACTCGGCCTCTTGTCAAAATATCGACCTTTCTAATACTCCTCCCTTCTTCGACCAATCCGCCTTTCCAATCCCTCCGTCCGCCCACTATTTTCGCTCATAGCGACAACAACACTACGAGTGGAATATTCCTCGCCGCGCATTCTCTCGAACGGGGAGCCCCTGCGGGCTCCCCGTTCACTCCACTGCAGCACGGGCGATGCGTACGCAGACGAGGGGAAATCGACCCGCTCGTATTATCTCTGGGCTGACGGAGGGATGGGGAGACAGGAATAGCATACAATGCTGCTTTTCCTACGTTATCTTACCATTCAATCTCACCCGGTCGTTCCAGCGAGGGGGACCTGGCGCCGGCGCTACAAAGGCTCTCCCCGCTCTCGACTTTCTCTGCATCGTCTTCCACCTTGATACACCATTTACACCATTTTATTTTACTATCATTTTTTTTTTACCACTTCTTGACCCGCTATTTGGGATTTGGACGACATTCCGCCCATCCGGGACGCACGGGGGTTGCAATCCACCGAATCTTGGGTGTAGATTGCAGCTCTGACGCGCAGATGCGGAGATCGACGCTTTCTCCTCACCAGCCGCGGCTCCAACAATTGGCTGGCAGTGCTTCGCTCTGTTCCTGTGCCACTGTTGACGACGCTCAGATCGTCTGAGATCACCTGCACGCTGCGATCGGCCTTTTGCCAATCTGACGTTGGCGGAGCATTTTCTGACTTTTGCGTATTATCTTGATTCTCTTTTTTTTGGGTTTCCCTGTCCGATTCGCAGGTCGAAGTGACAGGTCATTTTGACTAACTTATCATCCATCTCTTTGTAATCTGTTTTTCTTGTTTCTTTTGGTTTTCTTCTCTTTCTACCGGCTTTACCTATTTTTTTTTTCATCTGTCGTTTTAGCCGCTTGCATTGTTGGGCCGATTCTGAATCAACGGCATGTATCATAGACTTTCTATTTTAATATACCCCGCAGAAGCAATTTGTCTCTTATCATCGATCATCAATCCCACCATGTCGTGCATAATCTTCTCCTACTGATCAAATCATAAGTGATCTAAGAAACCTGATGCATGCATGTAATCAGAATGATGTATATTTGAATCATGTCCACTGTCGCAGCAGCTTGAAACACCATCCGCCCCCGCCCGCTCGTTTCACCGCCCGCTCGTTTCACCACCTCTCAGCCGTGATCGAAGTCCATGCGCCCGACGTAGCAGGGATAGTGACAAGCGAGGTGCAAGGCGCAATGCGGCGATCGTCAGACGACTGATGCAGCACGGGACACGAGGAGGTCTTAGTATCTATTTCTCCACAGCAGCTGAACTGTATAGAGTACATGATCATCCTATCATTCTTCGAGTTGGTATATATCTGTACAATCTAGCCTTTCGCATTTAGCGCATGCAAAACGGATATATCATTCTGCAACTAAAGGTCCACACTATTCACCGGCCGATCGGGAGTGCCACCGATCTGGCGCGACACTTATCGATGACGATGGACATGCGCGATATGAACATGCATGACGTTATTTTAGTGCGACGCATGTTGCGCTGCCAATGGTGGATATGACGCTAGGTTACATAATACAAGACACAAGATACAGGCAAGGCATCGCTATAGACAGAGGTACTGTAGTTGGGCAGTTCTAGGCAGTGTTTCTAGCTCCCATTTTGCCGTTTCAATTCCCATTCCATCCTCGTGCATGGCCAACTGATACGATTATGTCGCCAGCCCCACGTGGAGAGTGCAAAAGGAGCCTTGGAAGGTGAAAATTAGGAAGGAATTGCGACCGTGTCCGCGTCGGCGGGATTGGCCTTGGGCCGTTGAAATCCGGGATGCGTATCCGGGTAACTGGTATGCTTTACGATTGGTAATTCTCCGGCCAATAGTGGTGGATTCCTGGGCTCATTCGAAAGATGCCTCGGCGCCTGCCCTTGAATAACGTGTATTTCAAGAACGTTAGACGTCAGCCTTGGTGTGTCCCATCCTTGTTCACGAGCCTTGATGACTCTTTGATCATTGATTCTTGGGGATTGGCGGCGGGCTCGTGCGGGAGTCCCACACACCCGTTGGTCCATTCGCATCCAACGTCGTCATCAACAACTGAAAAGAGCCGGAGATCTCCCGGCCTGGCCGATAGTGAGGCTATCCATGGCCTTGGATCCGAGGCTCTCCGCTTTAGGAATATGCGCTTTGGTAGAATTTTGAAACAGACAGTCAATAGGAATCAAGGCCTGCCTGTTTCCTTGGGGCTGTGGTTGAGCCCCTGCCCCTCCCTCCGACTCCCAAGAGGAGCAGACACAGGGGTCAAGTCGTGGGGCCGTTTTCCTGCACATTGGGGGTATCTCGACAGAAATAGATACTCTGACTTTAACTTTTCTTCTCCTTTTAGAGGGTTAAATGTCAATGCTCAGGACATTGTCGCAAGGCTGTGGCGCAACCACGTGTTGTCGTGAGGCCATAGCGAGCCGCTCTTATCGCGGCCAGAGTGAGACGCAGGGAATGCTGACATAGAAAACGACTCACTTTCAAAGGAGAGCCATTTCCAGTTGTCTGGGAAGATAGAAAGTATGTACATCGTACTTGGCAAGGCACTTTAGTCTCCTGCCTTGTGCGAAACGGAGAATGGCGATGAGGGGTGACATTGAATGGTGTCACGAGGAGGTATCGTGATATGCTGCAATTGGGTGTCTCAGGTAGAATACGAGGGTGCTGAGGTACATGATTCAGAACCATGTCCATAGCCATTAAGGTGTTACGGGAATATTATCCTCGTAAATGATTTCAACCAGTTTGATCTAGACTCCTCATCCATCGGTTGAATTCGATTGGTCGGGTAGAATCGCCAACATTGCACGCTTCTGCACTGACCGTACAGGGGACTCACTAATGCTTTCAATAGCACCCTCTCGATCGACCGTGCTCACGCCACTTGAATCTTAAATCCAAGTATCAAAAAAAGTGCCTGAGCCACTTCAAGCAGGAACAAAAAGCTGGATAGACTCTCCGGAAAGTATCAACGAATCAAAATGTCGTTCCTGAGGGTTGATCGTTGTCCCTGCGTGAAACCCAATATTCCACCCACCCTCTCTATAGACTGTGTAGATGGTGGACCTGGGAATGTCATTCTTTGGTCATTTTAGCCTATCTCAAATAACTTTTATGACGTAAATGACATCTGCTTTTTGTCGCCCTGAGGTACAAGACCCAAATTCTGCCCTTTCGGTTACATTCAAATAGTCAAACTTTAATGATAAATGAGGAGGACAGACAGAAGCTAGACTTTTCTCACATACCCCAGCTTACCCCAGTTTCTATCTCTAGTCGCACATGACCATCTGGGATTTAGTCTGCGGCTGGATGCATTACCCTTACTTGAAGTTTAAACGACTGGCCTTGTTTTACTGTGTGGAGATCATTGGATCCTATCCCCGCGGCTCGCAGAGGACAGAGGTATGGTTTCCAGGTAAAAGCCACGGCTGTAGCAATTATGATTATGAGGAAGTCGAGACACAGCCCAAGTTTAGACACAATAAGCCATCATATAACCAAACTCAATTGATTTCAATTAGCTTGGCTCATAGCTCATTACGACTAGTAGCAACTTGCGTACGAGACATCGCTTCGGCTTCCCCCCCACCTCTCTCAACAATCTTTCGCATTATCCCGAGATACGGAGGAGCAAAATTAACTAATAGCTGAACCCAATGGGGTCATTCACATTAGAACAAGATTTAGTTGCGTTCACTGGCGGGTCAACTGCAATATTTTCGAGGTCAATATCCTCAATAAGGACGTTGTCACAACCGCCAGCCACTCTACTGCACTGGAGCTTGGCGATGTAACTCGCTGGTTCCTCGATAGTGCGTGGCTGAAAAGTCCGAGATCTTGAAAAGTGAAGAGCTGCAGTTTCCGGTGACTCCATTGTACGTCGTGCACTGGCTGAAGAGAATTGGGGTAGTGGTGATGCCTGCGGTAGTAAAGTTACTGCAGTCTAGAAAATCTTATCAGTACCTAGCTCTGGCTGCTGTAAGACTTTTGCACTGAGTGTTACTCACGAATGTTTTTAATGTCTATTGATGTTAGCATCCATCATTTTAAACACGTAGGAAAGCAGATAGAATAAACTTACAACCTAAGCCACCACCACCACCGTTTGGAGGATATCCAACTTGGTCACCAGTCCATGTCTTAACTCGCGTTGCATACTTGGTGTTATTACAGACAACATTGCGAACTGTGATGTTTTCAATAGTCTCAAATTGCCCCTTATATTGACCGATGCTGCCGAGGGCAATTCCTTCGCCGTTGTGAAAGGTCGCATCTTCGATGAGAATGTTGGTTGAATTGACCTTCATAGCAATACAATCATCGCCGTTCTGGACTGTCCAACAACGGAACGTAATACTATCGGAAAAAGCCTGTTTGCGCCATCGGTGTTTCGAGCCGGGTTTTTGTTACCGCTAGTGTTGTTGACATAGATGTCTTGCAGCATCACCCTCTCCAAGTACCTGATTGTCACAGTCCTGGAATATCAGCAGGAAACATCATACAAACTGCTCAGGGTTAGAACTTACCACATTTGAGCCTGTAGGAATCGAATACCCTCAAATACAGAGTCCTTGGTATCCCAAATCGTGAGGACCATTGGGCGATCTAGATACAAGTCAGCCAGTACATGCCAACCCTGATCTTGACACTGCGTACCTGGATAATTGGATTGGCCTTTGACTAGATCATACCATGCCTGACCATTGCCGTTGAATGTTCCATAGCCGTGTCCCTGAACATTAACATATCTACCACCAAGGAACCAAACTGTTGACATATTCTGATATCCAGTGGGCATTGAGTGGTTGAGCCAATACGACGTGTCATTGCTCCACTGCCAGGTCGAATGTTAGGTTGGAGGGTCATATAAGAACTTACCTCTCCAAAACGCACCCGGAGTGTTCCATATATATCAACTTGGCAGTTGAACAAGTTGGTAGTATTGAGCACACTGTTAACATGGTACGTCGTGTTCTCAAAAATGACATTGCCGTCGGTGCCGCATTTGTCGAACGCTCGACGTATGTCCGGGGCGTCATCAGAACCGTACCACGCATCTCCTCAGTGGGTGATCAGGGCGACAATGAGGAAGAGCAGGCTCTTGTGTAACCCAAGCCGCTGCAAGGGCTAGATGAGAGACAAGAAAGACAGGTAAGGCCGAGGAGAAGAGCATGATTGCTAAGAAGCAACTAGAAGTTGGCGACCTCATCCTCAAAGGACGACTCAACTTAAATCCGAAGCCTTGCAATGCCAACATGCTGATGGCTTGTCCCAGTATGTTGGAATTTTCCGTGCAAACATCCAGTATCGTATTTTTAATGGCAGATTATTTGTCTTCGGTCCCTTCTACACCGATCTGGTTATCAAATGCCGTCGTTGGTTGCCGTCAAATGCCGTCATAATCCCTGCTGTCTGACATCTGTGATGCTCTAAGTCCTTTGCCAAGCAGGACTCAGACTTTGTAACGAAGTCTTTCTTCCTAAACCCAACTAAGCTCACGTAAAGGGTCTATCTCGTGGGGGCAGCACCTTGGCTCTATTGGTGGAAATTGTCAAGTTCCACTCTCCCAGCTTTCCAGCTATGTCTTAAAGCGGGGAAGGTTCGGCAAAGGAATACAATAACATCTCATCCTTCGGCATCCATTGCATCATTGCCTTAACCTCGAGTCATTGGAAGGGCCAATCAACCCCACGGCGCTATTGTTGTACGTTTTGGGAGGAGACCCACTTCATCCTCTGCTCGGTCCTCTGCGATAATTCATTCCAGCATGATGATCTTTCCCTAGGTAAACTGAGATAGGGTGGGGGCCTGTCACTGTCAATAAAAGGAAATGTCGTATCCATGTCGTATTTCTAGCTGGAGTTAACTGGGAGACCATTGGAGGAAATTTAATGCCGTTTATACTCTGTGAGTTTGAAGCAATTCAGGGCCTCGGGAGACGTCGAAGCTTCTCAACAGTGGATGTTACATCGTTTAATTAGACAGACACTCCCTTCATAGGGAAATAGACTGTCCAAGTTAACAGTTTCTGGGTCTAATCACTGTCACCGCCATGAAATTTCAATTACTCAAGCTCTTGGCCACTTTGGCATTCATATGCCAGGCTTCGTCTATGTCAAACAACTTGACCGACGCTGTGACATGGGACGAGTACAGTCTACTTGTAAACGGCGAGAGAGTTTATATAAAGTATGTCTATTGTTATGCTTCTACTATAAGGGAACTAAGAATGATCTAGTGCTGCCGAGTTCCATTATCAGAGATTGCCCGTTCCCGAGATGTGGCTGGTAAGCTAAAAGATTTTGGTTGAGTCACAACCGGAGACTGAATATATCAAGGATATCTTGCAAAAATTCAAGGCAAATGGGTTCAACGCAGTCAGGTACTATATCCTGCATGGGTTTGCCAGCCTTCGCTGACCCTGACTCTGACTCTAGCATCTATTTCTTCTGGAGTTATCATTCGGCGTCCAAGGATGCCTACGACTTTGAAACGGGAGCACATAATTTGCAGCGACTTTTCGATATTGTTAAAGAGGCAGGCCTATGGGTCATTGCTCGCCCTGGCCCCTACGTCAACGTAAGGTAGCGTTGGGGTTTGATCAGTGGGGCAATCTGGCTAAGATAACCAAAATAGGCACGAACTAATGCGGGTGGCTTTGCTCTGTGGGGCTCTGATGGCTCTATGGGCAAGCTGCGAACTTCAGACGACGCCTACTATCAAGCATGGCTTCCATATATGACGAAGATCGGACGAATTATTGCGGCTAATCAGATCACAAAAGGCGGGGTATGTATAAAACCCTCGTGCAGTGACAATGCGCTGATGCAAAGAGTATAGCCTGTCATCCTTTGCCAGGTCGAAAATGAGCTACAAGAGACCAGCCACAACCCTAACAACACCCTAGTCGTCTACATGCAACAACTAGAGGCTGCACTCAAGAATGCGGGAGTAACAGTTCCCACGACTCACAACGAAAAGGGTATGAGCTCGCAGTCCTGGTCAAGAGATTACGAAAATGTTGGAGGCGCAGTGGACATTTACGGCCTGGACAGCTATCCGGGAGGCTTCCTCTCTGGTAACAACTGTGATGGTGCTACTGGATTTAACGTCGTTCGGACGTACTATCAGTGATTTATGAACTATTCATGGACGGGGCCCATCTACCTCGCCGAGTTCGAAGGCGGACGTACTCTACCTTGGGGTGCACCACAGAACTATGATGACGTGAGCGAATTGTCCTTTCGGCTTCGAAAACACCTGGATACAGAGCTAACGATATTATAGTGTCGGAGTGAACACAGCACTAACTTTGTGGATATATACTACAAGAACAATATAGGTCAACGCGTGACGCTACAGGGTATTTATGAAGGCTACGGGGGCACCAATTGGGGTCACTGTAAGTGAATATCTTCGTTGCGAGTGGAATTTCCAGGGCCTTGATTAACCAAACCCACAGCCGCTTGTCCGGTCGCATACTCGAGCAATGATTACATGTGAGATTCATTTTCGCCAATTCAACGTCACGTCCATCACTCACCGAATGAATAGGACTCCACTTCGAGAAACTCGTGAGCAATGGGCTAAGCTTTGGCAAACGAAGCTCGTGCAGCTCTTCTCAGGATCCGCTCCTGATTTGCTCAAGACTTACATGCTTGGAAACGGGTCGGGCTATAGTGTCAGTCTTCCTTCTAGAAGCTTTGCAGACTTGAGACTAACTTTTGGGCAGCTTTCGTCAACCAATGCTTTTAGCTGGGTCCTGAAGAACCCAGATACCGGGGCGACATTTACCGTGCTGCAGCAGGAGAACACTGCATCTACTTCGATCATCACATTTTCAGCGTACTTGAACACCAGCCTTAGTAACATCACTGTCCCAGGTGTTCAACTTGCTGGACGACAGAGTAAGATTCTGGTTACTGACTACAAGTTCGGTAATCAGACCCTTCTCTATTCATCCGCGAACGTGCTTACGAATGGTGTGTTCCCCGGCCATGACATACTGGCCCTGTATCTGTGGGAAGGCCAGACTGGTGAATTTGCTCTGAAAACATCAAAAAATATGCCGTTTGAGGTATATGGCACGTCTGTCGTAAACTCCACACTCGATTCCGGCTATCAAAGCATCAAGTACACGCAGGCTGCTGGCTCCACGATCATTAAATTTATAAATGGGACCACTGTACTACTGCTTGATCAACCCACAGCCTGGTACTTCTGGGCTCCTTCAACGTCGACATACCCATCTCCAAGGCCGGATCAGAAGATCTTCATTCTTGGCCCATATCTTGTCCGTTCTGCTTCTATTGCCCATCAAGTTCTTCAAGCATCTGGAGACAATAATGGAACTACGACCTTGGAGGGTTTTGTCGGAGACGCACCTATCAAGACAATTGAGTGGAACGGCCAGCGATTTGCGGCAACAAAGACACCTTATGGCTCTTACACGGCCCGGATTCCCGGCACAGAACACAGATCAGTATCACTTCCATCATTGAACAAATGGCGCTCTGCAGACTCCCTTCCCGAGGCTCAGCCTGGCTATGATGATTCAAGATGGATTGTTGCCAACAAGAATAGCACGCTCAGCCCATATGCTCCTCTTACCTTGCCAGTCCTCTTTAGCTCTGACTACGGTTATTATACCGGAGCGAAGATCTACCGTGGCTATTTTGACGGCAAAAATCATACTGCTGTCAACTTTACTGCCTCGGGTGGCCTTGCCTTCGGGTGGAATGCGTGGCTCAACGGAAATCTCATTGGCGGCCATCCAGGAGACCCCGATCTGACAACTACCACAATGACCCTGGAGCTTCCCACTTCCCTCCTGAAGCCGAACCGAAATGTTGTTACTGTCTTAGTGGATTATCATGGCCATGACGAGACCTCAACCGGAAAAGGCGTCGAGAATCCAAGAGGAATCCTTGGTGCATATCTCCTCCCTGATGGTACGCAGACGGCAACAGGATTCAACTTGTGGAAAATCCAAGGTAATGCTGGCGGCTCAAAAAACATCGACCCAGTTCGTGGGCCAATGAACGAGGGTGGACTTTATGCCGAGTGGCTAGGCTGGTTCCTTCCAGGCTTTGATGGATCGGGCAAGGAGTTTACCACTTCCAGTCCGTTGGATGGCATGTCAAAGTCAGGTGTACGTTTCTACACTACCAATTTCCACCTCAATGTTGACAAAGATTTGGATGCCCCCATTGGAATCTCCTTATCTTCGTCAAATGGTACGATAGCACGTGTGATGCTTTGGGTTAATGGGGTACGTCTTTTCCGTTTTGCACTATTACCAAGTACTGACTTTCTTCCTGTAGTATCAATATGGGAAATATGTACCTCACATTGGTCCCCAAACGAAGTTCCCTATTCCCCCAGGCATAATAAACAATCGTGGCCAGAACACGCTAGCTCTGAGCTTGTGGGCGCAAACCGATGAAGGGGCGAAGCTTGACAGCATTGAGTTGTTTACGTACGGGCTGTATCAAACAGACTTTGACTTCAACCGTGACTGGAGTTATCTGCAGCCTGAGTGGAAGGACAGAAGCAGATATAAGTGAGCTCATATCTGTCCAAACAGACATCACAATGGGACACAAACCTATGCATTAATTGATAGGCTTTCCCCAAATTCTGATTGTTTGATTTCAAAACTATACGTATATTCACGGCTGTCCGAATGCTCGCTTGGATAGAATCTCCTAACATATATGTCACAAGAGCTCAAACCTGCTGCACAGAACTTAGAAATCCATCTGCAAGGTTATCAAATAGGCATCTATTAAAAATATTGTTCTAACGTAAGGGGAGGATGACAATCCTGAGGTGCTTGCCCTTGCATTATGGCAGCGTTATCCACCTCAAAACGACGAAAACAAGGTGACCCCAGACAGTTGCATATTAAAAGAGGATTCCACCAATAGTTCAAGATCAATACAAGTCGACAACAACGCAAGAGAATGCAAAATGGATCCTTGATCGGACGACCGGAACTTTGCAAGGGAGTTGTATAGGTTAAAGTCATAAATTTTGTACCTTTCTATCTACGAAAAACTACCCCATACGGCAAGCCCTCAGAGTTTGTCTAAAATATGCAACAAGGTAGTCCAATTTCCCTCCAATGAAAATTCATTTTCAGAAATGTGCAGTAGAAATCGGCTCATCGAAACCCTTTCAGGCGCCTGGCATTGAAGCATACTGGCCTGTAACTGCCAAGGAAAATCATGAAGGAGAATTCGAAAGGGCAGAGGCTAGATGTTATTCATATCCGCCTGCGTGACCTAATTGCAAGAGAAAAACTTTTTATTGCCAGACACCTCGTAAGTCGTCCCAGCGTCATCTAAGGATGGGTAATGTAAACACACGTGATTCGCCCGCTGCTAACCCACTCGAGGTCAGTCCGCGGGCCGCCCTTCACTCTCCAGCCAAAGCGACGATGGTGCTGCAACTGCACGTGTGGGGGCCGGCATTTACTTTGCCCTCAATTGAGGCTCAATGCCTCGCAGCGATTGCTTACTGCTCATTAGCCCTGCCTAAGGGCTCCTGGGAGCTGGTGGCGACCAGCGATCCCTCCGTGTCTCCTACTGGTGAGTGACGTGATGTCTCGTCGTCGGCTTTCCCGACCGGACCGGGCAAGAACATCCAAAATACAGCAAGCAGTGAGCTGACTGAATTACTTGTCTTACCGTGTAGGTGAACTACCCGCCTTGCAAGATGGGTCGACGTGGGTCAGCCGCTTCCGCAACATCGTGGACTATCTGCGCCAATACTCGAACGGAGAATGGGATTTGGACCGCGAGCTTGATGAAACAGCTCGTGCGGATAGTATCGCGTACGTGTCAGACCTAGTGTTTGGCTGCCAAGGGAGCCAGCGGGTCAGAGAGTACTCAGCTAACATCTGCGCCTGCGCACACTACTTCCAGATTCTCCTCCTTCATCGAATCCCGTGGCCAAGTTCTCCTCGACCTCTCCCTATACGTGAGCAGCCAGAACTACTATGGCAACACATCGCCCGCATACGGAAATCTCCTTCAATGGCCAAACCAATGGATCCTCCCGCCGAAGCTGCACGGTGCCGCCAAAGCCCGCACCGAACATCTGGGTGTGTCGTCGCTGGACCTACAAGCGATGGAAGAGCAGCGCCAACGTGAACACTCGGCTGCGGTTGCAGCCGGCCGAGTCCCGAAGAATCTGATTGCGCCCCCACGCGATACGGTATCGAAATTGCTAGGCCGAACGGCACAGCAGAACCACTTCCGCCTGGAGGCGCTGACGGGCGAGTTCCTCGAGCCATTGGAGGCTATGCTGGGCCACAAGGCGTATCTTTTGACTGCGAACGAGGGTGATACTCTGTCCAGCTTGGATTGTGTTGCGTTGGGTTACCTTTCCCTAGCGCTAGTGCCCGAACTCACCTTCCCGTGGCTGCGGGACGCTATGCGGACTAAGAGTCCGCGACTTACCGCCTATACGGAACGCGTGCGGCGTCGATGTTTTGGACAGTCGCCTGTGGAGGTTACGCATGCGTTTTCGCCGGAGTCAGCGCCCTCATCACCGCTGCCATGGCGGACCCCGAGCCGTATCTCCGTTGCGGCTGTCGGCACTACACTTCTTGATACACTGGCTGATTCCACGCCACTCCTCCGCAATCTTCGCCGGTTCAACGGACTGAAGGCAGGTGCCCAGTCCCCAGATGCAGATCTGTCGGGCCTCGAGCGGACTGCCGTCTCCCAGGCCGCTGACGCTGGTAAAAATGACCTGTACGCCTCCGTCGCAGCTGTCGTGGGTGGTGTTGCGGTGTTGGTTGGCTACATGTTTCACATTGGCATGATCGCTACTCCCCCAGTAGCCAAGAAGAGCACGAGGAGGGGCAAGAAGAAGAGGGAGAGAAAGAGGGCAGCGAAGCTGTGTACGATGCAGGCTCCGCGGTCGACTTCTTGAATGTGGGAAATATTGGCGGCGGCTTGGGAATTCCAAGTTCATCATGAGGCAAACTAAAAGCACCTTCCCACGGTGACATTTTCATCCGTTGACCGCAGCTGTGGGCGATTGGACCCTTGTTTTACTATTTTCAGCGAAGAGTGAGGGAACAACATGTATTGTACAACAGACTACCAATCCTTTCTACATCAAACATCATATGTACATCCTTCAAGCCAATATCCACAAACAACCCTCCACCACTCGCTTAATTTCCCTCATAGAAAGATCCCAAGGGTACGGAATACATATTGGCTTTCTACGACCGCCCATCCTCATCCGAAAGACCCCACGTATTAGTCCCTTTCTTTGAAAAACACGGCGCAGCAACCCACTGCACACCCGGCCCATCCCTAAACGCCTCTTCCATCTCAACTCCCCACCTCAACGCCCCATCCTCATCAACAAACCAACCCAACCGAGTTCGTAAATGTTCATAATCTTCCGGCGCAAGTCGCCCAGCCTGGATCTCGCGTACAACTTGCAGCAAGTTCGCACTGCCAGCAATAAGAACCAGCACGTCTCCCAAAGACTCGACGTTGCGTACTAGTCGGCCAAAGTAGCGTTTTTGCAGAATTGTGACGATGATAGTCGTCAGAATAAGCCAGCCCATTATCGCGACGCTAAGCCAGACTGCGACGGCGTTCATTTGGAGGAGTTCGACGCGTTGAGATACTTGGGCTGCGACTGTTCGGTTCGTGTGGGAGATGGGATGCATATCATCCTGATAAGCTGTCGCCTTGGTCCCCGGGAGCCAATTATTGACTATTTCGACGACGGGGCCTAGAGTATCTGGTAGACTGGCGTTGATCGTCTGATAGCCCCAGCCACCGGTTTCCATGGAGATGTTGTTGCTGACGAAGTGCTGGAAGAAGGTGCTGAATGTTTTTTGTGCTAGGGTGAGGTATCGGTCTGGGTTGAGGAGGGCTTGTGGGTTCTTGTTCGCCATGGAGTACATTGCGTAACTCATGAAGTCCATATTGAGTCCGTTGATCTCGTCGCGGATGTTGTAGGTATTGTCGTTGAGGTCCTCGCTGTGATAACCTCCGACGTGCTCGGCGCCGCCGATGTGGAGCGTGTCAGCAGCTGTGAGCATGGAGGCCATGAAGAGACGGCCAAGGCTGGGATCATTGTCAGTTAAGTTTTATTCGTTGCCTTCGATTCTTGGGTTTGCTTGACTCACCTGGCTGTTACATTATAGTAAACCATGCCCGTCTCCTGACTGAAGCGGGTTCCATTATGAGGTAAAAAGTTATCCGCGAAAGCCTCTACTAATTCCGTGGGTGGACTGGTAATGTTGAATGATTGAATCTCCCCATTCGCCGGGTTCACAGTGACATCTGCATTTGCAGACTCAACCCAGGGCCTGCAATTCATCAAGGTAATCGACGGCGGTGAGGGGAACAGCAACGGAATGCTGTCAGTGAAGTTGACATCACCTCCTGCAGGATTGGCATGGATGCCCGTCACAGCATTTCCATAGATCCATTTGACTGTAAAATTCTGGTGCCAATCCCGAGTTGTCCATGTAGACAAGTTGGTATTAGGAGACCAATATCCAACAGCCACGCTAGGATCCCAGGCACTACTGCTGGAATTTCCACAGCAAGCGATTGAGCTAGGGTTGACGAAGACGGTCGTGCAACCATCGCAAGTTGCTATAGTCTCGTTCCCCGACAGAGGGAGAATGACGCCGGGGTTTTCATTGTAGATCCAGTGTGTACCTAACTCATAACCTCCCTGGATACCGTGAGGGATGGTGCTCCGGTTCCACGTCGTAGAGTTGCTCAGATCCGTGGGGGTGAGCCAATGGGAAACATTCATCAGGGCTTCGATCGGGTACTGTGAACATTCAATGCGGGCACGTATGGCAGGCGTGCTGAAAGTGACATTTGATGGAGCCCCCGAAGCAGCCTTATCGGACTCATCGAGGTCGTTAGGTAGCTCGACATTGCTGACTGTGTGCAGGTCAACTGGCACAAAGCTCCAGCTATCCTTGCTCCATGCCGGCTCGGATCCGTTAAGAGCCAGTTGAATCGTTGCAGTGTACATCCAATGAGTGGAGATGTTTTTGTAGAGATCAGCGAGAATGTTCGCAGCGTAGTCGTTAGACGTGTCTGGGTAGAAAGCCTGTTCTGTGCTAAACACAAAAGGGATTTGTCGGATTTCAAGGCTGCGATCAAAGCTGATCGGCTGGGTGACCACTCCTGGTCCACGATCAAACAGGGCAGACATGGTGGTTGTAACTGGAAAGCAAGTTAAGGATCAGCTATTGTAAATTAATCGCCAAGTACACAACTTACAAACAGGCGATAGTGTGCTTCCCAATGTTAACAATGAAAGAAGCCAATGCTTGTTCAGCGCAGCTTTGACACATGCCCATAGCCAGAATGAAGACTGGTATGACAAACCAGCGCCTCGAGAGATCCGAGGATCTCCATCAGCCATGGCTAAATATGGTTGTAGACGGCGGAAGGTATCATCGATGGCACTCCACCACAATCCAATAATCGTGGCTACCAGAGTTGGAATCATTGATACAGGTGCCACCGAAGACAAGCTGTCGCCCAGGAAAGAAATGTTCACTGTGTAGACAAAGGCTTTCTCGTACAACCCAACACTCACAGCAAAATGCCACAAAACGCACACTCCAACCACAACTGCGATCAGAACTATAATCAAAGCAATGAGGGATGGTAGGCGAAGTAGTTTTGGTGTCCCATTTTTGGATTGAGCGGCATCATGATGCAATGTCTCCGAGGGATTCATACGGGACAAACCATAAGAGTCGGTATGAAATCGCTGTCCATTCAGTCTGTCATGGAGATCTTTCGCGGACGGTTGTCTGAAAGTCCGGAATCCCGAGCTCGCTCGACCATTGTGTGCTATTAGAGTGGCCACGCCGAGCGTTGAAGCAGGATCTTCCTTCAAGTGCAATGGCCTATGTCGGGGTTGCGAGCACCACCAAACAGCAAGCAAAAGAAAGAAAGAAATGGCGAATAGGATACCTAAAGCTACCGCAGGGCCGACTTGCACTACAACTCGAGTCTCAATGTCATGGAGGGTACCCTGCATAGGTATTGTTTCAGAGGCACCCTGATGGGTCAGCGCTGCCTGCAGCACTTCACCAAAGTATCGTTGGTTCGCTGTAGCAGCGGATGCCACCCAATTAGGGTCCCTAGCCATGGTCGTCATGTTATAATCGTAGAGTGCCCCGAGGAGAACGGCTGGGCCTCCTAGCGTGGCAGTTCCTGACCACAGAATAGAAAGCATATAAGTAGGCCAATTCGCATCAAGAGTCAATTTCCGCATGGCAGTGGTGTTGAGCACGCTATCCGGAATTGTGACTTTCTTCTGCTCAAACTCATTCGAGTCAAATGAAATGTCGGGAACATCACCAGTCAAAGCGACGGATGCCGTGACATTGGCCATATAATACGTCGTATCACAGATTTGTGCCGAAAAGGCTGCGTTCTCAATCTCCCATGATTCCGTAACGAGAATAATCTGCCGCCCATTACATTCCGACGTATGATTAGAGCTCGAGACTATACCTCCACCCTGACCAAGTGCAGATTCAGCGTAATAGAAATCAGACACGTCAGACCAGCTGCCACCTCCAGTAGTCCAGAAGTTTGAAGGGGCCGACATTCCATATCTGCAGCCATCGGGAGAAGACCAGATCGTCGAGTTTGAAGCCACCGGCGCCCAGTCTTCCGCGTATTGTATAGATCCACTAGCTTTTCTTTCCAAACTCATTGGTGTGCATGTCAAATCGCTCTTGAACATCATCGTCTCTGCCGTCCACTTTTGAGTCGCACTGGTTGGCAGGGAAGTAACGGGCGCTATTTCCAATCCCTCCGGCCAGAAAGGGAGAATTGTATAGTTCTCGGTAATCCAAGGCGAAGTCGACACATTCTGTAAAAGATTTGCAATGGTTCGAAAGTGCGTTGTACGATCCGCATCGAGAGGCAAAGGCGAACCCACGGCCGGCGCTAGACGAAAAAACTCAACGGATTTCGGCACGACAACCTCCTCGGAGAAAAGAAAGGCAGACGAGAGTGAGGAAATAGCCAAAAATCCGATTATATTGACGATTGATGCGCAGATCAAGATGGGACTGCGTCCGCCGTTCTTCTTCTTCTCAAAGCCATCGTATAAGGCTGTCCACCAAGCCCCCGGAGCTTTCAGGATGCTGCACGAGGCATCAGCGCCGCCGGGCCGTGCTAATCGTGCATAGGGTTCTGTACGTTTAACATCTTGCAAAAGCACCGTCGTCATTTGCACATATATCACTGCGATCAGGGTTGGACTGTATCGCCAGCCAAATAGAAGCAAAGAAGAGCCGTCATCGGGCCCTAGTCCATAATTTGTTGAAGACCTCCACCATAACAAAAAGGAAACCAAACACAGTGCTAGGGCAACCAAAGTCGTTACGCCGAGAAACACATGTGTAAATGTGTAGGGAATCCAATCCTTCGACCAGACCGCTGAGCCCTTTTCATTAGACTCTGCGCGTGTCCTCTGGTCGGCTCTTGGGCGAGTCGTTTGGCTGTTGCTAGAAGTATCTCGATCGGAGGATCCATCTCGAGAAGAGGAGCGACTTGGACGCACAAAATGATAGAAATAGGACTTGGTGCTTCCTAGAAGATTGCGATCTTCATTCGCATTATATTGGCGGGAGGCCATGATCAAGAACGCGGGCACAACATATGCAACTCTTTTACACACCGTCAAACCCCTGCATATAGCGGCGCAGCGAGCACGCACAAGAAGTAAATATAGAAAAGAAAAGAGAGATACTAGACAGGAAATACAAAGAGAAAAAGAATCCAGCACCCTGCTACATGTTTATAATTCCCGCAGAGAACGGGGGGTAACACCGTTGCTTCAAATTCAACAGGATCCAGAGACTTTTGCCGGTAGGGGCGCAGCTTACAGCAAGGGTCTGCACCAAAAGGTCCCACTTTAGCACGAAGATGCATGATACGCCCAATAGGAGGGATGCTCTTGTCGCGGTACTGGCCAAGCGCGGGATCATCGAGAGACGATGTACCCTAGCCTGCATTATGGCCCCCATCCACGGAAATGAGGAGCGACACCATTTGCTCGTGGCATAACAAGGCCCCAAATGATCTTCTTCGTAGCCACTTTGATCAACGAACAGGCCGTGCCGTACGAAGAACCGTAGTGGAAGGAGACACGATCGCCCTTGGCAGTGCTATCCTGAATGCTTAAGCAAGCGGCGATTGTTTCGAGACCCGATTTATAATTCTGGGGGACTCTCGGATCGTTTGTCCTGTTTGACAAGTAATAATCAGCCTAGTTGCGGGGCTGCCCGTCGTAGCGCGATGCTTCGGCCTGTCACGGACCAGCTCTTAGCGCCGCATAACAGATTGCTGGTGGGTTGTTGAAGGCGTCTACAGGGTTCAAAGAAATCGGGAAAACAAGCTGCAGCGAGTTAAACGGCCAGTGTTTCATATAAGCGCTGTTAGATGCGACAGCTCGGAATTGGGCCGGGTCTTTCGGGCACGAAGCTGTCAGATTTGGCCCCGGGGGCCATCTGTCTAAGTCTATAAGAGGATCGCGGTTCCTGGCTCTGGAGTCTGAATGTACAAGCCTCTCAAGTCTCTCATTCCTGTTCAAAATGCCTGGGGTTTCTCCGATATTGGACTCGGTGATTTAACCTTTCTCTTTGGTCATAATCACGTCGTTGACGGCATGATCGCTATGGACTTTTCTCGTCTATCCTCAAAGAGCCTTCTTTCCTATTCACCTCGTCCCACAAGCCTGTGCTTGTTGTAAAACTCATGATTATATTCCTACTCAGTCTTACTTTACATTAAACGTCATCGAGATTTTCAACTGGCCAAGTGACTTTCTTCAAACGTTGGTGAATAATGTCAGCAATTGTCCACGAACTCATGTCCACTCGGGCTTTGCATACGCTGATGAACAATAGTCTCAACATGGACACCGGAAATTCTAACACATGTATCTGCAGCATTCATCTCTTGGTGGCTTGTCTTTCTTGCTGTCAACCAGGTACACTTCTACAGGACCGAGGTTGTTCTTTGATTGCTTTATCCGCAGTCTTGCTCATGCTGACCACACCCCATAGCCGACACAGAATGCCAAGGATCAAAGAACATTCTTCAGCTAATAAGCATGCTTAAGGCTCCTGCTCCCAGGTTCTGGGAGTAGTATATGCTGTCAGTCCTATCATGAATGCATCAACTGCACTATCTGAAAATTACCATGCAACACCGTCATGACAGACAAGGATTATTAACAAAGCTGACTAACTACTATTAAATGTACAAGGCGTATGGTCATAGTACCAAGCCCTGGGAATTCATGACAATACCACAAGCCCAAGATCAGGAAGAAGAAAAAAAGCTGATATGAACTAGATATTCAGGTGGTATATGTACAGAGAATCATAAAGAAGGATGAACGCAGTCCTGATCACGAAGGTATGTATGCACTTCCTCCAGGCAGATTGAAGAGAAAAGAATAAAAAGTGCATCTGCGGAAGCGCGGCCGGACAAGATGAAAGATATCTTCATGACCAGGGCTAACTCGAAGAAAGTGAGAAACCTGCGGACGCACGAAGAATTGGAGGATAGGGCAAAAAAGTCCGGCGGGAATCATTTGCGTCAGGAAGTGAGGATCGGAAGGGACATCATCAAGACACGCGAGGTGGGAGAGACGCTTAAGCGTAGTCGAGCTTGACGACCAGACGGACGGGCCCAGAGGCCTGGGAGACAGCCAGATGGTTGTTGCCCTGGTCGTTCTTGGTGTAGGCATTGAGGAGGGAGGAGAGACCGCGGCCAATGGTGGAGCAGTCCTGGCCAAGGTGGTTGCAAATGCTCATACCCTGGACCTCGAGGCCGTTGAGCTCGGCAATGATGCAGGAAACGTCCCAGCCGGAGAAGCCATCGTTCTTCTCGCTGCTCATGTCAAACTCACCCCAGGTGGCGGCGTACTGGCCAAAGTTGGTGGTGGGGACCTTGCCGGGGGCGGCAGCCCAGCCACCCTGAGAGTTGTCATCGATGGCGACGTACTTGACCTCACCCTGAGCCAGGCTGAAGGAAAGAGCCTCGTTGGGGGCCCAGAAGCCAGTCATCTTGTTGTCGGGGCCGTAGGTGTTCCAGAAGATCACGTTCCAGGGCTCGGCTTCACTGCCCTCGAAACGGAGGACGTGCTTGTACTGGCTCGCGACGCTCTCCTCAACCTGAATGATGTTGCTACCCCATGGGACACCGACGTTGCCGATGTAGTCCCAGTCGAGGACACCGACGGTCTGGGCCTCGGAGACACCACCGAAGCCGGCACGGGAGTACTGGCCGTTGGAGGGGAGATCGGACCAGGAGCCACTGGAGCCAGGGGAGGCAGTGTGAGCAGGGACGGCGGACTCAACGGCGCTGGGGACCGAGGTCACAACGGGGACAGCGGTGGTGGTGGGAACCTGAACGACGGTGGTGGAGGTGGAAGAAGAGGTCGCGAGCAGACCGGACCACTCGTTGATCCAGGTCTCGAGGACACCATCGATGGTGGCAGTCACGACATCACCGACAGCGCGCTTGTCAACCTGGACATCGGCCTCGATATCGACCTTGGGGTGGGCGTGACGACGCTCATGGCCGTGCAGACGGGCGACGGCAGAGCCAGCGGTCAAAGCCGCGGCCAGGAGGAGGGAGTTCTTGACGAACATTTTTGGGGGGTGTGAGTCTAAAGGCTCGAAGGGAACGAAAAAGAGGGTTGAATGAGTGACAGAGCGAAGATACGCTCGAAAGCCAGAGAGAAAGAATGAATGTGGGTTGGCAAGAGAGAGTGGCAGGGGAAGAAAGAGAAGGGAGGGAAAGGGAGACGGAGGATTGGGGGCGTCAGATGGGTAATAACCAGCGGAGATTTGACCCTGACTTGGGGGGGGCAAGTGTGTGTGGTACTCTGGTACGGGGCTGTATTTGGTGTATTTGGGCAGACCCTGCGTCTCGTCCCTGAGTCCCTGAGTCCCTGATTCCCTGATTCCCTGACTCCCTGGTGGCTTGTCCAGAGTGCCCAGTTGGGACCGCTAAAACCGTAAAAATCGGGCATCAGGGGCTGATCACCGGTGATTGGTGGGTGCCTGGTGGTTCCTGGTGGTTTCGGGGGCCGGGTGGTTGCCACGGGACATGCTGATTGGGTGACGCTGGACTAGGCCCAGACCCTCGAAAGAGAAAGAAAAACAAGGGGAACAAAAGGGTCGAAGGGTGGGTACTGCGTACTTGCGTAGACTATGGGGAGTGCATATCAGAGCGAAGTAGCAGATACCACCGCTACGATCCCCTTTCCTGCCGTGTCGTGTGGTATGTTTGGTATTCACAGTACTCCGTACGCGCGATGAATTTGGCTTTGCGGTACCTGCAGAACCAGTCGATTTCATGCACAAAGAAATCTCCCGACCGTCGACTGGCCATGACCTCAAAAAGTATACTCGGCACACGCTATCGACATTCCTCATGTCAACCACGTGTTTCCATCGGAATGCCCATACATTGGAATGCTGAACTATACAATTCTATCCCTGATTTCACTACAATTCCTCTGCACTCACTTTCCTGGTGTATACAGCAACTTCCAAGGCCCTCCAAGATCCTCCCAAGACCACCACAGCAGGCCCTTCCCCACACAAGCCAATCGGTGCAGCCTGACCGGTCTGGATCCCTTTCTCGAGCTGACGTGGCGGGCGAGACATTCTCCTGTCCTCCACTCTGTACTCTGTTCCGTATGTGTATACCACATACTTACAAACTCTGTGCATGGCCACCTCGAATCCAGCGGTGATGATGAAATGTGTACAGTATCAGCCCTCGACACGTTTCACAGCCCAAATAGACCTATCCATAGTCCTATCCGTAGCCTCTCGACAACTCATCACCTCTGCTACGCGCCCGACCAGAAACCTGCCCGACCAGTCAATTCTTCAGACTGTGCCTCTCCAATTTTCAGTGTATCAACTCTGTAATCCGTACTGACCTGACCATCTGAATGAATATCCCAGTCCTCCACCACATCCCGGTCTGGCCGTCTGGCCCACCGGACGATCGCCCAACGGCATCGATGTGTACGGCCGTGGCTCCATCCCTGACTCGGCAAATGGGTCCAGTCCCTTTGCCCTGGGAGGGTCTTGCCGGGTCTGGCTGGGAGGGGGCTCCATAACTGCAGGACGTGCGAAGGACCAAGGCTGTGTTTTTTCTGCCTCCCAACTGCCTGCCCTGTTGGCAGTCCAACGGTGTGTCGTCTGTGGTGTCACTCCGCCAGTCTGAAGGCTTCAAGGCACTGAATTTGCCAATCTTCTAGGCTCCACCGGAAACGTCGGCTGGGCCGGTGAGGTGGGATCCATCGAGGGCTCCAGAATGGCGATTTCCTTTTTGAAGCCAGTTGAGCGACTGCGTCAGTGCTGGGGGTCTGGAAGCGTCTAGGAGGGTGGTGAGGTTGTAGTCGGTGACTGTCGTGGTAGCCTACAGTTTCTTCAATATTGTAGACGGACTGCCAGCTTGTAGTCTGTGCTAAGATATACTAGTATGGTGGAAGGATCAATGAGTAGAATTATGGATCCAGGCTATTTAATTCTTCATTAACAACCTCCTCCTACGGAGTACAGTTGATTATGTACCGAGTTCCCCCAGTCTACTCATGCAAGGTCCTTTCTACTTTGCAGGGTTGGGTTGGTGCAAGGGTCAGTCAGGGTTTCCGCGCGTCTGATGAACCTCACTCTGCTTAAGATAAACATATTCTTCTTCCTTTCTTCCAAATTGCAGGTCAGTAAACAAGATTGTGCCTCTTCAAATGGTCGAGATCCAAGGGACTGCACGGGAGGTGAACCTTGGTTGACCCTGCGATCGGCGGCACTCTGAAACGATCGGGGATTTTGTGTCTTGCTCGTAGATGTCAGTGCTCGCTGTTTATTTTTATACGACCGAGTGAGACATGTCCTGTTGACACACGGACGACTAAAGGAAACATGATTATGAATAAATGAAGATACTGTATATTGCAATATAAATAGTAGGACAATCAATCACTGTGGGGGTGTTTCTATTTACAGAGTCATGGCTTCGGCCGATCCTTATCGACACGAGCTAGCTGTCCACTTGATCAAGCCACCATACCGTGACAGACGAATTGGTCCAGCTCTCACAGCGAGCAACCTCCCTCTCGAACCCCCTTCAAAGATCTCCAGAAATGTGTGGCAAGAATAGAATAGCAGAAAGAATCACTTCTCCTGCAAATCCACACCCCCATCAAACGCCGCACCCCCAGCCTCAGCATCCAACTTCACACTCTCATCCAACCCACAAACCCGGAACAACATCTGCGGCGTCAACTCCGGGTCCAAGCCCAACAACCCAGTCCGCTTCAACTTGGCCAACGTCTCCCTCATCGCCGTCATCGCAGGCCCAAGCGTCGCAAATGGGAAGATAATCAACTTAAACCCAAGCTCCTTCGCCTCCTGCGCAGACACAGTCGGCGTAGACCCATGCTCCACCATATTCAGCAGTATCGGCCACGGCGCAAGATCACGCACCACCTGCGCACACATCTCCCGCGACGAGACTCCCTCCAAGAAGCCCACGTCGGCACCCGCGTCCCGCGCAGCACGCAGGCGCGCCAGACTCTCCTCATACCCGAACGACTGCAACGCGTCGGTGCGCGCAATCACCACGATATCGCTACCGATGCGCTTGCGCGCTTGCACCGCGGCGCGGATGCGAGTCGTGTATGTCGTGATATCGACGAGCTGCTTGCCGCCGAGATGGCCGCACCGCTTGGTCTGGACTTGGTCCTCGATGTGGAAGGCCGCGACACCGGAGCGGGCGTATTGCTCCGTGGTGCGGGCGACCATGATCGGGCCGCCGTAGCCGGTGTCTGCGTCGGCGATGAGAGGGGTGCTAGGGGAGAGGTTTGCGATCATTTCGGCGTTGGCGCGCATGTCGTTGAGGGTGCAGACGCCCAGGTCTGCGTGGCCGTGGACGGAGGCTGCGGTTCCTGCGCCGGTCTTGCCAGGGGGGAGGATGCTGTTAGCTCTTTGTTAAAAGCAGGTGGGGAGCTATTGAATACTTACCATGTACAGGGTCTCGAATCCAGCTGCCAGGGCTAGTCGCGCTGACAGGCCATCGTATACACCCGGGGCACACACGAAGCCATTGGGGTCTTCGATGATCTTGCGTAGAGTGGTTGCGCTGGAGCTCAAGGACATGATGACGTCGTTAAATATCAGACTAACAAGATATAGTGTAGTCGATGCGATTGAACAGAACGTAAAGTAAGTATGAAGGGTGATTTCTCTCTTGCTGTCTCAGCTACACGAAAAAAACCGAAACCCCGGCCTTCCATCAATCCCTTTTATACCCTCGACCCTTCTTCCACGTGTGTTACCTGTCCCTTCTTTTTTTCTGCGCAACCCCACCAATTCGTTGGTTGGTGATGCACTCACTCTCCGCCCAGATGCCGATACCGGGGAGGTCGATTATGTCATTCGCGGGATGCTCGGTGATCTCTCGGCGACGCCGAACAATCTCTACGCTGTGTGGCGACGCGTGCGAATTTTTTTTGTCGTTCAAATCTTACGAGAGAGACGTGGTTTGGACAGCGCCGATACCGGTCTTCGCTTGATAGATTGAAGTGCCGAGTTACCTCGCAGGGAACAGTATGCATGCAGGTGGACGAGATAAACCTCGGGGGGTGAGCCCCTCCCGCCACGGCAGGGGAAGAGGTGGGGCAATCAGCTTATGGTGCTCTTACCTACCTATGTAACATGTCCTTAGCAAATCGAAAAAGCATGATTCAGGGATTTCTGAACTTTGGTAGATATCTGTCCATGCATGATTCAGTCCATTGATATAGCTGCCTGTTGTTAGTAGTTACATATTCCTCCGACGATTGTTTCCAAGGCGGTGCAGAAGCACGCAGCTACTGCGAATTCAAAGCATTCTGCTCTATTACCTCCCAATTCAATCGCCCATGTCGTATGACTGACCACCTGCCAATTCGGATAACTGAGGCTGTATGGTCTGTATCTGACGCTTGGACCATTTGGCAATTTCTAGGCGACAGCGCTCTTTCTCGACCTGCTCTTTCTGCTTTCCTGGTACAAATACGACGGATTTACTGGCTCGGATGCTAGGTTTAGTCAAGAAACAGAATTTCAATTAGCAGCCTATGTTGCCCACCATTATAATATATATCCTGACAGCTTTGGTCAGTCACGGGCCTGGAAATTCCTGTAGGACATCCTTCGGGCATATCTCGCGATGATTGAGGCAGGAAAAGTGCAAGCGTCTACGGACGAGGCGGACGAGGTAGATATAACACCTCGATTCTTCCCGTGGCGCAGCATCATCAACGCACGCAGCGAGATATCGTGAAAGCAAAATCGATCCAGAGAGTGCCCACAAGCCCCAGACATTTGTCCAACTAGCGCTAGGCCACCTGCCGTTTTCAGAAACTCCTGTAGACTACTTCTGTCCTTCAACATCGGTGCTCACTATAGTGCACGACATAGCAACGGCCAGCAGCTAAAGGAAGATACCGTGTGGGATGAGACTTCGATAGACACCTCGCATGAGCTATCCTGGCTGGGCCCACGCCGTGGCTTTTTGGAGTGGCATGAAGTTCAACTTTATAAAGTCCTGCTGAACTAGACGGAGAGTGGAGGCGGGTAACTGGGAGGTTAACGCAGACGGGGCCGTTGGTGGTAGTGGAAAATTTGAAGAGGCTGATACTACTGGCTTGGTGAGAAGGAGACCTAGGTTCCATTCCAGAGGTAGTGGCATGGAGCCGAAAATCCCGGACATATAGGTAGTGGTGGAAGAGTTCAAGTTTGTCAATTTGATGTCTGAGTTATGGCAAATGTAGATTGCATGCATCATTGTGACCTGTACCGAGTCACGCCTCCACAATTAGTTAAGAAGCTGCTCTGCTTTAATCAAACATGGATCGTTAGTTAGTTTCTTGTAAAAGAATGGTAGGGCAGCTAGTCCAAGTATGGCGGTCCATCTCAATCTCTCATTGGTGGATTGCAGCCCCACACCCGTCGGCCGAATGCTGATGTCAATTGAATACTTCAAGTTGATAGTTAGTTAGTTACAGTAGGAAAGAGATGACAAAAAGCACCTCGGGAAAGAAGAGTATAGGCCCGAATTAATAATTCAAATAGTCGTAGAGTAGGAAAGAATACCGCAGTAACCCACTTCCCATATTCTATATAAGCTGCTCAAATAGTCGTAGTGAAATCTACATACAACCCACCAAACAATCCTTTTCTCCAAAATGCCATTCTTCCAACCCAAAGTCACCCCGTTGCCCTCAGGCATTGACCTTCAAGGCAAATCGGCTGTAATAACGGGCGCCAGCGCAGGCCTCGGCCTCGAAACAGCCCGCCAACTCCTCACTCTAAACCTCTCCACTCTCGTCCTCGCCGTCCGCAACGAATCCAAAGGCAAAGCCTGCATGGAAGCTCTTCTAGCAGACCTAGACATTAGCTCTAAAAGCCCAACCATCAAGATCCTCAAACTCGACGTCAACGACAACACCAGCATCATATCCTTCAGCAAGACACTGCCACAAATCCTCCCAGTCGTGGACATCCTCATTCTCAACGCAGGAATCAGCCGTCTCAAACACAACCCCAGTCCAACCGGTCACGAAGAAAGCGTCCAAGTCAACTACCTCGCCAACACACTCCTCCTCGCCACTCTCCTCCCCTACCTAACCACCAGCGCCTCACAGACCGGCTCCCCAACAAGAATTACCTGGGTCGGCAGCCGCATGCACGAAATAATGACCAGTTTCCCCAAGAAGTCCCCCCTGGTCACTCATACCTCGATCCTGGAATACCTCGACGCCAAAAGCACCATCTCCCCGTTTTCCCGGTACGCGGATAGCAAGCTGCTCTGCGCAATGTTCATGTACAGTCTTGCGCCGCGGGTGGATCCGCGCAAGATCGTGCTGAATATGGTTTGTCCAGGGATGGTGGATACGGGGATTAGTGACTTTTTGCCTGTTTATTGGAGGGTGCTGGTTGATTTGGTCAAGGCTGTTAGGGCGAGGAGTGTGGAGGTTGGGGGATGGTTGATTGTCAATGCGGCTGTTGTGGCGGGGGAGGAGTCGCATGGGAGGTTTTTGGGGGATAAGGAGGTTCTTGAGTGAGTTTTTCCTCGGATTTAGTGTTCCTTATGCAACGAATTCGGGGGTCATGTGGCTGATTGTGCTTTTGAATAGGGTCTCGAAGTATATTCGGTCTGAGGCTGGGAGGGAGGTGCAGGAGAACTTGTGGGATGAAACTATGGTTGAGTTGAGGAAGATTACCACTCTACCGGAGGAACTTAGATGACCCGGGGTAATAGTGATCTATCGAGATGGAGAGATGGGAAGTCGTATGCTCTTTGTTAGTAAATTGTCTTTAATTTGATTTCTCCCTAGAAGTTATCATTTCTCATCTGATTATACAAGTTTATACAAGTGAAACAACCGCCCCAGCGCCTTGACCTGGTAGGTTCCTTAAACTCTAATAACTTCTTGGATAAATCGAATCTGGCTTTGAACCGGTGGCTGTTCCTTGTCCTTGGTCTTAGGCTCTTCGCGGGGTCTTGGCTTCTCGCGTGGATTTGGGACCTTGTCAGCCTGGTGCGTCTCAGCCGGTTTGACCACCTTACTCGACTTTAACACCGGGATCGACCTTGCCGCTTCATTCTTTCTGGATTCTTCAAGCGTCTGTCCCACGTCAAACACCTCCTCCTTGTGCTTCGTCGAGAGCTCAAACGACAACATTTCATCACGCAGAGATCGACAAGGAACAGGCCACAATTCATTCGTTCTGTGATTCCAATTATTCCAGTACATTTCACTCAAACGGCGTGAAGAGCTCAGACCACGATTTGAAATAAGGCGAAGGGCATGCTGACACCAGAGGAACTTCTCCCGATGTCCGAGCCCGATATAGACCTTGATGGCCCCGCTCAAGGGGAACATCAACATGCGGATTCCGCAGAGTGTTTTCGTATCGTTTGCATAGTACGGAATCGTCCGGCAAATTTCATCGGCATAGTACTCTGATAGCCGATGGTCTTCGTCTCTGGCCGGTACTTTGCCAGAGTCGCTCTCGGGTGTGAGAGGATGAGATCGAACCAACGATTTGGCTTTATAGATCATGGGCTGAATGGTCGCCAGGGCATTCCAGTACCAATGATGCATCCTAGCATTATCGAGTGTGGAGAACCGATAACCCGCGCCGAACAAATCCTCTGTTGGGGGCAGTTCGTCGGTTTTGCATTCATCAGGGGCGCACACGATTAAGCCTCTTGCGTAGCCATACTGAGAAAACCACGCTGTGATTCTAGTTTTTTGTTTGAAGCAGTTTTGAAGTAGAGTTTCACACCCCTCGTGGTCATTGGCGGAAATTGTGTTGAGGACGGTAGAAAGAGGCCCAAATTCTGCGTAGACTGCGAGTAGTTCGGACAATGGAGTTGAGATCCCACCACTTGATTGTTTCGCATATTGATATTCGTCCTCTGTAGTGTTAAGGCCCGAAGTCGCGATAATCTAGAAAGTATTAGTACAACTTTACCGAGGCCAGTCAAGTCACAAAGGATCATAATCAACGGTTCACATACCAGCCGCATCTTTTGGTGTTGGTTGTAAATGGCGTCGAGAAGGGGATTCCGAGGTAAAAGATCCCGGTAATACCGCAATAGTGTACTTGTTCCCTGAGTATGAGCCAGCCACGCTCTGAGATCAAAGGCACAGCAGTACCCCTAAACCGAAACCGAGTCAGATCAATATTTCATGGCACCAAAGTCATATTCTCCGGGTATTCTCACCTCTAACTCCTGAAAGATAACAGCAGTATATACAATTTCCGCATTCCAAGCATTTCGATAAATGTTGTTCTTCACACTCCGGATTGCAGTTCCATACAAGTCAAGCCCATAGTTATACATATGATCATCATTATTCATCTTTCCCATGTAAAGACAAGATACCGCAGATATCGCCCTCTCAAGCATATTCGTCTTGTTGGGCAGGGTTGCAAAATTGTAGATTAGGTATTGCCAAAGATTCAGCGAGGAGATCTCCTCGGTGTGACTGAAGAAGACATTGGTGAAGGATGAGAAAACCTGTTCGCGCGCTACTGGTCCAGAGGTCACGTTGCTGGGCATCACAAATGCTCGTGCCGGGTCCTGACATTGGGCTGGATATTGATTTTGAATATGGGCTTGATATGGACTTTGATACTCGACCTGATACTGAGACTCGGTGATTGGGACTATCACCCTCGCCGTCTCTCGTCGCGCCGATGGATGGTGGACGAAGATGCGGGTCTTTTCGTATCCGGGGCATTTGACACCACGCTTGACGCATCGGGCGCATTCTGGCTCTTGTTCGTCGCACTGTTCGTTCGTATTGTCAGCATTGACGTTCCATCGACAAGGGCTCGGAGGGCCCGATGGACCTTGACTTTGCGTTTTCGGCATGTCATACACCCTTTCGAGTGCCAAGGGGTGCCACCCATTCTTGCTTATGCTGACTTGCTTGTGCTGATGCTTGTGCTGACTTGCTTGTCTCGCGTCACAGACAATCGTCTGATCCTGAGGTGGTCATAGCATACTATCGGTATGTGTGCTGGAGATGACGGTGGCTTGAAGATGTCTGGATGCAACTGGATGCAATGGCCAAAGACAGCCTTACAGAGACGCTTCAACCGAAGTGGAGGGGCCGAGGAAAGCCGGCCCCCAAAGCTGCGTGGTCATGTAACATGGTCTACTCCCTTTGTAGGTTAGTACCTATGTCGGCCCCCGCATATCACGACTTATGGTTTGGAACGCTGTTTTGGGGTAAGACCAGCACATCTTTTAACTATTCTCAATGTCTGCTTAATCAGTATAGGGGAGAAACATCAGGTCCATAATATCAGAGACCGGTCATCGCTGAGAAGTAGAAAGTTGCTGGTGAGCCATATTTGTTGAGAAAAATCCCCGCTGTTTCAAAGGCTCTGGCTAGCGTCGCTGAGCGGGTCAGCATACGGCCTGATCCATAAATGACAATCATTTAAAAGCCTGCTGTAGGGTAGCCCGACAGATTTTCTTTTCTCTGTTCGTAAATCTCGAGGATAATACAATGGAAGGAAGAAATTCCCCAGGGGATAACCGGAGTATTTATCTGTTGTGATAGTCTTTGGAGGGTCGGGCCGTGACTTTACTTCAGAGGAAAAAAGTTGCGAAGTGGGCCCGAGTGCTGGAGGACTGGAGCTATGGCCTCCACTTATGGATCCTTTGATCACCATTCAGTAACAGTTGTAGTTCAGGATCATAAGGATCTAGCATTTATGGACTATTCATCATTAGTAATGCATTCTAGTTTGAAGGAAGGGGGAGAGGCGTCAGAAATTCTACACCGGTTCGAGTAAAGAGCGTCATAGCTTTTGTCCGTTGCTTGTACAACAATAATGGCGTAGTAAGCCCTTGATATGACAGCAGATACGATAATATCTTCTGGCAATTACTTCGGGACAAGAAGGCAGACGAATAGTTCCTTTGAAATGTTATACCCGACCTCGTATTGACATATGGATGAAGCACTTGATATGAGATATCATCCTGATCAATAGCACGGAAATCACATCTTGGACATGATATAGGATAGATAGTTGTTATATTCACTAATATGAAGTCGATGCTGCCAAGGGGAAACAAATGTGAGACCGAGGTCTGATACCTCGGAGTGGAAGTGCCAGAGCAACTCATTGATGTCACTTATGTCCGGGGCTAAACTCCGCTGTTCGAGATTTGTATGATCAGAACGTCACAAATCAAGATCCGCACCAGGTAAGTTGAATCCCATGTCATTCATGATCGAATCCCACAGATCTGTGGCTTGAAACTCGCTGAGGCTTTTTCTGTGCTCATCTTCAGTAGGACTGTCTTCACGGTAGAACATCTGTGTGTCAACCTGCCCGCAGAGGCCAATAATAACGTTCACTGCCATCTGAGTTTGTGGCTTCTTATCAGATCTTTTGGCCATGAAGTCTAGGTAGTCATCCACATAGTACCGAGTTATTTGCTCATCATCAGCTCCTCGGTGATGAATCAGGTAGACCAAGATCAAGAGAGTACACTGCTGGGGGCCATAGTACTCTGCGAGAAACCAAAAATAAGGCTCAAATGCAGGTGCACTACAAAGTTGCAGGTATTTTCGAAGATAGGCCCGTGACAACTGAAAGATCCTGTTCATCGAATAGTTAGACACCAATTCCGCAGAAATGTTGAATGTTCAGTTAGAATATAAAATGAAACATACTGATTCCAAGACACATCATGGGATATTGAATCTGGAGGACCAAGCAGCATCTTCCTCATCATGATGGTCACCTCTAACTTGAGGAGAAGCAAGCTTGTTCGTGCCAATGCGCCAATTACCGAGGGTGATTTGCACTTGTCCTGATACAAGGTGTGGTGTGTCTTCGGGGATGCTTCTTTCAAATTGACAGGAAGTATGTCCTCGACATTTTGAGATGCAGGGATTCTGGCAATCAGAGAATCGAGAAGACGGCCAAGGGATTTTCCCGCTTCCACAAGCTCGGTCACTTTCTGCACGGATATTTGACCTCCAGTACGGGAAGTGGCGTTTTGGAAATGATAAATCAACTTGTTCTGGAGCCGTGCGGCTTCATACCGACCAACCGCGAGAAGATCTGTGGGAGAACTGTCTGGCGCAGAAATCATTTGCACTACGTCGAGCGGGTTGTCTGCGAGACATGTCGGCAAGCCATTGGCAAGACTCGTTTGAATATCCAACCAGACTAAGTGCCACCATATCTGACGTCGCTGTTCTTTCGTTGAATCAAGGTCTGGCAGGTTATTTTCTCGATGAAGCCCCATGCACTGGGCAAGACGGATGGTAGTTGCAATGAAGAGCGCATCTTGAGTTGATGATTCTGTTTGCTTGAATGTATGGAGTAAAATGGATCCAACCAAAGTATTAAGTGTTGGATGCTCCAGATATCGGCATGCAGACAGACTGTCGGAGCAAGCATTCTTGAATTGGGTGATGGCCTTTTTAGGATCTAGACCACCTAGGACAGAGGAATCATCCGCCGTTGAGGACGGTATCACGGAAACCCCTGCATAGAAGATTGCAAAAAGCAGACAAGTGAAGGTAGGATCTCGAATCAGTCCCGGGGTGGGAGTAGATCTCCAGCTCGGGCCCATTCCCAGAATGCCCCGTACTGCGATTGGAAGGTCGAAGTATTGATCAGTGGATGGAGCGGATGTATACTAACAAAGAATGATTGAACCAGCACGTCAGCTGTTAGTTTCGAGGGCAATGAGTATAAAGCCTTTGCTAGTGATACAGCTGAGATATGGGGCGGAGGCAAGTCGGCCGGGGTGGGTTGTTCATTGTAGAACAATGCATCAATCAGTCTCTCCTGTACCAAGGTTAGAATCAAAGTGAGGAATCTATGTTAGGATTAACTGACTTGGCCATTCACGAAGCCCCAGAAAGTCCTACCAATGTGCCGGACGCGAGCGCCTCGTTGGAGACTCAAATAATCGGGAGCTAGAGAAATCTGATTCTCAGCGGAGGGCTTCTCTTGAACGTTGAAATTTTGATCTTCTGGAGCTATCTGCGAAGGCGGATAGTCTTCAGCTTCAGTAGCCCGTAAGACTCGACCTGTTTCTGTGTCGCGAATTCCTGTGTCATAAGCACAATTCTCTCCCATTCGTTGACAATTGTGACATTCGGGTTTTTCCTTCCCACACTTGACCTTTCGGCGGCGGCATACTACACAGCTGAGGGCCAAGCGAGGCCTTCTGACCGTGTAAGAAGACATTTAACCAACCATGCACAAAAGATGAGCGAAAGATATGATGTCAAAGAATTGGCTGAAAAAGCACAGTTTATGGGATAGACACCAATCTGAGAGGTAAAACGAAGTATGTGATGATGGGAGTTTCCTCCAAAAGGAAAGGCCCGAGTGGCTGGATCCGTCCCACCGAGCCGCAGGTGCAAGATCGCCTTAGTCATCACTATCGTTTCTGGAACCGTCCCAGTGGAAACTCCAACCTTCTTCTCTCCATCTTCAATCCATTCGCCTTGAAATGACCCCGACACCTCTTGGATAGCACGCCCTCCTCTTACCCCGACCACCCCCAACCCATCCATCCAAATTCCCCACCGATGGCGCGTTCCTCCGTCGTCCAAGAGTATGACGCGCCGTCCACAACCCTGAGCCTGGACCAGAAAGTCACCCACGAGCGCCAGATCTACCGAGTCCCTCGCCCAAAGGGCTACCGCGTCTCATGGCACGCCAACCCGGCCGTCGAGGCGCACCATTTCGGCCAATCACATCCTATGAAACCATGGCGACTCACTTTGACCAAGCAGCTCGTCATGGCGTACGGCATGCACCACGCCATGGACCTGTATCTCGCGCGGGCGGCGACATATGAAGAAATGGCCGATTTTCACGAAGCGGACTACCTGGATTTCCTGAAGCAGGTTATGCCGGGAGATATGGACCGCGCCGAGCAAAGCGATAACGTGGTGCGGTTCAACTTTGGCGACGACTGTCCCATCTTCGACGGGCTGTACAATTACTGCTCGCTGTACGCGGGCGGCACGGTCGACGCGGCGCGCAAGCTGTGCAATGACCAGGCAGAGATTGCGATCAACTGGTCTGGCGGTCTGCACCATGCGAAAAAGGCCGAGGCTAGCGGGTTTTGCTACGTCAATGATATCGTCCTCGGTGTTCTACAGCTATTGCGCCACCACCCGCGGGTGATGTACATCGATATCGACGTGCATCACGGAGACGGTGTCGAGCAGGCATTCTGGTCGACGGACCGCGTACTCACCGTTTCGTTTCACAAATACGATAAAGACAACTTCTTCCCCGGAACTGGAGCTCTCGACGATACAGGCCCTACACACCCCCTCAACCCCGGCGCACACCACTCCATCAACGTCCCGCTCAACGACGGCATCGATGACGAATCCTACATCCAACTCTACCACGACGTAATCGGCGCCTGCGTCGAGACCTACCGCCCCGGCGCAATCGTCCTCCAATGCGGAGCCGACAGTCTTGGCTGCGACCGCCTGGGCTGCTTCAACTTGAACGTGCGCGCGCACGGCGCCTGTGTCGCCTTCACCAAAACCTTCGGCCTGCCCCTCCTCGTCGTCGGTGGTGGCGGGTATACTCCGCGCAACGTCTCCCGCGCCTGGGCACACGAGACATCCATCCTCCTCGAAGCGGACCAAATAATCGACTCCACAATCCCAGATTCAGTCGCCTTCCGCACACACTTCGGTCCAGACTACTCGCTCTTCCCACCATTATCGGAAATCCGCAAGCTGGAGAATAAGAATCCCCGCCCTTACCTTGCCGGGCTGGTCGAGTCTGTCCATGAACAACTGCGGTATATCAAGGGTGCGCCCAGTGTGCAGATGAGTTTTATTCCCCCGGATATCCTGGGTCTGCGCGAGGAAACAGAAAAAGAAATCGAGGAGGAAACCGCTATGCTGGAGGAAGAGCGCGAAGAGCATTTCGGTGGTGGTTCCGCTGCGGCGGCAGCTGCGGCGGCTTATACAGACGTGCCTGGCTCGGTGGGTGCTATTCCCCGTGGGAATCGTCGGCGCGAGATGGAGCGTGGAGCTGGGTATAGAGGCGAACTATATTCATGACTGTTATTTCGGTTCTGTTGCTTGCTTGGTCCAATACCATGGTGTTTAGGAAATAGGGGGTCAGCGTCTAGGTTTGTTTCTTTTGTTTCATATCTCTCGCATTTGGAGTAATCATGTCGAAGGAGTCTATGGTGTTTGGTGTTTCTTGGTTCTTGTGATATCCCCGGACGGAGGCTTGTACAGTAATAAATGCAATCAAGAAAAAGAATTATAACATGGATACATTTGAAAAAACATGGTTTCGTCAATTCGGTAACTCCTCGAGTTTGTATACTTCTTTGTGTCCATGTATATCGAAGAAGTCTATTCTCCACCCGTTCCGGACTGAATCCCACCGTTCTTCGTGAAAAGGAACCAAGTAAATCTCATATCCAGGAACCGTGCTTGACACCGGCCTCTTCCATGAACGTGCATAACATCCATCCATTGCCGTCCTTGGCCTCTTACAACATCCCCTTAGACAAGGTAAAGATTACTATGTACCTAACATTTCCCACCCAGATCCACTGTAATCCATCCCCATTCCAGGAACATCGTAACACGATGCGACGAGTTGTTTGAAGTAAAGTATTTCTTTTCATTTGTTTATTTCAAGTTGGAGGTTGTTCAAAAATCAATGAAGTTTTCTTTTTCTTAGGATCGCAAAAATCCAGAATCAAATCGGGTATCCAGCAATGTGGTGCGGCTTTTGAAGACCGGGAACGCTTGTGTTGAACATGATGTTTGTGGGGAAGGAGAAAGGTGTGTGTGGTCGCTGTTTTCCAGTCGCTCGAGTACTCCTTGCGGATGCATAGCTTGTGCAGGCTGATTGCTTCTCGCATAGGTAGGCCTCGCCGGTTAGCTGTGGGAGGCTCTGGGCGAGTCGTACGGCTGGAAAGGACCTTGGGGCGAGGCGATGAATGGGGCCGGAGTATATTTTATGTTGTGTGGAGGTGGCTGTCCCCAATTCACTGTTTTTCCTCTGCGTCCACGAATTCCTCCTCTTCTTGGGTTTCCGTATCCTTCCGTTCCACGACTGGTGCGGCTGTGTTTTCTCCTGTAAATGAGGCTGCGCCCGCGGTATTAGCTGTCGTGTCCTGCTCGGGGAGCGCCGGTGTCGCAGAGTTGGACGACTTGGAAGCATGCGGCGGGATCTGGAATTGGCTGCAATCTTTCTGACAATCGAGGATGGGCGCGATGGCTAGGATTTGCTTGGTTGCGGTCTGGGGGTCATGCGAATCACTGTGCGTTTCAGATTTTAGTTTAGACTCGATCGTGCTCCAATGCGATCTGCGAAACGTACACCTCGGCATTGATGATCCAATCCAAATCTTCCTCGCCTTCATCCTGACCACCAGGGCCGCCGTGTACAGCCCGGAACAACCGAGGTTGCCACTCAACACCTTCGTCGATGCGCTTGGCAGCCTCGTCTCGTTGGCGATCTTCAATTTTGGTCTTTTCATCCGTTGCGGCTGTGTGGTTTTGCGCCAGAATCGCCTTCACCGTGGGTTCCCATAACCGTTGCGATTCCCGCTCTGCTTGCTCGCTGATTGGGCGTGCGAGGGGCTTCGAGTGCCTTGCGTGTGTGGCATCGAATAAAACCTCCTTCCGGTGAGTCTATCAAGTTCATTAGCATCTAGCGCGGGTGAAAAGAAAAGTGGCAGACAACGAACATGGACATCTTTGATGTGCATCTCGCCATTCCACAAGCCCGACAGTTCATATAGAACTTCACCAGTCTTCTCGTTCTTGATCGTGCCCCCAATTGCATTATAGGTACCCGAGAAATAACCCTTGGTCTTGAACTCGATATCGGCCACGAGGTTGTTCTCCGGGCACCGCACGTAACTGTGGTCGCCAAGCTCATACTTCATCTTTCCGAACAGGATGCCGCGCGCGTACATGTTAGGCTGCGTCACGATGCTAGCGAATCGGTCAGTATGTACTTTGTCGCAAGTAGCCGAAAACACGTACTATCGTTCACCCTTCTCCTTATCCTGGCCACGGTTCAACAATCGCAGAATTGCAATACCCTCCATCATACTCGCTGCGGAGTTGCCCAAGAACTTGCTGCGGGGCTTCAACGTGCCATCGATCCGAATGTGGTGCTCGGGAGCCATGAAGAAGTAGCTGGACTTGGGGGGATGGTGGGAAGTCTGCTCCGAGACGTAGTATCCGCGCGTTCCATCGGGATAGTCCCAGTAGCAAGTAAAAGTCTCTCCAAGGATGGGGTTCAAGGGCTTCTTGACGCCTCTGCAAGGATGGCGGGGGAGGAAAATCAGTATGTCGTCACCGCGGGAAGCAGGGAAAACTGAAAACGTACGGGGGCTTGATGTGCCATCCACTCAAATAGAACTTGATCACCGAGACAAATCGCTCCACAGGGTCATCGATCGTAGGCATGGGAAGAAGGGTTTCGGGGTGCGCCATGAAGCTGCGTAGAGAAATCTCGTTAGTTTCGTCGCAACTGAGCGCTGTGCCCGCGCCAAACACGCTTCGGAAAGGTCATACTTGGTAATCCGCTCGAGCATGGACCTAGGCTCTAGGATGAAGGTAGGCAAGACGACCCGACTCAAGTCGGCGCCCGGTCGGAGCTGCGAAATGATATGCAAGAGCACTGTCGTTTCCAGGTCAGCTGGAGGGACTGGTTTGGGAGGGGGGGACTGCGGGCACGATACCATTTCCCTGCTCGGGCTCGACGATCTCGTCTTCCCCGCTACCGGGGGAATCATCCACGGATGAGCGGCCTAGAGTTGCGTGAGTGTCCGACATGGTTTGTAGTGTGGTGAGTTGCGAGAGGAAAAGAAACCCACTGGTCAAGGAAGTGCGGCGGAGGTGCGGGACTGGCATGGTTGCAAGCGGAAGAGACCGAAACAGTAGGATGTTGTGGTGTGGGGGAGAAAAGGGTTCAGCGCAACGGCATCTAGCGGGAATGGGAGCAGAAGTCTAGTCGGGAGGAGGTTTTGGAAGATCAGGAAATTCCAGGGTCCCGAGGGAAGGAAGGTTAAAAAGAGAAGATAAAGGGGAAACAAGACTTGAAGGATTGAAAGAGGCTGTGGAGTCGTGTCTCAAGAAAAAAAGAGATGGTTGACTCGAACGGGCAGGCTTAGCTCGTCCTCGTCATAAGAACCTCGTCAATACGAATACTGGATTGGTACCTGCGGTGACTAAGAACCGTCCGAGGATAGGACACTCGATGCTGGTACAGAATATCCTTCAAGTACCCCTCGGTAGAAGTGCACAAAAAAAAGAATGTTATGGACCTTCGGCCTTGTGGTCGGTCGGGCAGTGACGTCGAGCCTCACGCTGCCACTTCTGGCCTGACCAACCGCTGGGGCTGCCGAGATTGGCCTAACGGAGCTAGCAAAAAGGTAGGGGTTGGTCGGATCTAGTCTCTTCTTCAAATTGGTATCATCAAGTAGGTACAGTCGATGTCCTGGAAAATCCCTTCTCTCCCAAGCAAACCCTTCCCTCCAGTTTCCCCTCTTTTGGGACTCTCTCAAGGTTTCCAATCCTTCAGGATCGTCACCAGGAGGGGGTTGGCCTTGGCAGAGTGGGGGAAGACCTCGATGGGGTCAACACCTGCACACTGTGGACAGGTTGGGGGATATTGTTGTAGGCAGATACCTGCAGGCTGGTCCACTTGGTCGATTTGGTCCAAGACTGGTCCAAGACTTGTCCAAGCTTGTCTTGCGCCGAACTGCTGGTAGAGGAGGAGAGAGGTGTCAACTCGTAGTCCCCCTTTGGCCTAGGCACCAACAAAAAGTACTACTCTATCCCGTCCAAACTGGACAGGAACCACCAAATATCAAGGCAACTCTTTCCCTACCCGATCGATCAGCGGTACATCGCCATGCGTGATCTCCTGCACAAATGCCATATCCGGTTGATGGAGCATGACGTGGAAGTGTTCGACGGCGTGGACGGACTTGAGCGACTTCCAGTTCCTGAACCAGACGACCTGCTCAGGCGCCACGCGCGAACAAAACGTGGTCTGCACGTATCGCTCGATCGCCTCTCGCGCCTCTGCTGTCAGATCGCCCGTGGTGGGGTCATCGGGAAGCTCGAATTTGGTCCAGACAACCAGGTGGATGATATCCGTATCGATCCCGTACGGCCAGTCATTGTACAGAATCCGAATGTCCTCTGTATACGTCGTATCCCTCGTATACCGCGTTAGCCAGCCGCCATTCTCGGTTCTTCCGTGGGGAGGAGTAAATAGTGGCGCCTAAAAAGTAAAAGTACCAACTATTCGGTTCTTGCTTACCAGCAAACTCAAAGGGACCGCCTCGAGGTCGAAGGTCCTCGGGATGTATCCCATCCCCCCAGCACAATCTCTCCCTAACCACAAACCGCATGACCGATCCGTATTCGGATTTGATCTGGGCCATGTATTCCAGGTACTTCCGCAGCTCGCTCGGGACCCGTTGGAATCGATCGATTCGGTTCGTTCCTGCGGGACCAAATGCAAAACGCCAACCCGTTAGCAAGCCTGTCACCGTCTGAAGTACATGCCCAGGCCCCCATCGCCAAGGATGCATGACAGATGAAATGAGCTCCACTCAACTGATTATCTCCTGGACTTGCTCCCAAGTTTGTCGCTTGTAATGACTATCGGGAGTAGCCAGGCAATGCACGTTCTTGGGTGGTTGGTCGCGTAGAAAGGCAGGACACTCGGCGGTCCATTGCGACCGGGGTACGTTGACGAGCCAGTAAGGAAGAGTCTCCGAGGTGATGCCCTGCTCGTGCAGGAACCGCGCTGGCGTGTCGGCGTCCGCGTCGACTAGTTTTTCGTCGAGCAGAGTAATCGTCGCTGCGAGCGTTGACACATCCGTTGAATGAGGCATGTTAAGCTTTGTCCGACGGGCCGGATCTGGACGTGTTGCTTCTTGTGTGACAGGATTCGTAGAGACTGGTAAGAACCACCATCCAGTTGCGATGTCACCATGCAGTAGTGCTAGAGAGGATCGAAAGATTAAGGGGGAGCTCCTGAAATATAAGATCCTCCGGAGCCGTTTATTTTCATGTCGATCATCCGGGCAATACATCCGGAATCCACCCGGTGGCAACAGTAAGCCCCGAATCCATGCGGAGAATGTAAGAAGTACTTGAACGGGAATGGAAGTCAAATATGCTGAAAATGAAGACCCAGATAGAACACAAAAGGGGGAATCAATTGCAAGAATCTTCTAAACCGAATATTGAAAATAACAAAGCCCATCACTGAATTTATGCCACTGCTACTGCCAGCTTCTTCACAATCGCATCGTCAGCGTGGATGACCGACACTCCCGCTGCTCGCAGCTCCTTTTTGGCCTCGCCCCAATTAGCAGGGACAACGCATTTTGTGGCCTCTTCAATGAGCCAACTGCGGAATCCAGTCTTGACAGCGTCGATAGCAGTCCATTTCACACAGTAGTCTCCCGCCAGTCCAACAACAAAGACATCCGTAACACCCTTCTTCTCAAGCTCCGATGCGATATCCACGTTGACAGATTGCGCCGTCACGGCAGGGTCTAGATTTCCAAAGGCATCCGCAAAGGCAGAATACATCTCGACCTGCGAGTGCTTGCCTTTCTGCACGAACAAGTCAATGCGACTGGTGTCAATCTCGGGAATCATCTCGGCGCCAGGGCTGCCAGCCACGCAATGGACCGGCCACAGCTGCTGCGGCTTTGTCTCAGTCTTCCTATCCGGAGCGGGGTTCTTCATCTCAATGAATGATTCGAAGGGTCGGTTGTTCGGTGGGGGGTGGTTGCTGGCGAAGGAAATGTGGTCTGCGGGGTGATAGTCCTGAGTTGCGATGCGCGTCACGAAGCCAGGCTGGGAGAGGAGATGGTTGATCAGTGGGGCAATGGTTCGGCCATCTTGAACGGCGAGAGATCCCTTCTGTTATTTCCGCGAAAGCATTGTTGCCAGGTACCACATCAGCCATGTCCGAGCTTCTCGAGCTAGATGGTCAGCTATATCCGCGGACTCACGGGTGGACAGAAGTCTTCCTGCATATCCACTATGATCAGAGCGGGCACAAATGGGCCTCTATCACTGCCTTTAAACTCCATGGCGAGACGGGGTATTAGCAACTTGGACGAGATCCAGTTGATCAAGAAAGAAGTGTAAGTGTTAAAGCTCTCCTCTAGCTTGAATTTAGCCAAGGAGCCAAGCGATCCGCAGCTGGACCTGCTGAGTCAGCGATCACGCTAAAAATGTCAAGTGGCCCGAACCTCCGAACTTGCTTTCTTTTCCTCCTTTCAAGGGCTACGGCCCCAGTGCAAACTCTTCTTCAATTGACTCTGGATAATGACCGGTAGTTGCAAGGTACGTTTGACAGTATGCCAGTCTCTACTGTATATTCCCTATTGCCCACTTCCACACCCTACATGATGAATCTTATTATTGGAGCTGTCTGAGCTTCGGCTTTGCGGACAAACTCATTATACGCATTTTTTTATCTGAACTGCATTCCTTTCCTATCCCTCTCTCATGTCGCTGCCTCAATTCGCCATTTGGGCCTCATGCTAATGCTCATGCCCAAACAGTCAATACCAGGAGATCGTAAACCCATCTTGAAGCCTCCCTGATTCCCCCATTCGCCTGCGTGCTACTCTAGCTACCAGGCTTTGCCCTATCCTCCCTTTAGTACTACTCTACATTTCTACATCTCTTCATATAAATTCCCAGCCCCATCATGGCGGCCTACGACCCTCGTGTAAACACCGCTTCCCAAGATCCCCCTCCCCCTCCTCCCCCACCACCCGAATCCGCCATCTCAGAGATGCCTTCCACCACCACCGAGGACGTGGAAATGGCCACGGCCAACGCGGCCACTATTGTCGCTGGAGCCAACTCCGACACGCCCACCGACTCATGGAAGCTTAAATTCTGCACAGTCTGTGCATCCAACAACAACCGCTCCATGGAAGCTCACCTCCGTCTATCGGCCGCACCAACTGCGTTCCCAGTGATATCCTTCGGCACAGGCTCACTAGTCCGCCTACCTGGTCCATCGATCTCACAACCAAACGTGTACCAATTCAACATAACCTCCTACAACCAGATGTACGAGGAACTGGAAAAAAAGGACCCGCGACTGTACCGCAACAACGGCATCCTGAGCATGCTGGACCGCAACCGCAACTTGAAATGGGGTCCGGAGCGGTTCCAAGATTGGACGCCTGGTCAGCCGCGTCTCGAGCATATCTCCAAGGGTGACAAGGGTGCACTGGGGACGGAGGGCGGCGTCGTCGATGTGATTATCACCTGTGAAGAGCGGTGCTGGGATGCCGTGGTGGACGATCTGATGAATAAGGGGAATGCGTTGAACCGGCCTGTCCATGTGTTCAATGTCGATATCAAGGATAACCATGAAGAAGCGCTCGTCGGTGGAAAGGCGATTCTCGATCTGGCGAATCGCTTGAACGAGTCTGCCGTGTCCCAGCGGCAAGCGCATGGGTCTGCGGGTTGGGAGAATGGGTCCGGTGCTGCGCGCTTGAGCTTTGATGAGAGTGTTCCAGAAATTCTGGCGGAGTGGCAGGAGAAGCATCCTAATTTGCCGGCGTTGTGGACTCTGGCCTGGCTGTAGCCTCGAGCAACTTCGCTGTCCTGTTTTTCTGATACCCCCTTTCACTGTTTGCGGATGCTCGGGTTTTGTCTTTGGAGATTTAGCAAGGGCCTGTTCTGGCTGGGTGATGTGACCCTAGTTTTGTTATTGGAAATACGAATCAAAGAACGGTACTACGCAATGCTTCTCTTCTTCTAGGGTTTCTTTCCTTGCTCGACTTGATTGATAGTAGATAGACATCGGCCTAAACAAGGCAGTGCGTAGAATGATAAAAGCAAATTCATTTGGGGTATCATCACTTCAACGCCAGCCATCTCTCCATCGAGAAAGCGATAAAGTAAAGTATAAAACAGAAGACAAATACACAATAGACGAGGCCTGGAACAACCTTATTGCTCATCCTTGACTTGTCCCTTCTCTACTTGGGAAAGCACCACATTCCTCCGCTCCAGATACCACTTGTCAAGACACTCTCTCCGTTGAGCCTGCGTCATATTCTCCACCACAAGCGCAAAATCAGTCGCATCAGCATACCCAAGCCGTCGCGCCATACTGCAGAACTGTCGGCGCTTCACATCCTCCGGCGGATTATACTTGAACCGAACAATCTGCCCGTCCGGATCTCGGAATACAGATGGTGGTGGGGGTTGATGGCGCGGTTCCGCAAAGGGATCATGGCCACCACTATCAGCATTCTGAGAAGATTCGAAGATCTGGAAATCTGCATTGGGATCATTGGTGACTTGCTCTGCGCGCCGGCTGAGTCGTTCTTCGACGCGGGATGAGCCGATAACTTCGTTATTTAGATGAGTGTATTCGACACCTGCGCCGGCGAGAATGGCTTGAATCGGGTCATGGCTGTGCGCAGGTTCAGTCTTTGATGCTTCAGCGTCGGTTTCGCCGCGGACCATGGCGGCTATTTGGCTCATTGCTTCATCTTCGGCTTTGACGTTGTCGTCATCTTCTTTGACTTCAAAGTCCGTGACTTGAACGCCGGCGCGGCTTTCGGCGACGTTGGTTTTGTTGACGATGTCGCGAAGTACGACGTTGTCGTGCTGGTAAGCGAAGAGATTCTGCATACCGAAGATTTCGCCCTTTTGGTCTGCCTTTTCTTGGACACCCTTGAAGTAGCGTCGCTCAGAGCTAGCGGTATAACCAATTTCAGCTTGTTGCTGCTTGTAGATTTGTCGTGCGTAGACGATCTCTTCAATGGTGCCGACAGAAACAAGTCGGAAGACCTCTACATCCCGTACCTGTCCGATTCGGTAGGCTCGGTCCTGGGCTTGAAGATCATAGGCCGGATTCCAGTTCGGATCAACCACGACCACCTTGTTTGCCGACGTGATGTTCAATCCGACACCGCCAGCTTTAGTAGAGATCAGGAAGACAAATTGGTTTGGGTCAGAGTTGAACTCGTCCACGGCCTTCGCACGGTCCTCATACTTCATAGAACCGTCCAGGTAGCTCACGTTATAGCTCGTGTGGTTGAATAGCATCTGGAGCATTTTCAATAGGCGGACGCTGTGTGAGAAAACAAGGACCTTGTCACCGTTCGCATGCCACCACCTAAGTAGCTTGCGCAGGACTTTCCACTTTCCACAGAACTCGGGGTTTGCGTAGTTGACAATCGAGTCTCGGGACCGGTATAGGTCTTCCCATTGATCTGGTAGTGCTATTTGCAGCATCTCCTTTTCTTTTTCTTGTTTCTCATTAGAATCGTTTCCTTGCGGAATCAGAATTGCCAGATGGTTGCTGAGCTTCTGAAGAACCGCAATAGCAGGGAAAACGTAAGACTGCCACGTCTTGCCCGTGCCAGGGACCAGCTTATAGCAGCACCAGCCTCTCTTCTTTCCTGACCCACAATCACAGCTTTCAGTGGAAGTCTTAATCGTGGTCACGATATCGCTGTCCAGGAAATTCTCATAGGCCTCTGCTTGAGTCCATGTCAGCGGACAAAAGACTACCCTGTCGCTCTTTTTGGGTAGCTGGTCCGCTATCAAAGACTTCATGCGACGCAGGAAGAACTGTGGAAGCAAGTTTTCGACAAGCTTTTTTGCTGTTCTTCGAGCTTTGCTGAGTTGGTTCAAGGTGGCGTCGTGTGACTGTCCAATCTTCAACGGCTCCGAAATCTGCGCTTTCCACGTTGTCACGGGTCCAACGACGCCAGGATTTGTCCAATTCAGTAGAGTCCATAGTTCCTCATATCGATTCTGAATAGCTGTGCCAGTCAGACCGATTCGGCAGAGTGAATTGACCTCGTTCATGCCTTGCGTTGTTTCGGACTTGCGCTCCTTGACCTTGTGGCATTCGTCTGCAATCACACAGTCCCATTCGACCATGTTCACAGGGTCCTTGTTGTTCACATACGTGGTATAGGTAGTAATCAGAATCTCCACACGTCCCGATTTCGCAGCGTGAAGGGCGATGTCTTTGTTGCTGCCATGGTAGACGTCGACATGCCACCACCCCCACCGCTGAAGCTCAGACACCCAATTTGAGATCAGAGTGCCTGGGCAGATGATCAAGGTGCGTGGATACCATGTATTGTCACCCGATCTCCGCATTTTGCGCATCCGCTTCGAATCTCGCTCATCGCCAGTCTTGCCGTAGGCGGCAGTCAGAAATGCAATGACTTGAATGGTCTTACCCAGACCCATATCATCGCCGAGAATACCGCCCTTTTGATAGACGAACAATTCGTGCATGAAAGCGACACCTTCAACTTGATATTGGCGCAACCACTGTGCAATCGGGGCGGGAATCAACCCCAAAGAATATGGTAACGTGATATCTTTATATTCTCTGACAGGCCTTCTGTCTGGGAATAACGGCTTCTCTTGCAGGTCTTCCAAGCGATCATCATCGGAAAAGTCGACATCGTCGTAGGAAGGCGGGAGCTTCAGACCAAGCTCATTGAGATTTTGTTGATCCCGATCGAAATGAGCTCTTCGTTGCTTCAAATAGCTTGGAAGAGTGTACTCCATCAGCTCGTCCTCCGATGAGACCTCGCCATATTCCCTCAATGGTCTCTTGGGCCTTGCTGATGCGCGTTCAGGCTTGACGAGACCGACCATTTTTTGATCCCGGTGTTCTTTCTTGGGAACCTTTGCTCTTCGAGTTGCAGCCGCGCTCTGTCTGCGCTTGACAGACTTGCGTGCCTTGAACTTTTTATATGCCGCCTCGCCATCATTGAAATCATCGTCGCTCTCGTCTTGGATCTTAACTGGCGTACTCGACAACATGCGGCACGGCGTGTCGCAAGCTTCTGATTTAGGGACAGAGGGAACGGGGCCACGTTTAGGCGTATTGGTAGGTTCTTCGAGTTTCAAAGGTGTCGGATTCCTATCTAAAACACCTCAGTGAGCTATATGTCGCGCGCGCGTTCGAAGATTCACAGGGTACATACTCAAGGTGGTGCCCGCGCCCAGATAAGCGGTCACTTCTAGGTCATCGTCATCTGATTCGATGACGATGACCTCGACCTCAGCACTGAGATCTCCCATATCCACTGCATAGCCGATCGGTGTCGCTGAGGAGTGGGGAATGCGCGCAGGTCAGGGCAAGTGTATGCCGCAAAGGCGGAGAAGTGGGCGATGTCATGATTCCCGGTCGGCGAGAAAAAAAAGCCGTCCAACCATCTCCTCTCGGCAGACCACCACGCCTCTACACTTCTGCATTCCCCCAAAGCCCTTTCAATTGAGTTTTACTTACCCTGATCTGCTTGGGTGATCTACGCGACGTGAGTTGCCCTAGAAAGTTTGGCGCCAAGTCTCGACCTGACCATGGTGGACTAATTTGCATCCCACTATCTAGACTTCTGCATAGAGCGCCTGGCAAGCTTGCTCTTGGAGGCCTGCCCTCATTTTTCTGATCCCTTTTACATCCCTACCGAATACAATACGCCAAAATGCCGCTCGATACCTCCACGACATATCCTTTGACCAAGCTGCGCCTCGACGGTCGCCGATGGAATGAGCTGCGTCTAATCCAAGCGCAGATCTCGACCAACCCTGCCAGCTCTGGCTCTTCATACTTGTCCATGGGCAATACTGCGATTATGTGTTCCGTCCATGGTCCGGCTGAAGGTCGCCGTGGCGACGCCAGTGGTACTGCAGGTGGCGCAGGTGCCATCGTCGAGGTGGACGTGAACGTTGCTGGGTTTGCTGGCGTGGATCGCAAGCGGAGGGCTGGAGGAAGTGACAAGTGAGTGTCTTGAGCAGTCCCCTAGTTGGGAGCTTTGTATCACAGCTGTATTCGCGATTATTGTAGGAACCATTGAATGCTAACTTGCCGGTCAACAGACAATCGTCGCGAATCGCAACAACCCTACGCTCCGCCTTCCAATCGCACCTGCACACCTATCTCTACCCGCACAGCACAATTAGCATCCACGTCTCCGTTCTGTCTGCCGATGGATCTCTACTCGCTGCTGCGATCAATGCCTGTACCTTGGCTCTTGTGGACGCCGGTATTCCCATGCCGGGCCTGCTCACCAGCTGTACGGCTGGCATGAGTGGTAGTGCCTCCACACCAAAAGACCCTCGACACGACGAGCTAGACCCGCTGTTGGATTTGTCACTTCCTGAAGAGCAGGAATTGCCTGTATTGACTGTCGGCACTACGACCTCGGTACCCGTGGGAGAAAACAACATGGACGAGGAAGAGGGAGAAATGAAGGTGGCCGTGTTGACAATGGACTCGAAGCTGCATTCTACTTATATCGAGACAATGTTGGCCGTGGGAATTGACGGGTGCAACCAGATCCGCGAGTTGTTGGAGGGCGTCATCAAAGGGTCAAGCGGGGCCTGAATGCAATAAGAATCTGATACCCATGCACTTTTGGCGGCGTTCATTTGGTGTTCAGGATAGAGTACCGCAATGTTGAATACTGAATATTTGATATTTGATATATTGGGTTGCAGAAAATAGGAGTTTGTTTGAGTCCGTATCGAGGGAGCGTAGGAATTTGCTCAATTGTGCTCGTTTTCCCAATCCTTCGGCGGTTTGCATCGGAATGTTGGAAATGTGCTCATCACCCCAAAAGGGCAGTCGAGCTCATGAAGGAAGGCCCGTCTTTTGTTTATCACATCCTGGTCCTTCTTCTTTCTCATCTTTTCATCTTCCTCGTTCTCCTTCTCTGTGCAACCACGACGCGGCTGCCAAAACCCTCATACACGTCCAGCACCGCTACTCTTCAAGTCTTCGTCGGACGTCTCCAAAAAGACTCGTCTATGGCTACGGCCACGGACATGACGATGACCTCAGTTTCAACTGCTCTCATGGCCATGAACACTAGCTCCATGGGCATGTCATCCATGCCCAGCATGGATGGTATGGACATGAGCTGCCGGATCTCGGTTCGTATACTAGCATCATACTACTTATGAGACCTGCCGTGACTTGAACTAATTCAAAGCTGTCAGATGCTCTGGAACTGGTTCACTATTGATGCCTGTATGATCCCTTCTTCTCGTTCGCTCCTATAAACGCTCGAGATTGATACTGACAGAACTTGGGTTCATAGGCTTCCTGTCCAGCTCGTGGCATATCCGCTCTCATGGCATGTTCGCAGGCTCCTGCATTGCCACAATCTGCCTCGTCCTCTGCTTGGAATTTTTGCGTCGTATGGGTCGTGAGTATGATGCATTCATTCTGCGTCGAGCTCATTCTGCTGCTTTGGCTTCCAAGTTTCCGGCCGGGCGACGTCCGAGGAGGGTCCCGAGTTTCTTCCTCAGCAACGGCCAAAAGTGCAGCTGTGATTGTCCCATAGTTGACGGATCAATTACCGCTGCTTCTACCAGCGAACCCTCTAATGCAAAGCTTACTGGTCCAAACAATATCACGCCTGTGGCTGCAGAAGCTGTGCACTCGATCAACGGTGGCGTGGCCAATCGCAAGACTTCTGAACATCTTGCGCCGTATCGTCCCTCTCCAGTCGAACAAGTGATTCGTGCTCTGCTTCACATGGTTCAATTTGCCGTGGCATACTTCATCATGCTGTTGGCGATGTACTACAATGGCTACATCATCATCTGCATCTTCATCGGAGCGTTCCTGGGTTCTCTTATCTTCTCGTGGGAGCCTCTGTCTCTGTCGAAGGAGTAAGTCATTGCGCTTCTTTACAATTAATGACTTCCACATGAATCATTGCTGATCAAGTTTATGCGCTTTCCCAGAAATGATGCCACTCAGGTCACCAAGTGCTGTGGTTAGATCCACAACCACACACCTCGATTATCATCACAGGACACGGATCGAAAGACAACTTTCTGAAAGTGGAATGGGCCAGAAAACACCTTAGGAATATGGAAGTGCGCGGTATTTGGTACTTCTTCGGCATAATTTAGGTACACATCAGCCTTATCTTCTTCGCTCTCAACACTTCTGGCCAAGTGCACATGTCCTTATTCAATCCAACATCCTCTCTCTTAGCCCATATCATTTCAATAATGGATTTCGCAACAGAGGCATTCACGAGTCCAGTTGTTGTAAAGCAAGTATCGAACCACTGTGAGAAAAATCTTTGAGAATCCAAGTCCACTGCTTCGCATGCAGCGATAAATGCGGGCCATATGAGCGTAGCCATACTTTCTCCACTCTTGCCAGCTCCATCTTGCTGAATATGCATGAGCAAAGAGCGCACAGAAGTGACTTCTCGTTGGAGCATGGTAGCATCGAGGTCGTATATCCGTCGGTGGAAGAAGATGAGCAACGCAGTGTACATGGCGTGTGCTCTTGGATTACCAGCTTCCATGTCGCTCTCGTAATCACGCCTAGTAGTAGACTCCGATGTGCATGACCTTAGAAGAATACTGATCCCCTTCTCCAGCGCCTTTGCTCGCAACCAAAAGTCCCTAAGGTTGAGTCTGCCGCTCGCATTCTGATATAATATAGAGAAGTCTCGCTCATTAGCGAGCCGAATTACCTGCGACAAGAGCATGAGAAAGCTCTCTGCCACACCGTACATCTCCGGGAACAGCGTTAAGCTCCAACGGCCTGGAATGGCGAGGTGAAGATCTCGTTGTGCCACGCCAGGATCCTTTTCTTCGGCCAAAATGTCTTCTGAGAAAGTAATATCGGAGCTGATTCGGAATTCTGCGCTGGGTGCGTCTCTCTCTGGAGATAGACTGGTGTTGGCTAGCCTTTCGCTCAACCCGTCATCAATGCACGTAGTTTCGGCCATGATGCGCATGTATGCGTAGCAGTGATGAAGGGATCGCCGTTTCTGTGAAATTGTAGACTTTGCAAATCCGTTGATGGAGATGAATTTCTCCGCTTGTACTAGGCAGCATCGACGCTTATCTGAGTCTCCATGTACCATCTGCATTTTTTTTCGTTGATCAGTTCAATTCACTACAAGGTAAAAATGGAAGACATACGTAAGCAGTGGAAAGACTCAGAATGGCCATGAGAATCTCCTTGTACTTGTTCTTCTTAACACCTGACATGCGATTCTCTTCCATGCATCGCACGAAGTGACTCTCGGCTTTCTGCAAATAAGAATTGCCGACTGCAATCCAATGATCAATGCGCATAACTGAATGCTGCCCTAGATGGAAAGCACTTGTACTGAGCAGTGCATTTAATAAGGCCAGTCGAGCGTGATTTGCACTTCCACTCATCGTAAGCTCCCCCAATGTATTAACAGCGTATGGCATCACCAGGTTTAGCCAAGCACCCTCTTGGCCATAGCCTAAGGGGGAAATCAAGTGTACGATCCTGTCTTTGTAGTGTGATAGGATAGCCCATGCTTCATGGTTGTCATTGAAGAGAGAAGGCGATGAAGTGATTTGTGATCGAGGGCTGTCGGGGAGTATCCCGATGGGTTCCATTTCTGGTGGAATTAATTCAAGCAGCCATGATTCATCGGCTGGTAGATGGGTTGGAGTATTGAAGAAGAGATTTGTCTCCTCTGCTTGTCCAATTATCTCATCGATCGCAGCTAGCCAATCCCTGGGTAACGGGGGCTATCTTGTGTCTCCAGATCTGTGACATCCGTTTCGATGAGTCGAGATAGCCTCGAGACCCCGAAAGGCCCATGGAAAAAGGAGAATGGGGTGGTCACATCCGAACATTGATCGAATCTTTCGAGGTCAAGTAACGCTTGCGTAGGATTGTGTTCGGGCACTGAATTGATAACTTCAGTGCTCATGGACTGACGTTCCGTCTCTGAATAGGTTCATCAGGATCAATCCGATTTAAGAAGGAGGGGGAATATACCCGTGAATATTGCCTGTCGGTGCTTTGCTGCATTTTCGGCACTTAGTCTGCGGACACCTTTCTTACTGTCGATAAACGTTAATGTGAATTGCTGTCCCAAGTAAGGTGTATCCGAATGCGCCGGTTGCGCCAGTACCGTCGATCTATCATGCGATTCGTATGGTGAGGACATAGCAGGGAGATCGAAGATCGAAATGGTTCGTGACGCATCCAAATAATCTTGTGCTTTGGAGTGTTCGTTCTTTAGAGAACTTGTCTACGATAGTTCTGAGAGAGTCTAGTGTCTTGTTGAGGGGGTCCCGCTGCTGCTATTGCTATCTTTCCCGAAAAGGGATGCGGTTCCGAGCAGTTCGGGCATACTCTGATAACATCCATGTCTTGATCAAAATCCAATTCTCTGACGTAGTAGCGCATTGACATGACCTTAAAATGTGGCACACCGAGACTTGACAATTTCTACACGTGTACTGAAAGTCAAAGATGGGGTTTTGTTCATCAAATCCAATTCAAGGTTGACAGTAGGCGAGGTCTTGGTACTCAGTAGCACTCTTAAAGAGAGGGATGATTTCGATTACAAGCAAATGGACCCGAAGTAACAACCACGAAGATAATGATTAAACTTCAGATGGGGACTTCCAACAATAAGTAGTTTGGCAGTCACTTGACAGCCGTTGGCGGGTTTCGCCGGAGAGACCTGCCTTTTCCGCAGGTCGCTCTATTGATTCCATTTCGGTAAGTGATGCCCTATTAGTTACCTGCAATTTATATGCTAAGGCCAATGACAAGCCTGATCTCCACAGTTCTTGACGGTATGTTCAGTCTGGCACTACCTTTGCGATTCCTGGTGACATCAATATCACAATTTTCTCCTAGATTCGCTCTTAGCTAGAGGGTGTCTAGAGTGCCATGGCAAACTGTAGGGGTTCTGGAGGAAGCATTGGGGAAAGGTATTGCTATTGGCAATATCCCTGAGATGTGAACAGGAAGGGTGACGAGATTGTAACCTATACGGTGAAACTTCAGCATGTCATTACTAAAGTTATGTATGGGGAGGATTGACGATCTTTAGATAGAATGTCATGAACTGAGATTTGAAGTTGAACGCCCACTCATTGGGTTCTTCTTCATAATTGATGAAATAGAGCAGTTGGTCAACGTTTTTGGCATCCGTAATCGAGTTTTGAATCAACCTGAGTGATAGTATCAACGTGGATTTCATTACTCGACTGCGTTGCAAATGGCGGAGCAGTCGATTGTATGGGTAGATTGTTTGATAGAAAGTGATCACATAGTTGGCCACAGGAATTGTATCTTACCACCATACTTTCCTTGATGCTATAGAAGTAATACTTACCTCTATTGTAATAGTTCTTTGCTTCGTAACAAAAAACAAGTATACAGGCGGAAAACCTAGCCGCTCAACAACACCCACGAATATCGTCTCAATCATGTAGAAGAGACCTTCTGCCATCGAGTCAGGCTGATTCTTCACTTCAAGTACCAACATCGCAATGCATGAATGGGTTAAAATTACGTACAGGCGGGGGTCTCAAAGAGAAAAAGCAGGGAAAAGGACCAAGTCCCCAGAAGGACGGAGTACGTATTTGTCCGCCAGAAAAGCCCCACTTTTTTTCCAACCTTTGAACCCGAGCTTACCCCTCCTCTGTATGACTTGCGTCGTCTCAAACGACGCCACATTTGAGCAATTTACAAACCCGGCAAGAGAATATAATATACGAGTCTACAGTGGATAACAATAGGTTGGGATTCCCTGCATTAGGGAGCATACATGGGCTAGCTTGGTAGACTTGTCTAGATTACACCACGCAAAAAGGGAAAGCCACCAAGATCCGCCATGGCGCCCCCACTATTTTTCGCAGAGACCCCACGCGCAAAGAGGGACACTGCCACCACACACTACTCGATCATGAAGATCTAAGCCTCACCGCAGTTGACGATGGTGGGCTTGGTAGCGGAGCGGACGGAGCCGGAAGAGGAGCCAAGGGCCTCGAGCTCCTTGACGACCTTCATGGACTCCTCGTCAGCGACCTCGCCGAAGACGACGTGCTTGCCATCGAGCCACGAGGTGACAACGGTGGTGATGAAGAACTGGGAGCCGTTGCTGAAGCGGAGTGAAAAGTTAGTAATGATCAAGATGGAGCTGTTGTGATGGCTCTCAGAGCCAAGTAGAAAAAAAGACTTACGTGTTGGGGCCAGCATTGGCCATGGACAGCAGACCGGGGCGGGTGTGCTTGTACTTGAAGTTCTCATCGGGGAACTTCTCGCCGTAGATGGAGCGACCACCGGTGCCCTGTTAACGAAGCATGGGAATTAGCGAGAAGCTCACTAAGCTCGTCTCCAGTGATGGGAAAGGCTGAGGAGGTAGCAATACAGAAGACGGGGAAACTCACGTTGTGGCGGGTGAAGTCACCACCCTGGAGCATGAACTGAGGGATGATGCGGTGGAAACCGGAGCCCTTGTAACCCTGACCCTCGGGGAGCTTGCAGAGCTCACGGAAGTTCTTGGCGGTCTTGGGAACATCAGCCTCGTAGAGGTTGAAGTTGATGCGGCCAACCTTGGCTGGAGAGAGAAAGTCAGCGTCAGAGTCAATGGCAAGGATGATGACTGAGATGAGGATGCTCGTGGAGATGGGAGAGGATGGATGTTCCCAATTGAAGGCTGGAGGGGGGATGGCTGTATAGGAAGGAGGAAGGACAAGGAGAGGTCAAAGAGTAGTACCCCTCCATTTCCTTCTCGACAGCGAGAGAAGGTATATGGCATTGGAGAGAGTGGTAAAGAGAAGACTTACGCGCGCCGCCGACGGGGGCGTACTGGACCTCGAAGAAAGCCTTGGTGTTGGACATTTTTGCGGATGATGTGAAAGATCGATAGGCAAAGGGATGGAAGGAGCAAGAAGAAGAAAAGAGGGAGGAAGGTGGGGTTGACTTGAGGCGGCAGAACATGGTGAGGGGCAGAGGGCGGAGCGGGACAACTCGGGTGCCGGGCTGCTTGCGGGTTAGCTGCTGCGGAGACCGGTTGGGGCCAAGCGTGCAGATGTGGGAATGAGCAAATGAGAGGGTCCCGTTGGGCCTGGTGGCCTGACAACCTTGGAGCCTGGCAGCCTGGTGGCCTGGCAGCCTGAGGTGTCATCTCCATCTCAGGTCATTCTCCAGCAACGACCAGGGCAGCATCCATCTCCTGCGGGAGACAGAACCCCAGGTTGGAGAACCCGGAGAGACCCAAAGAGGATCTCAATGCTCTCTACCAACTGCACAAAACAGATCTACTTACCAGATAAAAGTACAGAGGATGAAAGTTGCGACGAACAGAAGCTCTAAGGGGAAAATTGGGAAGCTCGTCATGAAAAAGCTCCTGGAAAGCTTCACGCTTATGTAATCCCGGGAACGCCCTTCCGCCCCGGCCGGGAAAGGGAGCTGGTCAATGCGGAGGCCTCCGTATATCCTACAGTATGCCATACCTATATTGAAGAATTACCAGCATGATTTGCAGGCTATTTAAATAATCGAGGTCGTAGTGATTTGTTGGTGGTTTACCATAACTAGAAGCTACTATAGGATTGCCCGCTTTCAATGGGCTTGATAGAGTAGCTCTTATGCTAGGCCGGACCCCTTTACTGCCGTACCCACCCTTCAATTGTAAATTCGAGTGGACATTCGACTGTTGTTAGCTAACGAATACCAGATATTCTCTCTTATGGCACGTCAACATATGCAGATTGTTACTACGACTGCAATATTGATGATGAGATATCGGCGGGTTCTGATCTGATACTGTAAGATGGCATAGCAGTATGATTACTGGTTCCTGTGTAACTTACCACTGGATTTGGTCCTATTTCCAAAGGCATTTGAATTCACCCATGCTATTTCGAAGGATAGATTGAATATATATGCGATATCACGGTATAGTGTCGTCGTAAATGATACCAAGGTTGCCGTACGCAACCACGGGCTGCCGTAGGCCAAACCCCAGGTTTCCAACCCACAAAGTAACACAATTGTCCTGCAATTGATGGAATAGGAAAATAGTACATATCAGTCGCCCGTCACCCTCACCGAAACCCATATAAATTGATTTTGAAAAGACTATTTTACTACAAAGTATGATGACAGTGGCACCCCCCGCTCTCGCGCCATCTTCTACCGCCTTCCAACCGATCCGATCCCGATCCCGAGTGGGCGCCAGGCTAAGATGTTCCGGAGGCCACGGTGCCCCTCTGAACCTACATTCTAACATTGCACGTCTTTGGATCTTTAGAGTAGACACTACGGTGTTTTTCTCAGCAAGTCCGAGTGTTGTGTGATCAACCAAGTGGACTGACAACCCCCCACGGTCAAGTTTCAACCCCACGAACCAACCACAACAGGCATCAATCATGGCAGACCACGCGCAACCACTCGGTGGTCCCAAAGGTATGCATGAACTCCCCAGAAAACTCATGAGGGAACTCTTCATAACACACAGTACCTAAGTACTAACAAAACTCCCCAGTCTGGACCACCCTCATCACCAACACGGCCTATCTATCGGGCCTCCTAACCCTAGACTACTCGCTCAAGAAAGTCAACTCCAAGTATCCCCTCGTAGTCCTCTACACGGACTCCTTCCCAGACGAGGGCCACGTCGCCCTCGACGCAAGGGGAATTCTAAAACGGCACGTCCCGTATCTCCTCCCCTCCGTGTCAAAGGACTACACCAATGACGTGCGGTTCTACGACTGCTGGAGCAAATTGACCCCCTTCTCGCTTGTCGAGTATGAGCGCGTCGTCCAGCTGGACAGCGACATGGTTGCGATGCAGAATATGGACGAGTTGATGGATATCGAACTCGATGCGCCTGAGTTGGCGGGAACGGGGAATCGCGTTTTTGCAGCGAGTCATGCTTGTGTTTGTAATCCGTTGCAGAAGACTCATTATCCGAAGGATTGGTATGAATGTTACTTTCCCGATGTTGTTTGATGTTTTATGGGAGGGAGTTTTGTTTCTGACTCTTTCGATAGGATCCCGGCCAATTGCGCTTTCACGAGCCAGCATGATGACCCTGTCACCGCGCAGACGGTGGGTGCCCCGTCCACCGCGGGCCTGGGGATCCCCAATGGAGGTCTGCAGGTGGTGAATCCATCGCAAGGGACATACGACAAGATCAGCGCCCAGCTCGCCTCTTCTACAGTGGGGAACTACGATTTCGCTGATCAGTCGCTTCTGGGCGACGTCTTTTACGGCCGGTGGGTTGCTATCCCGTATATCTACAATGCGCTCAAGACGTTGCGGTGGAAGGGCGTTCATGATGCTATTTGGCGAGATGAGAAGGTTAAGAATGTGCATTACATTCTCAGCCCGAAGCCGTGGGATGAATGGGAAGCTAAGCGGAAGGGTGAGGGCGATTCCAAGCAGAGTCAGGACCCGTCTCATGCGTGGTGGATGTCTTTGAATGAAGCGCGGTTGAAGGATGAAGAGAGTAAGGGGTTGAAGGATCAGTTCTGAGGTGAGGGAGCTGAGGTTTTGTGATAGATGGATGTACCCAATCATGGCATTTTAGACTCGGCGGACTTGTTGTCGTATTGTCTAATTCAAATGTAATTATCTTAAGTTCATTAGTCGCTTGTCCGTTGCTTATTCTATGTTACTTGGAGATTTTACCAAGGGACACAATAATATCACCCCTTATTATTGTAGCACTGATGCACAGGTACTTCACGACTGAGTAGCAACTTCACGCGCAATCAGGGACGCGAGACAACCTACTCTACACATCTCACTCCGTTACCTCCATCAAACAATCCAAAGATAATAAATCATGATGATAAGATTACAGTACTATCTCCATGAACTGAAAAAGGCCAGGAATATAAAAAGAAGTCACAAAACCGCCGCAAATCCCAAGTCGACGACTATGCTAAACATATCAGGACATCATTTCGACATTGTCGGCTCGTTGCCACAGATGATAGTCGCTTAAAAGCAAGAGACAGAAATAAGAGAAGAAGTGAAAAGGTTGAAGAAAGTGTAGATAATAGTGTGTTGGCGAAGAGAAGAGCAGAAAAACTTGATGCAAGGTGGCCGTGCGATTAACACGGCGCTCGTTTATAAGAATTGAGAAAGTTTGTCAAATGCGGAAGGATGTTTGTGAGTGAATCATCACCGGAACTCGTCATCGTCGTCTGCTTGGGCTAACGACTCGAGGCGCTGCACGAGTTCCTTGGCATGACGGGCTGTTTCAAAAGCAATGGGCGGTAGCTGGTTGGTGACCTCGCGCAGGTGCTCGGGGCTGGTAGCATTGTGTCCCTCGGCGGCAGTCTTCATCAACCGGTCGCGGCATTCATCCAGATTGTGGATCACCTGCTCGGTCCGCTCGTGCAGGGCAGTATCGCCGCTTCGGTCGTGAATCATGTTTTCCATCGAAGAAACCACGTTTGCGACGATATCTCCGATCGCCGAGACGTAGGTCTGCACGGTCTCGATGCCATACTCGGAGCGAATGCTAGCTACCAGGGCCTGAATGGACTGGACCATGCTATCAGTCTGGTCCTCAACGTATAGCTGTGAAAGTTACGAGTCAGTGATTATCCAGGCAAGAATACTGCGGGCGAACGAGGCTTACCTTCAGCTCCTGAAGCTCGTGGTCCCCCTGAGGAGCCCCGTAGTTATATCCATTGGCATTGCTCATGCCATTCTGCATCACAGGGTGCGATTGATCCGGAGGACTCAACACGCTATACTCAGAGTGGTTGCTGAGCCGCCTTTGGCTAGCCGTGGTGCTGAAGTAGTCCGGGAACTTCTGCTGCGACATATCCTCATCATCCCCCTCCTCCTCCAGTGCATCTGCAGGCGATGCCTGGATCTTCACCGCGCGAATCAGTTCAACCACAGCAGTGGAAAGATGCGAGGCAGCCGCATCCAACAAAGAAACTGGCGACAGGCCACTGGAGCCAGCAAAATTGCGAGCAGCGGTAATCATGTTGTTGGCAGTGGCAGAGACGCGACCTTTGGCCTTGATGCGCAGCGTAGCCGAGCCGTCGACTGGCGGAGGAGCCTGGTCCACATCCTGAATCATATGACGAACGGCCACAATGACAAGCTTGATCTGGTGGGACACCTGCTCGGGGGCCTCGAAGCGAGCGATGCGGAGCAGTTCATCAATCGACATTTGGAATTTAGTAACATGAATGTCCTTAACCACGCCATCAGGTTGTACCAGCTCATGCTCCTGCGCAATGATGCTTTGTGCATCAGGTCGGTGATCCGCAAACCCGCCAGATGATGTGCGAAGGTGACGCAGCTGCGATTTCGCCTTGGCATAACGGTTCTTCCATTCACCCACCTCGGCTTCGAGCCTGTGAACGTCGGTGGACAATTGCTCTTCGCGTTCCCAATTCGAATGACTCTGGGCGGTAAGAGTCTTCATCTCCATCAGGAACTCAGAGGCCTCACGTCGCACCTCTGCCGTGACTTGCTGCTGGTGTTGTAGCTCCACTTGCAAGCTCTGATGCTTGGTCTCCAATTCGGAGTAGCGAGCCTCCAGGGCAGGGTCTCCCGCACTCTGGCTGGCTTCTTCAAGTTGATTGCGCAGTTCGCGTTCCATATTATCGTGATCGGCCCGTACCTTCTCCAGCTCGAGCTGGAGCGAGCTATTCAGATCCTCCGCTTTTGAAACCTTGCTCTCCAGATCATGCCGCAAGTCCTCCCATTCCTGACGTTCGCTATGGCTGATAGCAGACTGGTCTACATCTGACGATCGAGCAATCTCCTCATCTTTCAGGCGAATCTGTTCCTCCAATTTTTCAACCTTTTCTTGCAGAGCCGAAACTTGCGTCTGACTCTCCAGTAGCAGCCTTCGCTCACCATCCCCGAGAGTCATCGTTGTGCCCCGTCTGCTCAGGACAGCGTCCAAGGCGAAGGCATCACTCCGAGCATCCTCGTCATCGTCTCCGCCCATATCATCACTATCCTCCACCATCGTACTCTTGTTCGGGACCATGGTGTTACTCTGGAAAGCCCGCGGGAACGGCCCCTCTCCGTTCATACCTGGCGGTGGGCCTCCAAGAGAACCCTGCCGCGGCGGGAATGGACCACCAGACGGATAACCCCGGCCCATCTGAGGAGGACCCCGCGACTGGGACCGTCTGGCACCAGGAGGGGGTGGCCGCCCGCGGCCGGTGAAGTGTGGGAACCGACGCTCCAGCTCGCAGAACACATCGGTCGCTAGATCTCGGAAACGCTGGTGCTGGAGCGACGCGAGCTTCTGACGGGCGTGATTGCGCTTCTCGTGGAAGTCTTTGCGTGGAGGGAGGAAAGGAGGCACGTCGAGACGGGGAGGCCGGCCTGGAGGAGGCATGGCCTGCTGGCGACGAACGAGCTCATCGTAGACGTCAGTACTCAGTTCATGGAACTGGGTGGGCGAGAGTCGAAGGAGCTTGTCGCGGGCTTTATTCGATCGGCCGTTCATCCGGTCCTCGCGCATCGAGGCATCGAGAAATCGTCTCAGGGTCACATAATGTTGGTGCAGGATCTCCTCCATCTGTCGGCCCCGTCGGCCGCCATCGCGCTGGGCATCGCCGCCGAGTGTACCGACGCTGGATCGTGCTGCTACCGAGCTGGGCGGAGAGGGATTGCCGCTGCCAGGGCCGGGTGGTCCAATGCTGTTGGGACTCAAGGGAGCGCTGGGGACGCCGGATGTCGGAGGAGTGGCTAGGTTCCCTCGCGAGGAGATGGTTGGCGAAAAGGCCGGGTCCGACTTTTGATACTGGTTGAGGCCGGACCAGTCGCTGCCATCTACGGAGACAGGCGACATGGCTCCGGAATGGCCATTCATATCAAGGCCGCAGGAAAAGCAAGTTGGCTCCTCCGGCCGGGGTGAGGGTTATTCGGTGAATCACGAAAGGGGTGGGTTGATAGTCTCCTCTCTCCGTATGGTTGAGAGGAGGTTGGTCGGACAGTCGTCTGGACGCCTCTACCGTCGTCACTGCACACGTCTTGGTCCACCGTAGTGTCTCGCCTCCACACCGCGATCTGAAACCTGAGGAGCCGCCGAGAAGGGGGGTGGGGAGGGCGAGGATCCGACCGAAGAAGGGAATCAAAGAAAAAGAAATCAAATAAAAGACTCGATCCCGTCGAGGATGTCCTGGTCCGAAGGAGTGAAGGACTGGAACGGAAGGGGGCAGGTAGAAAAAAAAAATCAAGGAGACAAGGATAGTAAGGAGGATGAACAAAAGTGTGGTCAGTTCATGTCCGTTGACTCCGAAGTTCTTTCAACCAGCCAACCCAGTTAGCTCCCCTGACGGGCCGTACGCCTTGTACGGACCCGCTGGTATGCACTTTCACGACTTCTTCATTCCAGACTCCGAGCAGCCGTTGATTGTTGGTCAATACCGAGTACGGAGAACTTCTCCTCGACCTTCAATACACATCCAGACTACTGTACGGAGTACTCCTGTCCCTGTTCGATCACCACTCGCACACGCTGCATCACGCCTCAGGAACCACTGGGAAGCAACTACCGGAACGAACCATTCGTGATATCACATCACTAGCATGATATCAATTTCCGCGTCTTCAGCGCCTCTAGCGTCAATAGATCTATAGACTTTCTTCCCGCTCGCTCGTGCCGTTTCGCCTTATTCTTGCCTTGACCCGTCACAAATCCAGAGAGTTCTCGGGACTCTGGACAAGGAATCAAATAGAAGAAAAAAGATACCACAGTGTCGCTGTAAATACAATACCACCATCCGCTGCCAAGAGTCGAGGTTCGACTTTCCAAGGGAGCCCCCCCGAGCCACACCAGGGGCTGAACTCGCCTTCGGAGACTTGCTGCGCCCTTCCTTCAGGCTGCAGAATCCCTGCCGGCTCGGTAGATCACTCGGAGAATATGAGCAAGTTTCACACTGTACGGAGTACTTCTTATTAATATTCAGCACTGGGACTCTGTCGGTAACTACCCTATAACGACCAGAATCTAACAGGGCCAAGGGGGGGGGAAGCCCTAAAGGCAATTCAGGAGTCGATAGTCTAGACCTTTCGGCTCTCCCCAGAACGAACGAGACTAACGCCGTTTGGGAGGGTTGAAGGCGCTGTACCGCCGGTGTATTGCACGGGAATCACATCGTCGTCCCGGTATTATTCGCACTATTCCCGATTTAGCCCAGTTGGCTGACTGTCATGGGCGATTAAGACTGGCAAATCTAAGACACCGAGGCACCCAAAGTCAACATCCATGAAATGATGGCGAGCGAGAGCCGCGAAGCAGGCACATATCGAGGGTGGTGATCCCAGGTATGTCAGATAGAAATAGAATCATATAGACCCTCGCGTATGCTGGACTAGGTCCTGAGCCGACTCTGAATTTGATTAGTATGATTTCCGAATCCACACATCTCTCAACACCATCACAGCTCGCAACAAGGAACATTAAAAAGAATATTGATTTCAAACCCAAAATACACGTTTCATAGGCCATGATCGGCCGACATATCTATCCGGAAACACTAAGTACAAAATGTAGAACAGGAGCGTAGCTCGTATCCGCTGGGTGCGGTTTTAGGGGAAACCCCTCCAAAGGAGGCCCCCTCAGAAGGAGCCAAGGATCGATTGATCCGGCTGGTAGAGTACCATCACAGGTATTTCCTCCAATGTCCCTCGCATAATAGGTCCAGAAGGGCCCAGTCATGGGGGAGAAGGAATGAGATGTGAGGAGAAAGAAGGGCAAGGTGATGTGCTTGCCCGGTGGTCTGCATCAGGATGGTATCATGAGGGTGTCATGGGTCGCGGGACGATATACAGAGACTCGTTCCCGCAGGCCAGATCGAAGTGGTCGCGGTCTCTTTATTTAGAGGTCATGGACAGGCCACGAGCAGCGCCAACGGCAGCGGACACAGGGGTGGACGACCGGGTAGGGGCAGCGCTGCGGTTGTGAGTCATGTGGGCCTTGACAAGGTGGCCAGCAGCGAGCGCAGCGCACAGGCTGAGCTCACCGGCCAGGACGGAGGCCGCAATGATGCGGGACAGCTGGCGGGCGTTCTCACCAGGGGTGGTGGGGTGGGCACCACGGACACCGAGCATCTCCAGCATGGCTGATTGCGCCTCAAGGATGGTACCACCACCGATGGTGCCAACCTCGATCGAGGGCATGGAGACAGCGATCTGGAGGTCGCCATTGCGGCTGTTTTTGTTTGTTAGAATCGCCAGTCAAAACCAAGGGTTGAGATCATCAATTTTCAGTGGAAACTCACTTCTTCATAGTCGTGATACAGCTGCTGCTCTCGACGTTCTGGGCGGGATCCTGACCAGTAGCCAGGAAGATGGCGGAGACAATGTTGGAAGCATGAGCGTTGAAGCCACCCAAGCTGCCTGCCATGGCCGAACCGATCAGGTTCTTGCTGATGTTCAATTCCACCAGGGCTTCGACATCACTCTTAAGAACGCTCTTGACAACGTCACCGGGAATGATAGCCTCGGCGACAACGGACTTGCCACGGCCATCAGTCCAGTTGATAGCAGCGGACTTCTTGTCGGTACAGAAGTTACCAGAGAGCGAGATAATAGACATGTCATCGAAACCACACTCCTTGGACATAACATCAAGGGCCTTCTCGCAGCCCTTGGAGATCATGTTCATACCCATAGCGTCGCCGGTGGTGGTCTTGAAGCGAATGTAGAGGTAGGTACCAGCAAGAGCAGTCTTCAGACTCTGAAGACGAGCAAAGCGACTAGTCGAGTTGAAGGCGGCAGTAATGATACTATGACCCTCTTCTGAGTCGATCCAGACCTTGGCAGCGGCAGCCCGAGCCAGGGTAGGGAAGGTAACACAAGGACCGCGAGTCATACCATCGCCAGTCAGGACAGTGACCGCACCACCGCCAGCGTTGATAGCCTTGGAGCCACGGCTGGTACTGGCGACTAGGACACCCTCAGTAGTAGCCATGGGGATGAAGTAGTTCTGACCATCGATGTTGATGGGACCGGCAACACCAAGAGGTAGGGGCAGATAACCAATGACATTCTCACAGCAAGCGCCGTGGACCAGACCGTAGTTGTAGTGCTCGTAGGGGAGCTTGGAACTCTCCAGAGAGCTAGTCGTAGCAGAGGTGGCGGGGGTACGGGCGACCACAGCACGGCGAATCTTGACGGCACGAGTGAAGGCGTCCACACGGCTCATCAACTCCTCGTTCTCCATGGTCTTTTCCAAAGCATAACCAGGAAGCTTGCCCTTGAGAGACAGAGCAATAAGCTCCTCATCCTTCAAGAAGGGAGCACGCTTCTGCTTGAGCATAAGATCACATTCCTCCATTGTCCGGGTGGATTCTTCCTCATTGGGTTCGAACTTGGGGTAGACCTTTGGCGCCACGGGCTCCTTGGGGGCAGCGATGACGGGCTCGGGCTCCTTGATGCTCCAGCGAGCAGCGTTGAAGAGGTAACCGTTAAGAATGATGCTGAGAGTCAGAGCAGCAATAATCCACTTGCTGATGACGGGATCCTCCACGCTCTTGAGCAAGCTCTCGAGGACCTTGCCACCGACGGCATCCAGGAACTGATCAGTGTACTCGATGTCGAACGAGCCAGTGTCCTCGTTAGCCGCGTAGTGGATAGACGGGTACTCCAGCTTGTACTTGACGGGCGGGATAATGGTGACCATAGTCTCCTGCTTCTGGCTCTTGGCGGCTACGTAGACAGCGTCCAGACCGTTCTCAGCGACCTTGAAGGGATCAATGGGGGCTGGAGCCATGACGTTGGACAAGCGGGAGATCAGGGCGCCATTTCCGGTGTTCCGGAAGGGAATGGCAGATAGGTTCACGACGTTGATCAGAATCAAGCCACCAACCATGAGGATCTTGAACCGGCGCACACTGCTGGACTTGATCTTACGACCAAAGATGCTGGTGTCACCCTCGCTGCCATCCGAGTCGGCGTTGGGCCAGTCGTTGCTTGAGGCAACATTCTCAGCGACACTATGGGTAATACCATCCTCTTCCAGAGCCTTGCGGAGTGCAACGTGGCGCTTGATGCGAGTGATCTCCAGCTTGATGCACAGAATAGTGGTGTAGAACGTGAAGAGCAGAACACAGTCGAAGAACAAGATCCAGGCTGCGAGGAAGCAGAACTGCTGGAGACCACCTTGGACACCAGAGGCAGCACCCATAGCCAACAGACCGATCTCAATGCAGTAGTGCTGGACAATCTCAAAGCCCTGCGCCTTGATGGCCGTGGCAATCGAGTCCTGAATAGAGCCAGGGGTGCTCGAGGTCAGAGGACGGGGAGCAGCACCGGGGCGGGGACGGCGGTTGTCCACGGAAGCGTTCAGAACGGCCCGAGTAAACATGATGGGCTTCTCAAAGCCAATGGTCACCACCAGGAATGGAAGACCCTCAGAAAGCAGGAGAAGATTGATCTGCACACCAAGCTTGGTAGTAACCAAGAGACCAAACAGGAACGCAAAGGTTCCAGAGAAAAGCACGGTAGCGGCCAGCCAGAATTTAGATCCCAGACGGCGCATAGAGAAGAAGAGAGACACGAAGCTCAAGTGCATCGAGATGTAACCAAGAGCCATGATAACAATGTCAATGGTCTCGGCATGCTTGATGACATCCACAAAGGAACTCCACGCATCCGTGAGCCAGAGCTTGAGAGCAGTTCGGGAGCCGGTGGCACCGCGAGCGGCCTTCATGATCCATTTCTTCGACTCCTCTTCCTCCTCCTCGGCGGATGGGTTAGGAATCTCCTGCACAGCTCTCAAAAAGTCGGGAACCTGTTCAAAAGGCACAGTGTACGCCAAAGAAGAGTCGTGCGAGAAGGGCGAGAACAAATTCGGGGTGTGCGGGACAGGGTGGGCGGAGACATTGGCAGGAACCGGGACATCGTCAGCCGCCGGGGCGGTCAAGGCCGACTTGGAGTTGGAATCGGGGAAGATGAAGGTGGTCAGAGCGAGGTGGTGAGCTGCAGGCTGCTCGATCTGCTGATATGGGGGGAATTGGTCAGAATCGAACTTTATTGGGAAGGGAGGGGGCCCGTTGGATGTGCTTACGGTCGAGTCGACCCAGGAATCCTCGGCCTGCCACTTCCACCCCGTTGACTCGCCGAGGCGCAAGTTACGACTGCCCTGGAGGAGAGTATCGACATCCACTTGGCCCGCCACATTGCGAGGATTACGCGCGGTATCCAGTAGGCTGCCTTCGAGCAGGCCGACGTAGGTTGTGCTGGCGAGCAGCGCAATCACCACAATGGTGTGGATGGGGTGCACACAGGCACGGCGAGAGATGCATTGCAGACCGGAAGTGACCTGACGACGAATCCAGCCTGGTTCCGCATCCTGATCGGCCTCTGTGGACCGCAATCTCTTGGAAATAAACGAGGTAGCCATTCTGGCAGGGGAGAGTCGGGGGAGTGGTGGAAGACGTCCTGTTGAAGGCGTTGAGAGGGGGGTTGAGACGGTCCGCAGGGGCCAAGGCCTGCGAGAATTACCGCCGTAGTGCTCTTCGTTTCGACCAAAACCGAGACGACAAGGAGGGAGAGGATCTCAAAAAGGGTTGAAGTCCTAGATCGAGGGCCGCATGTGGCTCACGAGAGGCGGTGCTCTTCAAGACACTGGGTAGTTCCCACGGGAACTATTTTTTTTACCCACAAAGTCAGCAAGGACACACAGGGTCGATAAGGGGGCAAACAGTATGTACCACAGAATCAACAAGAGGGCAAAGCACACGAGAACCGTCCAAGCAATTGGATTGTCGCGGTGGGTAGGAAGAGCATGGGGACCCCCTGAAGGCTGCAAAATACTCAGAGCTCCGGGGACCGCGCCGATGGAATTAAGTATCGCCGACAACGGGTCTCGCCAAGCCACGCCAGTACTATAGTGGGGAAAACGAGAAAAGAAAAAAAAAGGAAAGAAAACTTAGGAGGCGAATAGAGCCCCGAACAGGGTGGAACTGTGGTTAGGGAGAAAAAGGAAGGAGAGAGCACAATAATACCGAGCACAGGATAGTCATAGGAGATGTCTTGAGGAGGGGGAAACCTCGCTCGTATATAGTTCAAGGCCCAGCAAAGAAAGTCAAGAACAATCCAACAGAACAATGAGACCCAATGCTTCCCGATCGAGGCAATCCAACCTAAACCTGGGGGAAAAGGAGCAAAGAAATTACTAGATGAGGTACATACAGTATGTACGGAGTACGGGGGCGATTACTGGGCTGTGAGATCATCAGGCAGATATCCTTAAGACTTATAACCCGGTACTTCTTCCCAGATTAAGGTTCGTAGATGATTCTCCGTGCTCGATGGAATTTGTATAGCAAAGAAAGCGGTGGCAACGTGACCAGGGCGGAAATCAGGTAACGGGCAACTGGCAACTTGGAAGCTGCACTTTGAGAGGATATATCTGGCAGCGATCTTCCCGATCGCTCTCCAATATTAATGGCTTGGATGATTATGGCCAGTCCCAGCTACCCTGCACAGACACTGTCGGATCATAGCTTGGGCGGATCGGTGGACGGAGTAAAGTACAGTACGCTACTGTACTGTGCTTAGCCCTCTAAACCCCCTCGCCCCTTTAGCCCACGAACCCACTAACGAGATGGCTATGCTAGGCTCGAGGATGTGGCTGCCTACACAAAGAGCTCAGCCACTCTTCCTCCAATCCCTTCCCCGAAGCCCGCTTATCTCGGTGTTGGCTTCGGATTCCGGGGGTGAAGGTATTGTCTAGACACACAGCGTCAGATCATACCTGCAGCCCTTCATTCCAACGCCCGCCTTTCTCTCTCGCGAATTCAGAATAATATTGCCGATATCCAAGATTTGTGGGTGTGACTCGGGTTTGAACTCTTTCGCAGGTCGATCAGCGCAGGCTCCACTTGGCCCTGTTGCTTCCAGGGTTTGCTTGGTAATGCGAATGCGATCCAATCAAGCGCGTTCGCGGGAATCGTCTCACGATCAGTCCACGTCAGCCAGGTTTCTATTCCCATCACGCTCTCCCCGAAAAGAGTTAAAAAAAAATCTTGATCAAAATGTCCGAAGACCCATTCCGACGACCGGCGGACGTGGCAGTTGCCTTGCTCTCGTCTCGTTGAACAGACTGAATGGGAAACCCACTCTGTGGAGCTGACGGAGAAATCAGATAAAAATCAGATAACTCAAGTCAAATCATGCTTCGTCTTGTCGCTGGCGGCCCCGCGGCTTCTATCCACAGTGAGACTCGGTTACCGAGTGTGCCAAGCGTCTGGAGAGATGAAAAGTCCAAGATAAGATGGATATCCGACGACGGAGACGAGCACGGTCAATCTTCCGGTGAGTCTGTCAATAATGGGCATGTTGCGCTTTGTTCCGGTTGTATCCACTGGGCTCGGAAGTGATCAAGCACGATCCGGGATGGATAGGGCTATAGAAGGCCAAGTCCAGCGGTGTGGATGGAGGTGTTCTGCTGGGCATTCATCGTTGTCAGCTCAACGAGCGGTACACTATGAATTCCAAGATGCCGGGCACAGAGCGTATACCAGATGGATGATAGTGCAAATGCAATATTAGGCAGTTATAGACAAATTAGTTGTTGAAACTTCTACCTTGGAGGATACTCAAAGTATTCCTACCTATTCTCCGTCAGGTCCTACAACTGCTGGGCCCCCACCAACGAATATAGTTCGACGAAATTGGAATTGTAGATATCTAGAGGTATGACAGGAGGGCCGTAGAAATTACGCCTGCCATGCTAGAGACCATCGCTCAGACCTCTAGAGTAGACAAAGGTTATCCTTATAATCCTCAGGCCTAATTTTACCTCGAATTATGCAGGACATCCGCCGTTGCAGAACCAGCAGGATCCCGCCGCGCTGAGAGGGCGAGGCGCTAAGAGAGTCTCCTCACTCGGCCAATAAAAGTAGCCGCCGCGCTCGAATCCCTGAAGACTTGCAACACCTGCAGATTATCCTCGACGCGATTTTCCATGCTCCCATTGCAGGGATAGGTCCAGTACAGCCAAGCACTCTCTTAGCGCCAGGAGGTTCCGAGATCGTCTCAGGGTTTGAAGAATATCTCCGGCTCCGTCGTTTTTGCAACCATCTCAACCAATCACTCACCCTCTAGCCTCCCATCCTTTGGCAGTTGGACAGATATAGGCTCGCATGACAGCCCATCGGCACAGATCGATCGTTTCAACTGTGACGTCGGTCCTGCTTCAGGGTTGAGCTTGCTTTGTTTGTCTCCCCAATTAGGCCCGACGACGGCTCTCGCCAAAGCCGGACCTCCTATATTTGTCACAATGACCGTCCTTGTTATATCTGCCTCTCGCCCGCTGGCTGGTCAAGTCAGGCTGCCACCGTTGTCTTCATTGTGTTTGACCCAGCTTGCTTTGGTGCCTTGAGACGCAGAGTACCTTGGAACAGGTCCTTTGATCTGGTTGCTTCCATTATCTTTCCTTGTTGCCCTGGTCCAGCATGGGTTGGTGTGAATGCCTAGAGTTTTCCTTTCATCAACTCCTATTCATCTCCCCTTCCGTCATCTCCCTGTTCTATATAAGCATTCACCCATCTCTCCGAGACAACAAAGTCTCAGTCCAAGACCCTAATTCAAGACAACGTCTGAGCACTCTTATCTCCATATATCCACGGTCTTTCTTTGATGCTCAAATCGTGACATTATTCTTTGAGAACACATACTTACTCAAAGAACACCATCCCCGGAACTACGCTCTCTTTACCAAACGATTCATTCCTTGAGAAAATTTGGCAACATGCGACCAAAACCTTTTCAAGTTTTCTTCCTTCTCCTCTCATGCGCAAAAGACATAAACGCCCATACTTGGGTAGAACAACTATCCGTCATCGCCCCAAATGGGACTTTTGTTGGCGCTCCAGGATATCCACGAGGGAACGTCCTTCGCACCGCCTCTGACTTCAGCGATACCACAATGACCTTCTTGATCCCCCCTTCCAGTCGCGCAAATGTGACCTTAGTCCTACCCTCCGACAAACTGTGCAAGGACACCCAACAAGAGCGAACCCAGACTGCCGGAAGCCCCCGACTGCAGGCCAACGCAGGCGACGCAGTTGCACTTCGCTACCAGGAGAACGGTCACGTCACGCTGCCCTGGAACCAACCTGGGAAACCCGCAAATCGGGGAACCGTGTACGTGTACGGGACAACAAAACCCAAAGTGGGTGAGAAGATTCTCGATGTCCACGGAGTCTGGAACAGTGACGGCACGGGGGGCGATGGACGGGGCGTGCTGTTATCTAAACAAAACTTCGACGACGGCCGCTGCTACCAGATCAACAGCGGCAATATCTCGCAGGCGCGTCAACAAGAATACCCACATCAGGCCAATCAACTTATGGGTGCGGATATGTGGTGCCAGCAGGATATCAAGCTGCCCTCTACTGCCCCGACGAGCAAGTTGTATACCCTCTACTGGGTGTGGGACTGGCCCACTCTCCCGGGCGTTGATCCCACTTACCCGCATGGCAAAACGGAGATCTACACTACTTGCATGGATGTGGATGTGATGGCGTCTACATCACAGAAGATTGGGAACACTCGAGAGGAGGGATATGTCACTGGTCAGGATCTTAACAAGGCTGCTATTCCATCGGAGTTTGACAATCTTGACGACGTCCCAGTGGCGACTGGTACAACTGTTCATCCATCTTCTCAGCCGTCTTCGGCGATTCCATATGCTCCAGAGTCAGCCTCTACGTTGTATCTCACGTCGACAGAGGTGGTTCGAGTCATTACTGTGACTGCCTGGAAAACAACCGAGAAGACCGTCACTGTGGGAGGCTGTGAAGCGATCCCCACAGGGACTCCGATTCCAAGGGGCAGCAAAAGACTGAAGAGAAAGGATTGGATGGCGTAGGGTGGTATGAAAGGGTTGAATGGAAAAGAAGAAGAAAAAGAAAAAATTCGCACTTGGATGGTGTTTCACTGTACACTTCGATCTATTTTGATACCCAATCGCACTTTCCTTTTCCCGAGATCAAACTATATACACTTGATAGTACATCAGAAGTGAGGTTGAATATTCTAGTATATCTGTATCCACAAGAGAAGACTGTAAGTAATGCATTAAGATAGACAATGCATAACATCGTTACGCTGGTCGCAATTAAAGTCGGGCCAGCCACCCAACGCCCAAAACGGCCAAGCCCACGATCTGAAACACGCTAGCACGTGACGCTGACCTAAGCCCCTCGAAGCTTCAATTCCCACAGGTCCCTCCAGTCCAGCGAATGCGAAGGGAGTCGTTGGTCTCTGTTGGTTCTGTTCTGCTTCAGACTCGTCGACTGGCTGGTAGTTTTGGTTGTGGCCGAATTGCTGCAAACCCTGCTAATACTGTCGCTGCCCCCGAAACACACTTCATTCGGCCTGTGCTGATCATTTCACCCTCAGTACACTTCTTACAAGCTGAAGGTATGCCCCCCAATGCCCCCATCTTCGGCCCTCCATTTCCCTTCCAAGAACCCGCAGGAGGAAACCCCTGGCCCATATTCCTTATACCCTGCGAATACAACCAGACCGGCGATTCATTTCCCACCTTGTCGAGGACTTCATTCCTGCTCTACCGCATGAGCGCTGGGCTGCATTTATATCTGACACTTGCCGTGCAGTTTCTGCTATATTTAGCATTTCCGTCGTCCACTGCGGGACAACCAACGCCTGGAACACCCACCACCACTCTCCGTTTCTAAAAGCGCCCTGTTTCTGACACACACATTCCTTCCGCGCTTGACGAACTATCCCGTCACCTCGATTGATTCTCCTCGTGGGGTTTCTTCGTTACTTGTTTGCCCTGGACCCGTGCACGACTCGACATCCGCAGGCCGGCCCTCTCCCAAAAGGCGCACTGTCCTTCCCCTCCTCGCTTTTGCCGATTCCCGATCTCTCCACGTCGGAGGTTTCTCGTCCACCACGGTTTGGTCCTAGGTGATACAGACGACTCTTGGCCTTTTTGAATTGCGATTGGAAACAAGCGAGTTGGTATCGATACCCCCTGGTTGTGTGCACGAGACCCCCACCTGGCCTCTCGTCGGATCCAGTTGACGGACTCACGACGCTCAATCGCAAGTGGGATCTCGTTGGCGCGCCTACCAATCACCATGCAAAATTAGACTTCAGGGATCGCGACCGATGAATTACCCCCAATTATCTTGCCGATACCTGAGCGCCACTTGATTTTCCTCCCTTTTGTCAACAGTCCCTCCCCCCTCGTTTGCGCTTTCTCCGATCTCAAGATGACCTCTCCGGCATCGCCAAATACCCTCTCGGCGAGCAACCTACAGGTTCTCCCTCCCATCTTGACTGACAATACAGTCAAGCCATCTCCGAGCGCAAGGGATCGACTCTCCACATACTCCAATATCTCGTTCGTCTCCCAGAACCGGTCACGACCTGGCTCCCACGTGTTCCCCGTCTTCCATTCCAGCCTCCCGTATGCCCTGGTTCGAGACTTTGCCTACCCGTCAATTCATCCGTTGCACTATGGACCACCTCCACCACACGCCTCGGGGGTGTCGACCCCCGCTAGCGAATACCGGCGCTTGTCCGATCCACCCACTTCTTGGGACACCGCGAAAGGGCCGTGGGCTACTACGGGTGGTTGGAACGTGGAGAGCAATCAAGGCCACCAACAATTGCCGGCCATGTCGTTCGGTGATGGACCTCCCTACAGTGAAGATGAAGACCTACACAGTCCAGTAGTGACCTCATCGCGCCAGCGGAAGAAGTCCACCGTGAATGATATGAACGGCATGGTAGATGAGCATGGCATGTTGGTCGCTGGAAATTCAGACCGTGGCACATTCATCGGTCTGAATCCTGATGGTAGCGAGACCTACTATGTTAATGGTGGGGATGGGGTGGGGGATGGTCCCGGTGGTGAATATGTTACATACCCGGCAAATGAAGGACGATACTCGGTAGCATATGGCGGTCAGCCAGGCTATGCGCAGGAAGCTGGCTTTGAGTCAGAGGATGACTCCACACGCGGAGATCGATACTCAAATGATTATCAATTTGCCGTTGGCTGTCCGGACGAGGAGATGCATGGAAAAGCCGTCGCACTATTTGACTTTGTGCGCGAGCACGAAAATGAGCTCCCCCCTCACTGAGGGCCAGGTGATCTATGTTTCATACCGGCATGGCGAAGGCTGGCTAGTCGCCGAGGATCCGAAGACAGGAGAAAACGGTCTCGTCCCAGAGCAGTTTGTTCGACTTCTCCGAGACATCGAAGGAGGACTGACCTTGTTGAACGGGGAGCCCAATCCGGATGTCACCGAAGGCAGCATATCAACCGGCATGGATATGACCGATGATGAACACACCTCAACCCCTACTCAGGACAACCACGGAGGAACGAACGGTGATACGCCGGCGTCGATTCCCGCTGAAAGCATGGATGAATCTCACTCAACATCAGAGACTGGAAAGACCGTCGAGGGTCCTGGTAATCGATCCAGCATGATGACAAAGACTTGACATCCCAGGCAAGATGTATAAGCGCCTTCACTCAAAGGCCCCCAGTCGGCAGCTTGCAAACTCCCCTCCGATGAGGTGTTCCCCCGTGCCGAACATTTCTTGGAATATCAGAGGCAATTACCGAGCTTCTTCTCTCGCCCTTCCATCAGGGAGGGCATTGATCGTGTCGAAGATCTTGCCCACCTCACATTGTTGCCACCGTCATGCGCCGTTCCCATTGATGGAGACTTTATCTTTCCCTCTGGGCTGGCATTGACGGCCAAGTACTTCCACAAGAGATTCAAGAACACAGGCCTCGCGCCCGCCGGCCAATTAACATGCCATTACACACCAGAAGAAGCTGGTTCAGGACTTGAACAGTTCTCTTTCCGTTACAACAACACTCTCCACCGCGAATTGCCTCCCATCTCTGCACTTCATCCATCTACACTTGATATCCCAAGTCCATCCCGCAAATACCGCCGCAGTCTTTCTCTCCATGCCACAACAAAGCAAGGCTCATCAAGAGAGACAGAATCCAGATGGAACAGAAATTAAGTTCCAATCTCCTCTGAAATATGCACAATTGTTCTTCAATATCCACTGCTCCTTGTTCTGTGTTCTGTCAAACATCCTATCTATGATTGTCTCTCCTCGTCCTTCATCCCTTATTCACCCAATCCCCCCCCCCCCCCCCCCCCCCCCCCTCGCACTTGTATCTAGCTTCCTTCAGCGCAGGCGTTGTCCTAGCATCAATTAGCATCAGCGTAATGCCTATTTAACTTCTATTTGACCTTACTTCCTGCAGAGGGATTGTATCCGTAGCTTTCTGCACCGAACATGAAGCTAGTTCATTTTCAAGGTTCAGCGATTATCGATCAAGTATAGTAATCGTGTTCATTCAGTGCCGTTCATAACATTCCCCCTATCTATCTACCTGGCAATTTACCTCATTAAAGAAAGAAAGAAATCACGAGGGAGCCCATTCTGGTTTCCTTTTTGGCATCATGGTGGAGGTATAGGGGAGGTATATATCAACAAAAATAGCGCAAGGGCATTTTACTAAGATGAAATCCGATGGAAATTAAAGAAAGGAAAGGAAAAAGACAAATTGAAAGAAATTTTCAGAGCTGCTTTGCTAAAGCGTGAGAATCCCATCGAACCAACAACACAGAAGCTGATAAAAAAGGGAGAAAATTGGGTTTGTGGACAAAAGCCAACGAATGAATCAAATCAGCTTGGACATTATGGGACTGGATGCACGATCTCGCCATGTTTCCTGTCCGGGCCCACGAGGGCGATCCCGTACTCGGTCTTAGACAAAACCAGCATCAAATCTACAATGCTGACTATGTCGTCATTGGTGGGAGAAAAGCAGATCAACCCAGCAGATCATCGAATGCAGAGCCACCGCCCTGCTTCTGTTGGGGTTGAGACTGGGCCGACGAACCCGATGCAGCTGGGGCACCCCAAATACCGGCACTGGCCTTTTCCTTGGCCATGCTGGCCAAATTGGGGCCCTTGTTTGCGTTTGCGTTGGACTTGGAGATACCAGCGCTAGCGCTAGCTGTGGACCACAGGGAGCCGAATGCATCGCCAGAAGATTTGCCCGCGGTCTTGGCAGCGGGCTTGCTCGCCGCGGTGGAAGCAGCTGGAGAGGAGAGGGAGGGGTTGGCGGCGTGGGAGGAGAATGGCTGGGCGGCACCAGTTGAGACGGAGGTGAAATAGTTGGGCATAGCGGCCTGGTATCCCGAAGGCTTTGGAGCCATGGGCTGCGGCTGGATAGGCGCGGTCTGCGACACCGGTGAGGCGAGGGAGCTGGTAGAGGGAGTTGGCGTGGCCGATGTGAAGCCGACAATGCCATTGATGTTGGCGCCCTGCGAGGCTGAGACGGGTACCGGTGCAGCAAATTGGGTGCTGGAGGTGGTGCTGTGAGTGGAGGCAGGGGGCTGAATGGAGTAGTTGGCCGTAGCAGGCGCTGAGGGTTGAACCGCCGGAGTGGCAGACTGGAAGTCGTCGAACTCGTCATCATCTGCGGTCGAGTCCAGCATGTTCAGCGCGTTGTTGGCGGGCTGCTTGCCGGCAGCAGTGGAGGACGCCGTTGTAGTAGTGGCCGCAGGCTCGTCATCACCGAAATCAAAGAGGTCTGCCACCGGTGCAGGTTCTGGCTTCTTCGCTTCTGGCTTGGCCCTGGGAGCTGCAGCAGACTCACGCCGTGGGGCGCTAGATTCTCCTTCGTCGTACTCGTCATATTCCTCGAACCGGTTACCGCGACGGCTGGTGTCACGACTAGAGTCCTGGAAATCACTCGAGGCTCCGCCGAAACCTCCGCCGTCACCATACACACCACCGCTGTATCCGCCGTATCCCATGCTATCACTTCCAAAACCACCATAGTGGCTAGAGCCAGAAGACATACCCCCACCAACGCCCATGCCACCTTCGAAACCACCGAACTTGTCGCGATTGGTACGAGCCTTCTTGCGCTCAGTGCGAATCTGATCCACATCGCCCAGAAGTTTGACCAACTCTGAGGACCTATTGCGTACGTTGATACCCTGATCCTTCCCGTTCACGTCGATGTAGTGGAATTGCCGCAACATCCGCAACAGCGACATGTGAGATCGTGCGTCGTCGACCACCCGCTCTGAGCCATTCTTAACAAGGAATTCGAGAAGCTGGAGACTCTAGAGTTGGCGAGAAAAGAGAATGTCAGTGCTAACACTTCCTGAAACCGAGTCGGCGATGCCGCGCACCTTGTAGATCTGTCTCCATTCCTCGGCACTCTTATCGGTGAATCGCTTGTAAATCAAGGGCATGATCTCGTTGAGCAATTGGCTGCATCGAATGATAAGCATATGAACCACTCGGCTTAACTTGCAATAATTGAGGGCACCACTGACTAGCTGTGTGTTCCATTGGCGATCTCCTGCATCAATGTAGTCGAGGCACCCCAAGGTTCATTGTTCGTTGCTTCCCGGACCTAGTGCTCGAGTAAGCTAGTTTGTCCCATAACGAATCGCGCGATCGCCTCGTTCTCGGTTTCTACAGCTCGGGGGATCGTTGCGCAACGAAAGTTTGGTTGGTATACGGACCTTCGCCTCCATCTCGGTATAGTTCATGACGGCTATGACGCAGCGGTCAGCCCGGTATCCCGGAATTTCAAAATAATGAAATACAGCGGGAGCAATTCCAAACTGGGTTGACTTACCATTCTGAACTTTACGGACACCGGCCTTGAGGTCGTACAATGTCAGGTTGCTGACCTTGTCTTGGAGGTTTGAGAAGTCCATGGCGAGGGGTGACTGTTGTCGGACTGAATCGGGCGCAGGAGGAGAAAATGAATGTCGCGAAGAAAGGACGGGCAATCCAGTCAAGCGATTGATCTTTCGAAAGAAAGAAACGATTCAGGCCCGCCAGCAATGGGGTGTAAGGGGAGGTAGTCAGTGGGGGAGTCCGGCCGGTTTCCAGCTGGCCGATTCCACTTCGATGCGCCACGCAGTCACGTGGCAACCCCTGACCCCGGTCGGGCAACAACTTCATAGAAGTGGAGTAATCATTCCCAGCTTACCAACATTGGCTACGGAGGAATCAGACTAAAGGCAAGATGACTGATTGCAGTCTTCGAGGAATTATGCAATTGTGTACATGTCATTTGGGTGCCCGTATAAACTGAGGCGCTATCGCTATCAAAATCCAAAAGCAAAAAGAAAATACCCTAGGTATCTAAACAAAGAAGGTAAACATGAAAACGTAAACGATATCACTAAGAATGCTCCACCCCGAATCATCATCCCTCATCAAGTCCATGAACATAAGCTTTACTCGTTGTAGAACTTCTTCATGATCAAGTGCAGGAAGAGGTTGACGTTAACTCGCATCTGCCCGTCAAAGAAGTCCATGAATTGTGTGTTGTTGAACTGGGCCTGCAGCAGGTCGTCAAGTGGTACTTGGGCATTGGCTCCAGGGACCATCATGTTGCCGCTGCTCCCATCAATGGTGAAAACTCCAACTTCGTTACTGGAGATGGTAAGATCCACTCGATCGTACTGCCGCTCAGTATATCCTTTCCAGGCGACAAGCACACCTCGGTCGGCCAATGTGCGAGCGGAGTACTTGTACGAACCAAACTTGAACACCTTGCCCGACTTTTGGAGTTCACGCTGATGATCCCACTGCTTGGTAAACGGCATGAGGAATCGCTTCTTGCCCTTCTTGTTCTGCAGCGTGATCATAGCCTGCTCAATGTAGTCGTTGTAGGTCTTGAGCTGTTGATCCAGATAGAGGGCTTGGTCGTTAAGGCGAGTTGAGGTCATTCGTGCACCCTCCAGCTCACGCTCTCGTTGGATGCGGCGGCGATGCTTTGTCCGGATGTCGCTGGCAATGGCGTTCAAAAGGTCTTGGTAATGATTATGTCGACTGATCTTGCCGGCCTGTTCAAGGCGAAGGATGTTCTCCAGAGCAATACCCTTGAGCTCCGTGTAGTCCATGGACCCAATGTCAATCAAGGTGCTGGCCTCCGAGTAGGCACCCCGACGAGAGTTATTTGTACTCAATTCCTCTCGTACCAGTGTCTGCCAACGTTGTCGATCTTCATCACTTGGAGGCTTGAGCATGATATCCATCAGGTTTGCGCCAGTCTGGACACGAATAATATAAAGAATACATCTCTTGGTCTCCATGAACAAGGCCTTGATCTCGGCTTCCGGATCTGGGAGAAAGAGGTTGGTCAGCTGGCGTCCTGGTGGATGGCTATCTCCGCGGGTACATACCTTCGGTTTGAGCAAGCTTTGGGTTAAGTGTCAGATTGATCTCCGTAGAGCTGACACCCATCAACTCATTCTCGTTACTCTTCACGTTTCCAAGATCCCGCACAAGCTGTTTGAGGATGTCATCGGGGTGCGGACACATGAAATCAATTTCGGAAGCCACGAGCTGATGGATTGAAAAGATGTCGGACATTTTGATGTAAAGAGTAGGCTTGGCCTTGGCGTAAAGATCGTTGAACTCATCGATATCAAAGTAGGCTTCGGCGTCTTGTACCGAGATCACTGTTTGATGTTAGATTGTTATAAACGAAAGCGAAAGAGATGGATGACATCAACTTACTCTGTCCCCAGATCTGACCAAGCCTTTGTATTGACTCGCCAATGTAGGAATTGAGCGGCTGAAGGTAGACATTCTCGGCGCCAAAGAGTCTACCAGAAGCAACCTGAGCCACGACCTTGGAGATCTCACCGAGGTTTCTCTTTTGTTCTTGGGTCAGACCACGATCCACAACACCGTACTTCTCGGGCTCGAGCAGGGCGGGCTGGAAATAGTTCTTCCACACCCAGTGGCCAACTGTTTGCAGGACAAACCCAGCGTCCTCGTTTGGAAACCGCGCGAGTAGATTCTCATACATTTGCTGCGCAAGGTATCGGGTACCAAATGGCATGCGATACAGGAAATCTTCGAAAGCAGCAAAGAATTGATCAGCGATGTCACGCAGATCCTGCAAATGCTGAATGAACGTCTCGCGAGTCTCTGGATCTCTGATGGCTTCTTCTCGTGGGAGATCCGGTCGCCGACGGCTGCGTTGGCCTGTACGAAGCTCCTCGTTGTTGATAGAAGAGCGGTAAATTTGGATCGGGTCGCTTTCAAGGTCAAGCTCTGGGTTGTCAATGACAGACTCCTTCACCACACTGCCCAGAACATCACGCATAAACTTCCGGTCTCGAGGTGATTTTGCATAGGAGCCAAAGAGCTTGTTCCAGAACGCGTGGGAGCGCAGGTATTCAGGGAGTGCGGTAAAGGTTTCGATGTCTTCCTTGACAGAGCGAGCAAGAAGCTTGACGAGGTAGTATTCTTCGCGCCTCTTCTGCGAGTATCCAAAGAGGCCCATCATCAGGTGTCTGATACGCTCGTACTCCTTGTCGGAAGTGTTCAGTTCTCGAAGGCGACGGAACAGTCTGGCGAGGTATTGTGACTGTGTCTGTAGGAGGAAGAAAAACACTTGGTACTGATCGAGCTTCTTTCTTGAGGTCTTATTCAAGGCCTTGAGATCGTAGGGGTCTTTAGAGGAGATGTCGGTGTTGGACAGCAGGTTGCCGATATGGCCACCAAAGTGCTTTTGGTGCTTGACAACTTCATCGAGTGTGATCTTATTCTTGACAAGCAAGGCAATCTTGATGTCGAGCTGGCTGATGTACTGCTCTGCAAGTTCGTTTTGACGAACCTGCTGGACAACCACCTTCCGCAACCGCTCGAACTCAATTTCCTCATCGAAATCAAAGTCGCTGTCATTCAGAAGGTGAACGAAGCCCTTCACTGTGCCGACTGGCGGATTCTTGCCGCTTGTCAAGCTCTTGTACGCCTGGCCTTGGATGCGAGCTCTGATAACACTTTGGGCCTTAATGACCTTCTCCATGTTTTCATTATAGTGACGGCGTCTCTCCTCAAAGCGGTTGCGCACCAGGCTACCCCGAATACGAGCCTGGAGGTCGATGATAAATTCCTCCTCGTCTTCTAGGTCAGCCAATGCCTGGCCAACTTGGATGCGTACAAGCATGGCCCTCGACAATGCTTGAAGTTGAACGATCTCCTCTTCACTTTCTTCAAGTCGCGCAAGAATCCCCCCAACCTCAATGCGTAGCAATGCGGCACGCGCAAGCGACTGAAGGCTCACAACCAGCTGCTCGTGCTTCTCGAGCTCCTTCCGCTCTGCTGCCAGGCGCTTGCGTTGTAGGACACCTCTGATCTTGCCCTGCAGGTCCAAAATAGTGTTTTCTTGCTCTTTCAACGAAGCCTGCTGCTCCTCCAGGAACCTCCTGGTCGCCTTGCCCCTAAGGATGCCTTGGAGAGTAGTGACAGCAGATTGATGCTGGGCTAACTCTGAGTGAAGAACTGAATTGCTCTTGCGCAGGGCAGCACCGCGTACCATTGCCTGCAAGGCGGTACATTCGGATTCAGTCATGGACAGAGCGTCCAAGAGCTGAACATGTCGTTTTTTAGACGCCAGGGCACGGATAGTGGATTGAATGAAGGTAATAGCAGGGGATTCATGTTGAAGGGAGGCCTTCACTTGGGACATTTCTTGACGGGCAAGGTTTCCGCGAATCACTGCCTGCAATGATCTGACTGGGTTGCTGGCTTGCTCAACTTCCCGAGACTGTGCATTCATTTGCTTCCGTTGCATCGCACCTCGGATTACCGCTTGGAGAGTCGTAACATCATTTTCGGTATAACGGGTTTCTTCATACTGGTCGGAGACGTTCTTTCGTTGCAGCGCACCTCGGATGGCAGCTTGGAATTGCTTGATACCAGATTCCTCGCGCCGAGCACACGTTCGCAAAAGTTTTGCTTCTGCCCGTACTCTTGAAGCACGAATCAGGCTCTGCAATTGGAGAACATCAGTCTCTTGTGCTTCGCGCCATTGCTTCTCCCCGCTCTGGCGACGGCGCACAATGAATCCGCGACTGATGGCTTGCAGCTGCACAGCAAATTGACGCATGCTCAGTCGATACTGGCTGATTTGTCGGGCCCAGTCTCCACGCAGGCGGGATTGCAGGTCGATCAACAGAGGCTCGAAATCCCAGAGGTCATTCATCATGGTCCCGAGCTTCAACCGTAGCGTCGCGCCCTTGATTTGAGCTTGGAACTCGACGATCGAGTGTTCATTTTCGTGTAGCTCCCGGTCAATTCGCTCTTCCTCGGGCTCAACGGGCTCCGGTTCAGGTTCTGGCTCTGCACCGAAATTCGCGGCCATGCCCGCAAAGCTAGGCATGCTGACTCCCGCCTTATCCAGGCCCTTTTGGGTTTGTTCAAGCTCATGATGTTCGAACTCGAGCTGACCAACCAAGTTGCCCATGCGGAAGTCCAACATTCCATTCTTGAATAGCAACCAGGACAAGGCGTGAATACAGTGGATCACCTTGGGAATATTTTTCTTTTCGTAAAGGTCAATAAGCTCAAAACGGAACAATTCGGGCAACTCCACATCGTCAAGGAATCGGAAGAACAAGGCGATATTGTCGGAATGGCGATATTGCAGCTTTGCATGTCGGAAGATGCGCAGGACTCGATCTGGGTACATGGCCTGCACCACTTCTGCAAGTGTCACACCGTCTCGCAAGGCTTCTTCCAGCCCTACAATTTTCGGTATCTCTTTCTGGATAACGCTCTCAATCCATTCCTTGGCTTCTCCAATGTGGCAGAGATATTCGTAGGCCTGCAGGAATTGTCGCTGTTGATCCATCCAGTTCCCAGCAGCCCAGGATGACACCTTGGGCTTCTCTGGGGACACCGCGCCGTTTCGTCCACCAGCGACGGAATCCGCACGCTTCAATCGTCGTCTCCCTTGCATTCCCACCACGGACTGTGTGGCCGCACTGAATTGGAATTCGTCATTGTCACCGGATTGTGCGATTTTGGACAGAGTTCTCAGATGGCGCGTCGATGACTTCTGGAAGGTCTCAAGTTCAGGCGCCGACAGAGCTGTGGTGAGAGGTGGAGGGTGTGGACTATTCGACAACGTTTTCTGAGGTGACGAGGGGCGCGACGACCCCGGCGTAGGAGTCGGAGATAGATGTTGAGGCGTAGTTCCCCTTGGCGGCGTTTGCGGCTCGAATGCAGCTGCTCTGTACCGAGGAGATTCGTTCTCCTTGAAGTGGACTCGAGGGGACTCTGGAGTACTAGGCCGGTACTCCTTGGTGATTCGTGACTCGTCGATCGTATTACTTCGTGAGTGTCGGTACGCAATCGGCTTGGTGGCAGATGGAATATTATTGGGTGCCTGTTGAAGAGGTCGTAGGGACCGGCGGATGTTTTCATATGTTGTCCCGCCGTTCGACCAGCTTCCCGCTCCATTGGAATTCATTGTCGCTGAGCCCGTCTCACTTTTGCCTCGATGGTGGCCTAAACTGCTCGAGATGGAGGCATTTGAGGAAACCGTGCTTGTTCGGCTGGGAGCAAATGAGCTTGAGGCAACCGAGTAGGCCGACGAGTTAGTTGACGCGGTAGATCCGTGTCGCAGCGGGCTTGTTGGCTGCGCTGGAAGATCCGTCTGGGCGCGCTTGAGCGACGGGAATTGACTCGACATCGCTTTTACCGTTGCGACAAGAATGCAAAAAGCGGTGCGAAGTTATCGTTCTCGATTGACCGCATCCCTGCTCCTACAGCAGAAGCGGGGGGCGTTGTTTAGTCCAATCCAAGCTCTCGCAGCCTGGCGTCCTTGTTGATAGTGAAGCTTCGGAATGTGAGCTCAAGCACGTCGTCGCATCGGTTTGGCGACGCAGGGAAACAATATTTTCCGGATATGGGAGGGGTAGTCGAAGGGTTGGTGAGGAACCGAGTACGACACACGTTTGCAAGCCCGATGATGGAATTCTTGTTGATGGTGGTCGGACGGTAGTGGGGGGAGGGTAAACTGGGCAGGTGCGACCGGGATCCCCAAGCCCAAATGGGACAGTCCCAAAACAAATCTCCCAATCCGGTCTAGCTTCGATCAGGTGATCGCCGTCGATCCTCAGCCACCCTTTGCTTTCTTACTATCCGTACGGAGTACAGTATCGCAACAGGTTGCTGCTACCGATGTGGGAACAGCAGGCAGTCGGTATTTTATTTGACCGTGCTGTGGGCAACTTAGCGCTCATCTCTGTATCTATCCCGTGTTAGACGTGTCAAACCAGGGCAGGATAGTTGCAGTCTTGGCGTGGCCGAGATCGATTTGGCAAGTTTGAGAGGGTCTCGTAGTCCCGTGCGACCATCAACTTTTTGCCCGCCATAGTCCACCATGCCCCTCCCTCCCACTACACAGTAGTTGGTCGATCAAGCTCTGTTTGACTTGATCTAATGTGTTTCGTCATAGAGTACTTGCTCGGACTGTACTACCCATACCATGGCAACACCTTTTGATCATATTTCACAACCACGTACCACCTCAACAGTAGATTGAGGCAGACCCAACTCCTTACCTGGGCAGGTAGAGCACGATATATGTAAGCGGTGGTGGGCTCACAAATTCGTGAGATCCGTGGATCGGTCCCCACTTAGATCTTGCAGGTAATTAATTGAATGATCCTGTAACCATCAAAAGCTACTCGAGTGAGCATAGCTCGCAGGTGCGTGATTCACGCGTTTGTCAGTTAGAATCAGTTGAACCGCGAACCCCACCAACCTGGGGAATAACGCAAGAATCATGACATGGACCCGCCAACCATAAAAACTTCCCGCTGTAACCGCCTAGAACTTCCACCTCTTCTCAATTATTTTAATCTTATATCCAGGGCTGCCACTTCTAAGCACTCTCCATTTCCTCTATCGTATGACTACCATGGCTACCCTCGAAACCCAGCCCCGATTTATTTACAAGATCATCCCCTCCACGGCTCAAGTGCGCGAGCCACTTCCCGATCGACTGCCCGTCAGCGAATTGGATCAGAGCTCGGGATTTATCCACCTTTCCATGGCATCCCAGGTGCCAAATACGCTGAAGTTTTTCTTCAGCGAGGAGCCTGTCGTGTATATCCTACGCATCAAATATGCGGACGTGGTTCAGGATATTCGTTGGGAATCGCCAGACGGAAAAGTGTGCGGTCCGCGGCCAGGGGAGGGACTGTTCCCGGTGAGCCGGAATCCTCGTTGACCTTGCCAATCTAACAGTATTTTACTAATTCGAAGAAGCACTTGTATAATGGACTCAAATTAGGGAAGCATGAGGTGGAGAGCATTGCGATCTGGCAAAATGAGGGAGGTTGGGGTAAGGCCCTGGATGGCGCAGAGCCCTGGCTCGTGTCCTGATAGTAATGCTCGATTATTTCTGATATTTTGGCCTTTTTCACCATTACCATACTCCCACGGACGATGATAAAATTAAGATATTACCTACGGAAAAACTATGAATCAAATTTGTTCTATGGAGTAGTATACTAGAGTACTAGTGAGGTCCCTTGTTCCCGAGTGGGATAACAATGCAGAACCTGCTGGTCTTCACATCAGGGTTCAGATTAGTTCCCAAGGCACGTCAGAGAAGAGACAAATTATCTTCTTCCAAAAGGAGCAGGCACCTACAATACAGGGAAGCATCCGCACTCGCTAAAAACACGAAGCTGGTTGCAACCTTGCTGCGTTGACCCAGACCTGCCTTGGAGCCCCAACCCTCGATTTGTCTAGCCTCTCGAGTGTCAACTTGGATGGGGGTGTATAGGGCGCCCGGTCTTAAGTAAATGGAGCCATTAGGCCGCGACATTGATATTTAACAAATCCAGACATTGCTTACGCCACTGTATTGACTCGAATGTCTTTCGGGATCAAATGCGCTCCTAGCGACCTGGTGAAACGGATGATGGCACCTTTGGTCACAGCATAGTCGAGAATGGTCCCAGATCCCCGGAATGTTACGACAGAAGAAGTATTTTTGGTTCTGCGTTGAGTATATGAGCGTATTACGACCATAAGGCTGGCATAGGTAGGACGTAGTAATCGTCTCGAGACAGCGAGCTTTGCCAAGGCGACCATCTGGATGATGTTGGTCTTGAAGACATCCTGGATCTTCTCAAGATTAATCTCAGAAAACTCCTTGCACATATATTGCTTCGACGCATTGTTGACGAGGACATTGACTTCGCTCAATCTAGTATGATACAAACAGTCAGTATATCGGCTTGATAAAAAAGAAGCACTGCCATACTTTGCTACATGTTTTCCCTCAGCCTCACGGCAAAAATTCAGATCTCTCAATTCCCTGGGGATAAGAAGGCACTGGATATTCTCTTTCTCAACCAATCTTTTGGTGGTCTCCGCGGACACTTGCTCTGACGGGAGAAAGACAATGCTGATGTCGGCGCCCTCTCTTGCCATCAGAATATGGATCAAGTCTAAGGAAACCAATGCACTCCTTTAAGCTCAATGAGTCAGTCTATTGGTGCTCGAATCACACGTGGTTGGCCCGTATGTACCGTTACTTGGTCGGCTCATGTATATGGACATGTTTGACTGGCAATCCAGAGATTGGATCATAAGCTCTAGCAGTACTGTAAACACTAGAGTAGATCTACTGGAACAATCGTACTCCAATCTATAGAACCCGTACCTACAGGACCTAGGTAGCTCGTTTGCAAACGTAAGCCCCAACTTACCAAAGTTGTACCCCTCGTCATCATTCCTAAGCAGCGAGGCCTCACCGCCCGACAAAAACTCGGTAACCAGCCAATGGCCCCGAGACGGGTGAAAAAAGCTTGAGCGCTAAGCCTAAACTGGGAAGGGCCCGCTGGTCGCAGAAAAAAAGAAAAGGAACCAACTGCCCGCTCGAACTTTTTCTTCTTCTTTCTTTTCTTTGGGAAAGCTGGTCTCTCTCCATCAACAGATTGTTTATCTTCTGTTGATTAATCTTCTCTTTTTTCTTGGATACCCCCATTAGCCTCTGTTTTCAGAGTCCCACTCTTTTCAATTATGCCCATTACCAACAAGGAGGCCACGCGTGGTGCCGCTATGAAGGCCGAGATCGAGGACTACACCACGGCCCTCGAGGTCGTGAAGACCTACGCCACCCGGGATGGTCTCGATGTGGACACCCTCCTGGACTCGGACAAGCACGGAGCTCTGACCTACAACGACTTCCTGCTCCTCCCCGGTTATATCGGTAAGCCAGACATCTTCGAGGATTTGGCGAGGCCTATGTGTTAATGATGCCGTGAATAGGCTTCCCTGCCTCTGATGTCAGCCTGGATACCCCTGTTACCAAGCGCATCACTCTTAAGGCTCCTCTCCTGTCTTCTCCCATGGACACCGTCACCGAGCACAACATGGCCATCCACATGGCCCTGCTCGGTGGCCTGGGTGTCATCCACCACAACTGCGCGCCCGAGGACCAGGCCGAGATGGTCCGTAAGGTGAAGAGATACGAGAACGGTTTCATCCTGGATCCCGTTGTTCTCTCTCCCAAGGCCACTGTCGGAGAGGCCAAGGATCTGAAGGCCCAGTGGGGTTTCGGTGGTTTCCCCGTCACTGGTAAGTTGATTGAAAAGATTTCCTCCGTATCCAACATTGCCCCACCTTTGCATGATGAACAAACCTTTTCATTATAACTTTCGTTCCACTGGCAGCAACGAGAGTTGCACTGTAGAGAAACTTTTTATCTGATCTTGTCTCCCACAAAACACAATTTGTTTTCACTCACAATGCTCATTTGGCCTGAATGCTAACGATGCCTTTGTGATAGAGGACGGCACCCTTCGCTCCAAGCTGATTGGTATGGTCACTTCCCGTGACATTCAGTTCCACAAGAACCTTGAGGAGCCCGTCACTGCCATTATGGCTACTGACCTGGTCACTGCCCCAGCTGGCACTACCCTTGCCGAGGCCAACGAGGTTCTCCGCCAGTCCAAGAAGGGCAAACTGCCCATCGTTGATGCCTCCGGCAACCTCGTCTCCCTCCTTTCCCGCTCCGATCTGATGAAGAACCTCCACTATCCCCTGGCCTCTAAGCTCCCCGACTCCAAGCAGCTTATCTGCGCTGCCGCCATCGGTACTCGTGAGGAGGACAAGCACCGCCTCAAGCTCCTTGTCGAGGCTGGTCTGGACATTGTTATCCTGGATTCCAGCAACGGCAGCAGCTTGTACCAGATTGATATGCTCAAGTACATCAAGAAGGAGTTCCCCCAGATTGACGTTATCGCCGGTAACGTTGTTACCAAGGAGCAGGCTGCTATGCTCATTGCCGCCGGTGCCGATGGCCTGAGAATTGGCATGGGTGCCGGTAGTGCTTGCATCACCCAGGAGGTTATGGCCGTCGGCCGTCCTCAGGCTGCTGCCGTCCGCAGCGTCTCCCACTTTGCTGCTCGCTTCGGCGTTCCCTGCATTGCTGACGGTGGTGTCCAGAACATCGGTCACATCGTTAAGGGTCTTGCCCTTGGCGCCAGCACCGTCATGATGGGTGGTCTTCTGGCCGGTACCACCGAGTCCCCCGGCGAGTACTTCGTTAGCAACGAGGGCCAGCTCGTCAAGTCTTACCGTGGCATGGGCAGTATCGCCGCAATGGAGGACAAGAAGGCCGGCGGTAACAGCAAGGACAGCAAGGCCAACAAGGCTAGTAATGCTGGTACTGCTCGTTACTTCTCTGAGAACTCCCGCGTCCTGGTCGCCCAGGGTGTCGCCGGCTCCGTCTTGGACCGTGGCTCCGTCAACAAGTTCATTCCCTACCTTGTCGCCGGTGTCCAGCACTCCCTGCAGGACATGGGTGTCAAGTCCCTTGATGAGCTGCACGACGGTGTCAACAAGGGTCTTGTCCGCTTCGAGATGCGCAGCGCTAGCGCTCAGGTCGAGGGTAACGTTCACGGCCTGCACAGCTTCGACAAGAAGCTTTACGCGTAAATGCAAAGTCTTTATTGAATGATGGATGGTTTTTCCCGCTGTGAATATGAATTGAAATGGGATTTACCGCACGATGCTACGGGTTTGAAAATACCAAAAATGGGGTATGATAAGGACTGGAGTTAGATTCGAGGAGTTACGCTTTCTATTTAATGAGCAAACATTGTTCCGACGAGTTTATCGTTTATTTGTCCAGAAATTATTCATATCCGTAGTCCTCGCATGTAGTATTTCTCCACAAGTAACCGAAGCCGACGCACATGGCGAGGTTGGTCGGCTAGTCCCGACGCGGCCAGGGGCGCGGGGTACAGGGATAAGCCTAGGCTCTCGGGTCAATGACCATTTGACTATAAACACCCCAAGGGACGAAGCTATTGTGGCGCTGGGAGATGTCTATCATACTCCCCAAATCTATCTGCAGGCGCTGGTTAGCACCTGTCTTTGCACAGCCACTCAAATTTCGACAATCTCGGCCACAACTCCGTATCCCTGGGGCTTGCCCAATATTACCGAACGGAAGCCGACGAGACTCTACAAGGAGTTACTCAACAAGTTCAATCCCTCAAACATCTTCATCCCAAAACCAGAGGATGCCGCACGCAAAGGGAGAGAGCGGGGGGAAGAAGCAGCCTGCGCTGCCTCGGCCCAGTTCTAGGTAAGCCATTGCCCGCCGGCTAACATCGCGGATACCATGGCCGGTGAAGCGGAACATCAGGTCGCCCCTGGCAAAACCTGTGATGAAGAAAGCAATACTCATGATTTGTTAGTGTGATTCTGGTCTCACCTAAGAACGAGATCCTGCTCCTTCATCGGGTCAAGACATCGACTTCCTTTGCGTCTGCCCATGTCTTCCCCGGTGGAAACTTGTCCAGCCAGGATGGCCCATGTCCGCCCCCAGAAGACCTTTCAAGGCATGAAGACGGCCCTCATTACCGGCGAGCAGCTATTCGAGAGCTCTTTGAGGAGAGCGGCATTCTTCTGGCCAAAGACAGGAGCTCAGGCAAGATGATCGTCGTTGATGAAGCAACACGCGAGCAAGGCCGAAAGCTCATCCATCAGAAAAAATTGACATTCGACGAGTGGCTCAAGCAGCAGCATCCGAACTCTGAGCCTGATACATGTTTGTGCTTGCCTTTACGTGGCTGGAGATTCGGTCCCTGACTAACATGTGAAAAGATCAATTGATCCCCTTCAGCCGCTGGCTGACCCCGGCCCCGAACCCCAGGCGTTATACAACTCAGATGTATATTTACTTTATGCCATTGCCCGTGAATGCGGATAAGGAATTGCTAGACGAGCTGCCCAAAGAAGGCGAGCGTGAAGAGATTCAAGTCCCCTCTAGTGATGGTGGAATTGAGGTCACAGAAGCACAGTTCCTCCCAGCTGCAGAGTGGCTTCGTCGCGCACAGAACGGAGAGATTATCCTTTTCCCGCCTCAATTCCTTCTTCTGCACTTGGTGTCTGGCTTCCTTGACAAGGATCCTCGATCGGGCATTCCTGTGGAGGAAATGGAAAAACGTCGAGCAGGGCTTGTCGAGTTCGTGCACTCGGGCTCGCCTCCTTGGACGCATAAGTGCATTTCACCACATATGATGAAGGTAATGGATGATGGACGTACGGTTCTAGGGCTACATGATCCTGGTTTTGAGCTAAAGGGATCTGACCGACGAGGCGAGTCGGAGTACGTGGTTGTTGTGCGGTTCACGAAAGGAACTGTGAAGGAAGTGAACGTGGCGTGGAAGAAGGATATCTTCAAAGAGGGAAGGGGAGAGCGGAGTAATCTTTAGACTATATCCCAGCCAGGATTCTCTCCATAAACCCGTCTTTACAAGTGTATCTACAAAGTATAGATCAGAAGAACTCGACAGTACAGCTCTTGATCTGGAGAATACGAAAGTATGGGTCCAAAATATTGCCACGGCCATAGATAAGGGCATCTGGGTAAAGTCTACGCCCCACCGCCTTCCGGCCACGCCAGCCCTCGACAAATGGTCACATGACCCACACAAATCATTTGAGTCTTTGATTTTATGGGCCACCAAAAAACCCACCACCTCCAACCTCACCGTCGCCCGTCGAAACCCCCCTACACAATCAGCCAAAATGGAGAACGAGAAGGGAGAGATCGTCGATCTGTACGTGCCATCATCCTCGAATTCGCTTCCGCTACCAATCTGCTCCATGTCCTGTGCCTGGTTGCCCGCATCTACGAACTCGCGCTCCGATTTCGCCGTGCAACGCGATGGAACCCTCGGTGGCTGTTCGATTTGAACTGGAGAGCCCACAATCTGGTGGGAAATAGTGCGACTCTACTGCGAGTAGCCAGGACCAGGACACTGATCGGATCATGGAAGCACCAATTTTCGATATCGAATGTCGAATGAGTGAACAAGCAACGACTAACCTATTCCCTCTCTGCCAACAGCTACGTGCCCCGCAAGTGCAGCGCCACCAACCGCATCATCAAGGCCAACGACCACGCCTCCGTCCAGATCTCTGTCGGCAAGGTTGACGAGAACGGCCGCTACACCGGCGAGAACCACACCTACGCCATGTGCGGTTTCATCCGTGCCCGCGGTGAGAGCGACGACTCCCTCAACCGCCTGGCCCAGCGTGACGGTTACCTCAAGAACGTGTGGACCGCCTCCCGCCAGCGCTAAATTTGCCTGGTGAGGTGTGTTTGCATTGGAGGGTGTTGACGGGTTGATATGATGTGAGTAACATCGATTGCGTTTCTGCATATGCCTATGTGTGATGGGGTAATGGGATGCTGACTGTTTCGCAATAGAAACGAACTGTGGCTTATCGGTCCAGTTTGAGGATTGGTTATGAGAAAAAAGGGGAGAAGGAGTACTAATATGTCTCCTTCGGTTTGAAATTTTTTTTCTTCCTTCGGGAGGAAAGCCCTGTTTTTCCTACTGTCCTATCTATCGAAATGAAAAATGGAATCGACGACTTCATGGGTCCGGTTTTCTTTTAACGATTGCCACCCCAGTTCAAATCTTCTTCTCGCTTTTTCTCTTCTGATAGATATCACTCGGGAAGCGATGTTCTTCTCGGGCTTATCGTTCCGCCAGCATCCAGCCAAAAGGGGAAAAAGAAAGTTATCAGAAAAATGAATTCAAAAAAGCTTAGAAAACACATTCCCCCTCTACTTTATCTCTTGACTTGCATCAACCGGCACATCAAGGCTTCCTCATCCCTGTGGACTCGGAAACCGGATTGCTTGCGCGATCTGTGATTTCGATGTCTGCTTTCCATGGGCGAGGAAGTAGAAATCGCATATCCAGCCGAATATTGTACCTCCAAAACCCGCCTTCTGAAGAGCCACCGTTGCAGAGATCCATGCACTGGGGCACAGATACGGGTGGGACATGACAATGTAGACAGACAACATTGATTAATATGACTGACCATTTCGTACTTCATCTTTCAATTCTTCATAGTAGTAGAAGCAGCCGGCCTAAATAGTCTTGAAATGTTGATTCATATGTTCTTCGTGGAATGTCTTAAGTGGGTTGTAACTCAAGACTGGTCGTTTGGGAATATGGCACCACCTGGGCTCGCACTTGTATCTTCATTTCCTCTCTATTGCCTCTCGTCGTTGCTTACATCGTGTTTACTAAGGTGAACAACGCTCTGTTGGAAATTTTGATTCGTTTTCCCTCATCCCATCATTGACATGCAATACGTTGTCTTCCACATGAACTCATGATTCCTCGTAGACTCCCTGGGATTCATAGTCCCCGGACTTCCACAGACAAGACACAGCTGATAAAGAATAAGAACATGGTTTTTTAAGATCTATAGACAAGCAAAAACCCCCCATGTCTCGTTTGATTGGGGTTTCTTTTTACTCCTTCTCCAGACGCACAGCCGGGTTGGTCTCGATGAAGTTCAGATCGACCTTGTGACCAAGCAGCTCACGAATGTTGCTCACACCGTACCTGCAGAAGAGGTTAGGAAACTTGATTTCACAGGAATGAATACCGTGTGGTACTTACTTGATCATGGTAGGTCGCTCCAGACTCAATCCCCAGCCGTAGACTCTCATGTCCTTGGGGATACCCATGGACTCCAGCATCTCGGGCCGGAACATACCACTGTTACCAATCTCCACCCACTTACCCAGACCCTCGTGGTAGCCGAAGATCTCCATACTAGGCTCGGTGTAAGGGTTGTAAGCAGGCTTGAAGCGGAGCTGATGAATGCCCATCTTGGCGAAGAAGACCTCCATGAAGCCAATCAGGCCACCCAGAGTGAGGCCAAAGTCGGCAATGACACCCTCAATCTGGTGGAACTCTGCCAAGTGGGTGGCATCGACGGCCTCGTTTCGGAAGACACGGTCGATACTGAAGAAGCGGGCCGGCCGCGGGTTGGCGGCGAGCTTGTGCAGCACGTACGCCGAGATGGAGGTGGTGTGGGTGCGGAGCACGAGACGCAGCGACTCTTCCGCGTTCCAGGGGTAGCGGTAGCCGATGGAGCCGAACTTGCCGTGCTCGTGGACCTCGTGCACGTTATTCCAGTACTGCTGGTAGTCCACGGGGTGGTCCTTGGTTGCTTGCGAGGCAGGCTGGGCGGCCTTGGGGTGGTGCGGCTCGTTGAGGGGATCCTCGCGTGGGGGGTCGGCCTTGAGAGGGTCGGCGATGTAGAAGGTATCTTGGAGGTCACGGGCAGGGTGTTGCTGGGGCACGAAGAGGGCATCGAAGTTCCAGAAGCCGGTCTCGACGTAGCGGTTGGTCGGCATCTCCTCGAAACCCATCTCGAAGAAGATGTTGCGGAACTCCTGGCGCACCTTGTTCAGCGGGTGCAGAGTACCGGCCGGAGTGATGGCACCCTTGGCGTTGAAGTTGTAGGGCTTCAGCTGGACGGTCTTCCACGAGCCGTCGGCGAGCATCTCAGGAGTGAGGTCGGTCTCCTCCCTGACAAACTCTCGGGCATACTTGGGGCCCTTGGTGATCTTGTAGGCGATGTCCTTGGAGACGGAGACCAATTTCCTCCGCTTGAGGTCCGCAAGGACCTTTGCATCACCCAGAGTCTTGGTCTTTTGCACGGTGAGCAGTTGCTCCCGGGTCTCATCGACGATGGTCTCTTTGACTGCCCGCAACTTGTCATTGTCCTTCTTGATCCAACCACGCTTGAAGGCATTGCCCTGGCCAACCTTGGCATTGTCCTTCCCCACCAGGCCGGGCAGCTCACTAATCTTCAAGCCGTCGAGAGCAGCAACGACAGCCGCAAAGACCTTGGCCTCGTGACTGCCATTGGCGGCAATCTCTTCGCCCTCAGCGGTGAGCACAGTGACTTCTTTCTCCAGAGTCTCATATTCAATCATCTGTCGCGACCCCAGGCGGTCCAGCGCACTTTTGACATTCGATGAGGGGTGGGAGGGGAAGGCTTCATTGGAGAAGATGGGCGCATCGGACGCGGACAGGGCGTCCAGAACGGGCTTTGTGAGGTCGGACGCCATGACTGCAGCCGTTTCCTGCAGAGGGTTTTGGCGGAAGCGGGTGGGAGGAAGGGAATCGATCTTGCGGTGCCGGTGTCGGCCAAAATTCATGATGACTCTTTTCGCATTATCGGTTCCGGCGGGGCATAGCGACCACTTCTGCCATTTCACCCCGCCATTGTCTGCCTCAGTCCGCCGTCCTTATTGCCCTACTCGATATACTAGTGGAAGCAGCCATCAACTGTACTTGGGAGACTGTGGAGCTAAATGAAGCATCACAGGTATCTTCTATGCTTGCTCTCAATAAAAGTCAAATTAAATCAAATTAATATGTTGATTTGAAGGACATCTCGTTTCTCAAATTTAACAAGCTTATCTCTTCGTATTGATGTACTCAGTCTCAACCACCAGCATTCAAGTGGTTTAGTAGTCGTCCCCAAGACCGCCAAACTCAAATGTTTTGTGTATATCATCTACAGACAGTGATAGGCACTGATAGCCGGGTTCATCTACAGATGCCAATGTTAATATGTACGCTCTGACAGGTTCAGGTGATCTATCGATCTATCGACGGATAGGACTGGGCACCTCCGCCGAGCCTTATCATCGCCTATTTCGCCCTGTTTTCTTCCTGGTCGTACATCTCGTTGGACGTCTGAACTGGCTGATTATTGACCGCTGGATGCATGCTCTTCATGTATCTCCGAGTTAATACCTGCGGTCAGTGTGCCTTGCCCTCATATTTGTTCGTTGCCCATTCGCTAGGGCGATGCGCTGTCACATCATTGCGGCCAAAGTACTCCCTCACGTCAGTCCGCACAACGGACGCCATGACTCTGGAATAATGAGATCATCTCCAGTCCTTACGTGATCCCGAGTAAGCGATCAGGATTCCAGCGGCCGGGGAACAGTCCTCTCGGATCTCCGGCGGTCAAGGGTCCGTCCCCAAGCGGGCTTTGTGTGAAGAGACAGCTACGGGGGGCATCTCAGGTACGAGTTGACAAGTTGGCACACCCTCCCAGGCGGCTGAGATGGTGTGCCATACAATGATCGAGTCTGGCACAGCCAATCACCTGCGACTGCAGAGGGCTCAGAGAACGGCTCAGCCACAGCTGTTTACCGAGTGTACTTGTACAAGTAACTCTTAACCAAACGGCAGTCAATCCATCGGTACAGACCAGGGCGACACCGTTTAGTCTGTTCAGTTATCAGTATGGGGCTGTGGTAGAACCTCCCCGAGACAACGAACCTGCCGAGTCCACTTCTCACTGGCTGGACGAAGGTTCCTTGACTGGATCTTCCCCACTTGGCACACTGGGAGAACCACTTGGCGTTTGCTCTGTACTCCTATCAGGCTACTTGTTCAGCATGTGCGTGTCTCTCACAAGCGCACATTCTCGTGCTGACTACGGAGTCCTTCGCTCCCCAAGAGTCGGGTCTCTCGGGGGTGTGCTACGTCAAAGGTTCGTGGGAGAGTCGATGGAGGATGAAGGATCAGGGAGATTGGATGAGATTGAAAGATCGCTCATGGAAGCCGGGGTTCAGACGATGAAGGCGTGCGATCGCCACTAGGCGACCTAATTCTAGCGGTGATCCTCACGCTTTTTAGCCTGGTCATTTGCAGAGCGGGCCCAAGGGAGAACGGCAGAGGGGAGAGAGAGGCTTTTGGGGAATTGTGGGAATGGGATTCAGGAGGTCAAGGAGATAGGGTATTGAGTATATTGGACTCGACTGGGAAGACTGGCCCTAGTTATAGTCATAGATGATGTTAGTGACTTCCTCCGAGAATACCCTGGTTTCTACGGGTGAACTCTATCGTCGTGCCCTTGTCCGTGCGCTGGCATCAGTTGAGTAGTCACTTGGACAGGGTCATTTGAAGGCCGGAATGGTAATCTGTTTGATCGTTTCTTTTCTGCGGTAAGAGTGGATATGGAAAAATCGTGAAAAGGCAGGCACGTTCAAAGGAACCAAAACCCCCCCTCAGACTTCAGGGGTCTGTCCGACTACCGTAGAGAGATGGTTCTGTTGGAGGAGTCGCCCTCCCCAAATTCTGTCGCTCGCGCTCTCTCCACTGTTTCCCAAAAAATCCCAAAAAATCCCCAAGCAACCATCGGCATCGCCGCCCCTTTTGAAATCGTCAAATCGTCAAATCGTCCCCTCCGAATTCTTATTCTGATCGGCTCTTCCTCCACTCCCCCCCTCCCTGAGAACCCT